GTTTTTTAAACCCTCTCTCTCCACTTAAATCCCCAGAAAACTCATAAATGCTTTTAGAGCTAAGTGATAACCTAAGTATAAAACTTGCAGAATAATGTTTTAACATTTTGGAAAAGTTCAATAAAACTCAGTCATAACTCTAGTGCATAGTAATTTCACTATATTTTTCAGCTGAATGATGAAGGAGGGTATTTGCAGAAGTGATGACACGGCATGCATGATTTGTAATCCTCTTTAAATCAGGTAAGATTTCTCACAACAACCTGAAATTGTAAAAATGCTTTTCAGACAAGTGTCGTTATGTTTGTAAATGCATACAGGAAATATAGATCGTTCACATAAAAAGAAATACTGTCAAGTTCAACCAAAGATGTGTTAATGTCCAGTTAATTTTTTAAATGTCATTATCAACCATTTACAACCTTTAGAGCTGTGGGGCAGTTTAAAATGTGAAAACAAGAGCAAGAGGATACAAGCATTTGAACCACATCTAGGATGTATTGTTGGCTGCTAAAATAAGAAATGGTAAAAAAACAAAACACAAAGAAATTGATATTTGAAGTAATTTTAGAGATTGATTGTATGTGTCTGAACAACCTTGGAAGGCAAAACTTTCAAACTAAAGGCTGCAATTATCTGCAGATGTACGGTGTTAAAAAGAAACCAGACACTCTCAGTAGGTGTTAAGTTGCTAATCAATGACTACGTTGTTGTTGTTGAATTTGATTCTTGGCTGTGTTTGTTAGTTTGATGATCTCTAATATGTCAGTGATTGCTGTAGCAGGGTTTACTCAACTCAAAGCAAACGCGTTGGCACATTAAAAGAAGTCTATTCTCCTCAAAACCTCCACCACCGACACACACACACCGTTCTTTTTGAGGGAGCCATGCAGAAAGTGTGAGTGCATTCCCATGTCTTTCTGGCAGGTGCACTGTGTGTGTTTAATTCCAAACGACACACAGCCTGAAAAGAGAGAATACTTGGACGCAGACTCGCGTGCACACCAAGATGTGACATTAAACAGCTCAGAGTGCAGTGGAATACACCTGCGCTCACACACACACACACCTGCATGTGCTGTTTCCTCTCGTCTCAGTGTATTAGGGATTCAGATGGTGTCACAGGAGCAAGGCAGGGTGCTTAGTGACTTAATACAACCTAATGCATCCTGGCACATTAGCCCTTTTCTTGGATTGAGCATTCTCACTCATCACTTTACCAAGATGCCATTTAACCAGCCAGGCACACGCACACATGCACACACACACACACTCTCACACAAACACACGTACGCTTTATTGTATTTCTAAAGTGCTAATGCAAAATGTTGGTCATTATAAATGTGTCTGCGCTATTCATAGCCAAAGCACATTTTTTGTCAGCTGGAAAAAGAAAAAAAAACACAGTTGAACAAATGAAAATGAAAGTCAGAATAACTCCTCCTCCATCTGCTCTTCCTCCAGCTGGCCTCCACCTCCTTTTCCGCTCTCTCCTCATTTTTCTTTCTGCCTTTTTCTCCTCTCATTTAATGCAATCTCATTATAGCGTGTTTCCATGTCCCCCTCCTCTCTCTGTCTTTCCCTTCTGTTTTGTCCTCATTCCACGCACATTACCCTTCCTCCTCTACCTTTTTCTCTTTTGCTTTACTCCCTCTGTTCTTTCCTTCCCGTATTTTTATTCTCATTCTGTTCAACACCCACACTTGTTTCTCCCTCTGCTTTTCCCCTTTACTAGTAAATCAGAGTTGATTGGGGAGCAGAGAGACCAGAGAGGAGCTCCCCCGTGGATCAATGCCTCTAAATGATCTGTTTGAGGATCCCTTTAGAAGCTGCAAAACGTGCTCTGATAGGGTAACCGAAGCATGAAGACGCTCATTTCACATCTAACTCACTTCCTGATTTGCCCTCTGGGAGTGAGATAGGACCACCATTATAAGGATAATTTGTCCCAAAGCTAAATATCCCACAAAAACTAAAGTGCTTTGACCAAAATGTCTTCATTCAAGGCAATCAATTACTGCCAAGGTGAGGGGGAAAATGATGAATTTGTTTAAAAAGCTCAATCTGCATCTGGATGCGCGCCATCTGAAGCAATGAGATTGCCCGACAACGGGCTTTGTTTGTGATCATTTTCCTGCTCTTCAAATTTGCAGAGCCCCCGGAAACAAGATTTGATAATGCACCCCATCAGAATTTCAAATGTATTTGATGTATCGAGATCAAATTGATCTTGGAGAGCTATGATGATAATGACCGACGCAAGTGTCTGCTGCAGATATGTGCACATCCACAAAGAGATATAGTGTTCCTCTAATTAGTTTATGCCAACTTTGGAATCTTAGACAACCTACTGAAGGAAAACAAAGTGATATTTTTAACTCATTGTGGGTTTTTAGTCAAGTATTTGGACACATTATTTATGGAGTATAAGTAAATAAAACATGGTCTGTGTATATATGGACTCAAAATTAAATGTAATACAAATATGTTTTAAGACATCTAGATAATAAAGTCTGGACTTAATATTAGATATTAGTATACAAGCCCTTTTTCTAATACCATTGCTTTAAGACAAAGGTGCAATGTTGAGACAGACTTAAATGATACTTGTGAGAGAAAACATCCATCCATTTTTTCCACACGCCTCATTGGACATCAAAAACAGTAAATGTGCTACAGACAGGAGGTGAACTGGGTTGTGCAACAGTGCCACAAAAACAACCTCTTACTCAACACTTCAAAAACAATGGAAATGACAGTAAACCTCAGAAAGAGGGGAAAAAAAGCATCAAAGGGTTCACATCTCAGACCAATCCTTGTTCCAGACAGACTCCTTCAAATTCCTCTGCAGGGACATCAGTAACTCTCCGGAATGGAGTATCAACACCAACCACATCATTAAAAAGCCTCAACAAAGGCTACTTTCTCTAGTAACTGAGGGAGCATCATGTCAGCGAGCACTTTCCTGTCCTCCTCTGTGGGGCCATGGTGGAAGAGCATAATCACACGATCCGTCTCTGGAATGGGAACTCCAGCAGTCACACTGAATTTTCAACAAAGCCTCAATCATAACTGGTTAGGATCCTCCTATAGTTGATATATTTTATAGAGAGGGTACTTTTAACCAGTCAGGGGTCCATCCCACCTACTTTATCCTCCCGCTTCTTTCCCTCTGAGGATGATTCATGTCTCTATCGGCCAAAATCACTTAGTCGGATAATGAAATACAACTGCTCGATTGTCACAAGATATGAAATATTGACCTGTATGCGCAGTTACTTTCGAACTGAACCATGAGAGGGCTTCACTGCTGTATACTGATGAGATATGATATCAAATATATTTAGATATTTTTCATTTTGCTCTTATGGCTTACAGGGTCTGCAGGCTTTCTCCTTGCCGTAGAACGGTGGTAACCAACAATTTAACTGTCAGCGCTCCTGCATTGTCATAAGAAAGCATCTGTGTCTGTGTGTATCTGTGACTGGAGATGTTCTGTATTTTGAATTCTTCCAAGTTTCCAAAGCCTCATTTAGAATACCCCTCTGTGCCAAAGGGCTTAATTCCCACCCGCTATTAAAAAAAAACAGATAAGTTCACTAAACCAACTGGTGTACAGAGGACCATTTTCCGGGGCATCTCAAGTAAATCCACCACATGCCATCTTGCTGACATAAATATTCAATTAAGCTCAAACTGGATGTCAAACCACGACTGAAAACTCATGAGTTACATCTATATACTTTAACATCTACTAAGCTAATAGTTTATTTTAGGCTAAAAATACATAGTTGGGATTTTTTGAGACAAATACACGGGTGCCTCAGATAATACTGTAATACACACGCTTAGAGAGACAGATTTCCTGGTATAATCATGGAATATGTTGAGGGTAAAAAGAATTTGCAATATCCTCAAGCTCATCCTTCAAGAGAGATTGTTTCACTCCAGTGACTCTAAGATTATAAACAGAAGTTTCGCCCTCATACAAAAAGAGAAAAGAACGCCTGGCATCAAAACATTAACAGAAGTAGGGCTTCTTTTTTCTTCTATATGCAGCGTGTGTTTAATGTTTTATTGGGGAAGCTGTTGAGGAGAGGAGCGATGTCACTGAGTTCAAGCACCGTCTTATGTATTTCCATACCTGCATTTTATATCAGAAGTTCTTTTGACTGTTTGCCAGAAAGAGAGAAATGATAAAGAAAGATAATAGAGTATTGACAACCCGCAGTGTGTGTGTATGTTTCATGTTCAGTAACCTATGACTCACTTCTGTTCATCATGTCGACCCCATTGATCTGCAGGCAGGCACTTGTCATTCACGGCTTTAGGGCTTTCGATGATAATGTCTGCTCTCTAACATCACATGACCCACTTCTTTTGAGTATCATCTGGCTAGGCTTGTTCAAGCTCCATGAATGGGAGGGGAAAAAAACATGTACTTGATTCCCTTAACTCACAGCTTGCCAGGGTTTACTGAAATGTACTTAATTACTCTGACTTCCTTTTTTATATAATTGATTTTTTAAACATTTGTAGGATGTTTGTGCTAAATGGTGAAATGGCTCAGGTGGTTTGGATTTTTCCTTATAAGAAATTATTTGTAGATGTCATATTGTATTTTTGAGAGAGATTTGGGTACTGCTTTGCTTCTCATTGTGAAGTCTGACTTTATTCCGAAGAAGTGCAAACACAAGACGTCTCTCAGTTACACAATGTCACACAATAATGTTACACAGCACACAGTACGATAAGTGGAAGCTCAATAGATTTCTTTTGTGCAGTGCAATCACACGGAAATCCAATATAAAGTAAGCAGTAAATATTCATAGATTTTCAGGGAAAAGTGAAGGTGTTTTTTTGCTTCCCATAATCAAATTTTTCCCTCAGCAACTCCCAGTTCTCTGCCCACTGATTCCATGCATAACCCCCAGCTTTTTTGTGGTTCTTTTACAATCACAAGAAAAGTTTTAACTCCTTGTTCTGTCCGTCGTTCACAGGTTCTGGCATGGGGAGTACAGAGTGGCAGTGAACATCAATGACTATCTAGACATCTACTGTCCCTTCTATGAGGGTCCCCCGTCTCACGGGCGCATGGAGCGCTACATCCTGTTCATGGTCAACCACGAGGGCTACACCTCCTGCCAGCACAGGATGCGTGGCTTCAAACGCTGGGAGTGCAACCGACCCAGCGGCCCTGATGGCCCCCTGCGCTTCTCCGAGAAGTTCCAGCTCTTCACTCCCTTCTCCCTGGGCTTTGAGTTCAGGCCTGGACACGAGTACTACTACATCTGTAGGTCCTAAGCTAAGTAGCAGCGCGTGTCTCTGTCTGAAGTGTTGTGCTCAGACAGACGCAGCTCGTTCTGTCCAGTACATGCGAGTGGTTTGTGCGCTTGTTTGAATTTCTATCCGCACACCTGCTCAATATGCATTTGCAAACAAAATGTAAATATGCAATCAGCACAGATAGATTGAAAAAGCTCCTGAACACAGCCCACCACGTAGCTCACACACCCACAGTGATGCATCAATACACCTTCCCTCCCCCCCACAACCCCCCCCCCCCCCCCCCCCCCCCCCAGCTCATCCCCACACTTATTTTTTGATGTATCTCTCTGCGCCTGTCGACATCATAAGTGGTGTGCTCAGCAAAGTGGTAAAAACGTCGCCAGGGGTACTTTGTAATCATTTTTATATTAGCTGTATTGATGTTTCTTCTCACTTCAACAAGTGATATATTAGTGTCACAAATGAGCTTTACCCCTCTGAGACTGTTTTCCTGAGCAGAGTTGAGGAGCTTCCATGCCTCCACAAGACAAGGGGCAAACTGTGGTTTCAAATTATTCACAAACACTTTTTTCAGAAACTTATTGGGCCTTATTCCTGTGTGTGAGAAAAAGTGTGCTCATCCTCTCCCGTTTGATTAAAAAACCTCCAGAACAAACATCTGAAAAGAAAAATAGCCTAATAATGATTTATTTCTACAACACAAGCTTAAAAGCCAGTGAAATGTATTGTCAGGGCCTTTTGTTGAGTTTACTTTGTGTGTGCGAGGACAGTCAAAATTGGTATTGATGATTAAATGAACATTTATCACTCCCAGCCAGACTTGTAAGTTATCAATATTTCTGTTCTAACTTGACCTTTATTTTGGTCGGTCAAAGTCACACCAAATGTTGTGCTAAAAATGAGTATTTTACCAAAAACTGTCAGGGTGTAGTGTGGCACAGTTTTTTTTTACCCCTCCCCAAGCATTACCTCTGCACAGCCAGCTGAAAACTGACCTCGACCTTTTCAGCAGGAGATGATGCATTCTCCCCATGACTCATAATGGGATGAAGGTCCTGGGCCACCATTTTCAGGTCAGCTTGCAAGTGAGACAGCTTTCCGTGCTGAGTTTTTTCTGCCCTTGGACAGTGATCCTGCTAACAGCGATATTCTGTTTTTATTCGGCCCTTCATCGAAACCGGGAAAGACTAAAGACTGGTTAGGATTTTGATTCAGTTCGTCACATTCAGATTTGATATCTTTATGTCAGGAAGATTGTGTTTTCTAATTCAGTGCAATATGCTTCACATTTAATGGAATTAAAAATGTAATGCGTCCTGGTGTGGCAATTATAATTTCGATTCTAAATAACATCTGCAAATATTACAGTGGGCCAATTTATCGTCAACACACCCACAAAAAGCAGCAGGATAGAGAGCAAAAGAGCTCCCCAGCTGGTGCACACACATTTTTTCCCTTTGTTTTTGGTCTCCTGTAAGGATGATTTTGGCCCCCTCCTGGGTTGCATTGTTGCTGATTTTTGGTATTGTGTTTCTGGAACCCCACAGGTCTGGGAGCCTTCCACATGACTGGAGCGTTTGAGAGTGTATTCGAATACATCTGTGTATGTGTTCCAGGGGGGTGGGTTGGTTCCGGGAGTTGGGGTCAGTTGTCAAGCGATTGTGACTCCTCGAAAGGCCACGTCAATCAACTTGATTGACGGCCACACGATAATTTTCATTCCCCACTGTCATTCAACGCACACGCATCCACAGGTTGGTACTTCTGTGAAACTCCGGGCAGCTGACATTTTGATGAGTCGTCTATGTGTGTGTTTTTACCTCTCGTGCTAGTGAAACATATTGATGGTGATTTTTGGCCTGTGTGAGTATTAGACAGTGTGTGTACTTGTCACACGGCTGACGTGTTGACAGGTCCACTCCACCCCTCACTCTCCCAGCTGCCATCCGATGAGGCTGAGTGATTTTCAATGGGCTCTGGGTGAACACCGGATTGTGGATGTGCTGGGAAACAGAGCTGTTGGGGTGGACAAACGACAAATGACAAAGATGGAAAGGAAGCTCAATGTAGGACCAACATTTTTTCCTAAAGGTCCTTGGCACTTTCTCTACAGATGTTGATTAGTGTTTCATGAAATTTGAGGGGAAAGAAAGAAGGCAAGGGGATAGGAGGTGAAGAGCTCGAGGAAGGATGAATGGAGGATTTGTTGGAAGACAGGGAGGGAGGAGAGGCCACAGGAAGGGTCAGCTTTATTTCCTGTGCACTGTGGATCTTGATGATGATCCACTGTGGGGTCACTGCAGGCTCAGGCTGTGCAGACTTCCTCAAGGCAGGAGGACAATAGGTCTCCATGCACATTTCTGCGACCATAACTGTGTGTGCACGTTCACTCAAACGCCCTCTAAAGTGGGTTTGTGTGTGTTCACATCAGCATGCACCGATGGTCAGTGAGTTGGTCATTTCCTCCAAGGTCTCCGGCTCTATTTCACTTCAGAGTAAGATGGGACTGAAACACCCAGATTCAATTTCATTTGCTGTACTTTCAAGTTTGAATCACACAAACTTTTTTTTTCTTTCAAAATGTTTTTCTCATTTTAGTTTTTGGTATTCAGCCCACACCCCAAATTGCCCCTAGGAGTGAATGTGAGTGGGTGTGGTTTGTTGTCTCTGTGTGGACCTGCGATGGACTGGCGAACCGTCCAGGGTGCACCCCACCTCTCGCCAGTGGTCAGCTGGGATAGGCTCAAGCCCCACTCAAGCTCATTGTGAATGAGCGGTATAGAAAAAGGATGGATGGATGTTTATTCAGCCCAAGCGGCACAGAGGCTCAGTGGCTTACACTGTCACCTCACAGCAAGTGGAGGCTGCATCTGTGGGGAATTTGCATGGATTTCCTATCCAATTCCAAAGACATTCGAGTCAGGTCGATCATAGAGTGGGTTATTTCCCTTAGGTGTGACTGTGAGTATCGCTGAATCTCAATGGGTGAGCTTATCCTTCACAGTCTTGTTTACATTGCTCTGGATGTTTATAGAATTTCACAAGCTCAGGAGAGTGGGTTTAAGAGCGCTTAAAAGAACCCCACGCAACAAAAATCTACCGCCACTCAAAGCATTTATTGCCATCTAACAGATGCTAAACAGTAACATATGGTTGACATGTTTACTTAGTCAGAATATTTCACCCACTTTCGCGATTCCATCATTGACAGACTTTACAAAGGATGATTGAACATAATTAGGCAATAAATCACTGCTGAGTTTAAATTGTGTACTGTTTTCTGGCAAAGTATGTCACAGATCTGTACTGATAGACTTTAGGCACCTTACGTCTGCACACATGTAATTGTTGTCCATTTTCTCTGCAGGTAGGCCTGTTATATGCCAGGTTTATTTTCTGGACGGCTTTGTTGGTTCTCGCTAAATTCATCCATCTCTCTCCAAGTGAATGCTGTTTTAGTTCTACTTGACACTTATTATTAAGGTTCACACCATTAGCATAATGGTCTGGGGTAGGAAAAAGTGAGATTCAAAGCACAGCTGATGTTCTTGTTAAGGGTGTTACGGATGTGCAGACCGCTGAGTATTCTTGGACATCAAGCTGGACAGAGATGGAGCATTTTGTATCAAAGTCAGTGATTATTAGCTATTAATAGGAACCCCTGAAAGTTTTTATCTTTTATTTCAAGGAATCTGATACTAGATTATGTTTCTTGGTAGATCTTCAAGTCCAGACATGTATTAAAGTGTGTATATGTGGGGTTTTGTACTTGTATGAAATGGCAAAGTTTTGTAGGTCAGTCATGTTTTCTATGAAGGATGAAATACATTTTTTAAATTGTAGAACTATACGACTACAACACAACATCAAAAACTGGCTGCAGGAGTATGAACTGATGGGGAAATTGCCTTTAAAAAATTGAGGGGATTCATACTGTGTTGGTCTGTTAAAAAAAATATTTCATCCAGCATGAAGCGTTTAGCCGCATTCTATCCAGAGGGTTTTATTATAGTTTTTTTTATATATCAATTTCTGCTCGATCCGTAGAAAAATGTGTGAAGCTTTTAAAATGGTAAAAATAAAGAAATTCGGCTCTGAAGGAAAAGCTAAAATGAATTTGAATAAACTGACTATGAATAGCTAAGGAGAAGAGCAGCTTTGGGATTTTGCAAGGTCATGTTGACTTTGACTTTTTTAGAGTCGTTTTTTTTTTTTCTTCATGAAAATCCATGACATGAACTGTCAGGGTTAAGTAAGCTGGCATGGAATGACCCAGCAGGCAATTTAAAGAACTGTTAATCTTTTTGAGAGGAGGCACACCAAATTAGAATACCAAGGGAAAAGATAAGGGTATCCTACAATTATTTGCAACGAGGATAAGGCCAGATTTCTATTTCTCTCTCCTCTTTTTTATGCACCAGTGGTATTTCTCACTACTCACAAATATATTCATTTAATGTGTCTTTAGCAGAATCAGTAAACTGTTGCAAACATAACTTATGGAGAAGTAAGTGTTTCACTTAATTATTTGGCATTATGAAATAAGTAAAGCATTTAGCAGTATTTACATATTTTTCAGTGAAGCAACAAGACGGAGAAGCAAATGGCAAAAGGTGCACAGGTCTTTTTATGTTTTTGCTATCCACCTGTCTTTTTCAAGTATTTTGTGTCAAATACTTTTATGGGGTATAAAATAAACATATTTTTTGTGATGCAGCTGAAGACTACATGCAATACAAAGAAGCAATGGAAGCGGATAAGTGTCCCTCACCTGATTCTTTTTTAATGTCCCCAGATGGGCCCTGTTCTGTGCAAACCGTGATCTAATGAAACTCACAGACAGACATGCGTTAGAATATCTTTTAATTAGACGTTCTACTGTATTAATGCAATCAATGACACAAATCATTTAATCTCTAAACTAATCTCCGCTTTGAATCTCTCTTTTACAGCGTCTCCTCATCCAAACCATGTGGGGCGGGCATGTCTAAAGCTGAAGGTGTATGTCAGACCTCCAGGTAAGTCACGCTCCAACTACGCGCACACACACGTCCGCACGCACACACATACACAAAAAAGGCCCAGATTGCCTATCAAAGTAAAATTAGGGGGAATAAGAGGTCTGATGGAATGCCCCGGCACAGACCAGGCAGGCAACACTTTGACACCCTTACACACTGACACAAACTCACACGTACAAGCGCACACAAGCTTGGACAGGCGCTGAAAAAAACGCGCACAGATGCTGAGATGAGTGCGCGCCCACAACAGCACAAAGTGGCATACGCACTTCACATCAAATCACATCACGTCACCCTGGGTGTGAGGGGCACCTTCTGTCCTTGTGAAAAGATAACAGAGCAGGCTGAAAGTGCTCTATTCAAATGTTGCCCAGCCGCCACATCGCTCCACCTGCTGGATTTGCTCATAAAACACAAGAGCGCAATCTGGTACGGTCTAATCTCTGATGGGTCTGGCTTGATTGCATCTGTTTTAAAGATGACTATTTGTTTGAGATTGGTTTTAAATTAGGAAGGCAGTGCCAGGCGTTATTTTTTCAATACATTTTTCTTTGAAATATCCCACAGTCTTGTAAACACACACTCCTTTCAAAATGGCTCCCTGTTGCTGACAGAGCGCAGTGCTCCCACAAGTGTTCCTTGTTGGCTGATGATACTGCTGTTTAAAAATAGCCCAGAGGACTCTTGAGATACATCAGGATCCTATTCTGGGAGTCATTAACTGAACTTTTTCTGCCTTGTAAATCTGCCTGTATTGCACATCTGTGAGATGGATTGGACCGCATGACTTTTCCTCTTATACAGATTTAAAAAATCAAACCTGGTTAGTAACCATATCTCCAGGTAATGAGTTTTAAAGATTTGAAGACTAAAAAAAGTAGGTGTGTTAATTCATAGATGTCCAGCCAAAGACCACCTCGAATCTCACTACAAGCAAAAGATATACTGAAATATATAGACACAATATTTCAAATCTGTCATTGATTTTGCTCTTCTTTGCATTTCTGCACAATAATTTTTTGTGTGTGTGTGAGCTGTTAAAGTAGTCTGTCTGACATTGCAAACTTTCATCTCATCTCTGAAATGCTGTCACTGTGTGAGTGAGCGGATGCACAACTGTGTCTGTGGATGTGTATCTTTGTGTGTCGTCAGCTGCTCCAGATTCGGAGTTACTGTGATTAAACTGTAATTAGGTTGGTTAAACCCCCTGCAGAGCTGCTCAGTTGCTGTCGTTTCCTCCTTCTCCCTCTCTCCACTCATTTTTTCCTACTCTCTGCCTTTCACTGGCTGTGCGAGGATGAGAGTTTTGTGGTTTCTGGCTTGTCGCGTCATTTCCCCTCAGCCTTCTGGATCCCCTTGTTGCCCCTTTGTGTTTCATGAAATCCACATCCCTGGACATGCTTTTCGTTTGACATCGCCTTGTCTTTGTGTGTCTGCGTCTCTCTCTCATGGTTCAGATATTTTGTCGTCTGTTCTTTTCTCATCTGTTTATTTCAGATGGTTCGGGATATGATTCTCCAGAGCCATTCCTTACTGACGGAGGACCAAGTTCCAGGGCAGGCAGCATGACCCTGTTAGCAGCTCTTGCCCCACTGATCCCGGGACTCTCCTTCTGGCTGTGACCTGCTCCCTTCTCTTCTTGGAGCTCCCATCCCAGTGTCATGGGCTGGGCAGGCTGTCCCTCTAAATCCACCACCCCTCAGGGAAGCCCTCTAACTCCGCTCCCTTCTCCTTCCCACCTCCACCTTAATATGACCACCGACCACCCCCACTGCCAGCTGTCTCATGGCCCAGCCACAGACACCAACCCATGGCATGGGTTCGAAACTGTCTGGAAAGCTGCCCTTCATCTTTGATCCCTGAATTCTGGGTGAATCAATGCATCTCAGATGAAAACACAAGAGAAATGTATCAGCACTCATATCAGGGGGTCCTCCTGTTTTGACTATTGACTTTTGGCCACTGATGGGGTGGATGTATCTATGTGTGGCTATGATTAAACTTGTCGTTCCAGTGCAATTCCTATCATCCAAGGATGGCTGGATGCATTAACCGAGAGGGCTGGATGCACAAAAATTGGATTTTGCTCACATTGCTATCACATCCCCAAACCTTGAATTAGAAGTGGCCAAGCTTGCATTGTAATAGGAATTCTAAACTATCTGGATCACTTCCAAATTCAGCAGGAATATGCCCAAAAGCACTGGGCAGAAGAAAAGCCCAACAAAGTGAGGGAAGAACTATGAGTACAAAAATTTAAATAAACACAGCCAATTGGGAAATGTATTGATGTTTTCAGATCCGGTGTAGATTCACAGTAGTATCATCAAAAGATCTAAGACTAAGATTTTTGTTTTTCCTTTTTATTCTATTTGAGATTTGACTCAGATGTCGCATTGTGATGGCAAGTATAATCATAGCCTGTCTCATTGGGAGGGTGTTTGGTTGTTTTGGGTGGACTTGGCGAGATGTAGATTTTCAGGTGGGATGTGTTTTGTCTTATTCGTGTTTCTAAACAAAGCATTTATCACGGCCTGGCAAGCACAGGCCTCTCCAGCACTGTCTAATGTCGACTGGGTCGGGTGACTTTTGGAACCATGACTTTCAATTGTATGAATGTACCACTGGTCACCCACCTCTTTGTGTTTCTGTATTATCATGACTGTGGTCACTTAGAGAACCTTCTCTCAGACTGGCAGGATTGATGGGTTTGGGTTTTGAGAGGGAAGGTGGGGACGAATGGGTGTGGTGAAGTGAAGATGAACAGAGAGCGGGTGAGAAAAGGAGGCGACACTCAAGTTGCATGACCACTGTGAAACCTTCAGATCAGTCTTGTTTCTAATGATGATATATTTTTTCATGCGAAAAAAAAAAAGAAAAATCAGAAACACCCTGCTTCTGCTCTCCCCAAGACTGTTTCAGACATCAAAAGGGAAATACAACCTCTCTCCTCACACGGTTTCTCCCGTCTGGCTTTCAGTCGTTGATGGATTAGCCCGGGCCGAGAAGATAAATGGACCCGCAGGGTGAAACTGACTGGAAATCAGCCCTTGGAGCCCAAGTCAGAACACAATGGACGTAAACAATGACTGAAGCTGGTCCAGGGTCTGGAGGTTAAACCAATAAGGGAAGCACATAGACTTTGGCAAATGAGGCGAGGTGTGCGTGTGTGTGTTTGTGTGTGGTAGCATCACAAGAACCCAAGTATGCGCATGCATGCAGACATATACACATACATACATAGGGATGGAGAACGCATTTGCAGACCTGGCTCTAAAGGGAACAGCACAAAGAGAGTGACCAGAGGAGGGAGGGAGATGGAGAGAAAAAGTGTGTGTGTGAAGGGACTGACTTCTTTAATGTTGGGAAGCGAACATTAAGAGCAAGCACTGTGAACACACACAAACATGCACATGACGACCCATGTACAGATATCCACACTTACTGACATATGTAGAAAAACAGTTCAGCTCTAGACATTTACAAAGACATGGCATGGACATTGACACCTGTACAAAGACACACTCACACACAAAAAAAAAACACAAACAAAGGGAAATGCTTCTTTCCCAGTTTCATCTTATTTTTGTAGCATTTAAAATCACTGTTAATTACTCCTTTGTGGGATGCAGTGATGGGTTATAGCCCGTGGAGGATTTTAAAAAATGTGTCTCTCTTCTTCTATTCCACTGATTCTGTCCTTCTATCTGTCTTTTTTCTTCTTCTTCTTCTCTGGTTTGTGATCCATGGTTGGTAGAGGTAGGAGGCCTTCAGGTCTGAGTGTCATGTATGAGTTTGTCTCCTTTTCTGTTTATGGTGTTTTTGTGAAAGCTGACCTCAGCCATTAAAATCAGTTGGTCAAAAGTAAACACGGAAGTCAGAGCAAGGAGAGAAACACACAAATAAAGATTGTCTTTTTGTCTACTCGAAAACCAACTGATTGAGTGGAATTTCTTCAGTGGAAATGTGTATTAATTCTGACTTTCTGTATTTCTCTTATCCCTAAGGACACATAATTGTATTTATGCATCGCACTGCACCTGGATTTTGATTTGCCCAGTCTATTTTCCTCTGACGTCAAAGTCTTGGACTGGTGATCGTTGAGCTCTGCCAGTCATAGCATGAAATTATTCAGATGAAATCGCTCTCTCCAATCCTCAGCTGTTTCTCCCTCAGTGATGTGACAGCTAATCTGAGTTGCTGACAACATGGAGGACGGATAGTTTGATGGCCTCTCTTCTCCTGTTTCCATCAGATTTCCCAGATGGTGGCCGACTGGTGAGAAAAACTAACACAAAATATGTGTTAACGCACTGTACTTGCGCTCTGTTTTGATAGTGTCCAGGAGTGATTTCTTAGTCAGTTACTTTAAGTGGTATTTTGGAGGGGAAGCAAATATCATGTGTATTGGATACTTTTAAAATGGTAATGGATAATGGAAAAACATTAAGAAGTCAGTGGTCCCAATAAAAATATAATATAAAAATATTGGCAACAGGCTGGACATTTCAAGTAAAAATGTTTGAACATCATTACTGGGGGTACCTTTGTGGGACACTGAAGACTTTGAACCCCTCATGCAGCTTCTCACTCCCTCTCATTGCATGCTGTGGTTTGGTTCCAACTCAGGTCACTTACTGATTTCCATTTCTCCCTTTTTGCCCATTTTCCTCTCTATGTTTCACAAAATCTATCGAATAAAAGCTGAAAAAAAGGAAAGACGGGGTATCAATTAAAATGCCATAAAATGGAAGATGCGTATCATGTAAACATCCCCTCCAGCTTCTGCTTCGTAGGAGAGACAGCCAGTGAAGAGACAGTAATTTTCCATTAATCAATGCAGAAAGCGTGGAAAAATGGTCCATTAAAGGATAACGGTGGCTCTTTCAACTATGACATTTGAATGTTGTCTCTTCTTCTACGGTTTGGAACTAGATTTTTTGGTTGGCAGTCATTTATCCTAACACTGAACATTTCCTCAAAACTATGTCCAAATTTGAATTCTGACCTAATTTGTGCCACATTTAAAAGGAATCCTAGCACATGTAATGAATTTTCAAGTGATTTTCTCTTGGAACTTCACACAAAAAGAACATAAGAATTTCACCAGTAATATACAACCTACATTTCAAGCTTTGGAATTTGGAAAACGGAAATGCGTAATTTATTTGTTTGAGCGACTGCCTTGACCCTGCACTGTTTGATGCATTCAGACAAGAAGAAAAATGTAAAACCATAGTTTGAAGCGATTCCCTTTTTCTTTTACGTCTTTAAATTTTCACTAAATCTAGACATGACATCATAGACAGATAACAGACACTTTTCCCCCTTGAGGCTTGTATGGGCTAGTGCTAGCCTGAAACATTCATCAGCTTTGTTTTAAAAGCGTTATTTGAAACCACAGACTTGTCAGTTTTGGCAGTGTTATGCAAAAAGAATATCAGAAATGATTTTCTTTTTCTTTTTTTGGGGTTGGGGGGCGGTGACTGAGGTGTATGAATAATAGATTAGCCTCAGCTTGCTATGTTTGGTTCTCTTGTGCAAAGCAGGCTAATGGCTATCGATGTCTCCAGTTTCAAACAAATTGCTTCATATGAGGGCTCAATTCAAATAGAGAAAGAGTTGCTTCCAGTGAAGAGGAGACGAGGGAATGAAATTATCTCTGAATATTGAGATGCACGCTTGGTCAGCCACTTCTTTGTCCTGACATGTATCAGGTACCAGCAGAATTAGCCCGATGTAAAATTAAGCCCAACCAAGCAAGGTCCTGAAACATTCCCATGTCTCAAGCCTTGTGAGAGGAAAGATGGATGAGTGGTAAATTTCTGGAACAGAGCCAGAAATTAACAGATGTGCTCTGTGAAATCATGAGAAAGTACTTAGGGCCAAGTCACCGACACACACATGCTCATACATACAGCTATATCACCATGTAGTCTCCTCCGGATCTAATTAATCACTTGATTATTTTAGCACATTATATTGGCCTCCGTACACTTGGGATAATAATTGGCAAGAATATATTTGGCTTATATGATATTGATTTTGGCAACATTCAAAAAGCAAAGCCAGGAGGTACAGATGGCGACCTTCTCAGTTCTCTCCTTTTTCCTCCTTCTTTCTGTCTTTCTCTCTGTCTTTTGTCTTTCAGTCTTTTCTTTCTTTCTTCCTTTCCTTCTATCATTGGCCTGTCATCTTTTCTGAGTCTTTCTGGCTCTCTCAGACACATCATTAGGCTATAGGCTAATCCATTCCCCTATCTTTGCCGTACCTTTGTCTCTTCATATTCAACTAACAGGCATGATTTAGGAATTATGGAATTAGGGCAGCGCTCCCATCTCTATTAATGAGGAACAGCATGATGAAAGAGCCTGATCCTGAACATACCATTTTGGTTGACTCAAATACACATTTGCTGAAGCTTCCCTCTTTTTCCTCTCTCTCCACTTTCCTCTGTTCCCATTCTTTCCCCTCTCTCCCTCACATTAAGCCTTAGCTGTAATTACAAAGGAAATACAAATTCTTAGCTCTTCAAGCACTGTTGGATGTGGCATGAAATGGTAAAATGGCATAGCGGGAAAGTTAACTATGAACCTCTCACCCATGCATAGACACACAAGCACAAACACACTCACAGAAGTCCAGATGGGCCGTGTGTTATTGCTGAATAATGCATGCTTTGTAGACTCTATAAAAGTTACATGGGCGGAGAGAGCTAGTCATCATTCAGGCGCTATGGGCTGTGTGGTGAGGGGCAGCATTGGCGCATCATTTGTGCAAATTTAGAGTTGTGCATGGCTGTTTAGCTGTAGGTGACCCCACAGGGGTAATATTTAGCTGCAGTAAGAAGGAAAAGAAATACTTTTAGACATTGTCAACTGATATGTTGGCTGGCTCTCTGCCTACTGTCTTTGCAGTCACCTTGGAAAGGCTTTTGTGGTTCAAACCATAAAACTTAGGAATTACACAGCGGATCCAATGCAAAGGACTCAGATTTCAGAGCATCACTTAGAAGCACTATGAAAAATATCTTGTTGTCCGTCTTCATGTAAAATACCCAGAAGAGGGGAGGGGGTGAGGGGTAGGTCCGGGTGAAGGGTAAATGCTGCACTCATGTGGGGAAATTGAGCAGTGCCTCTTTTTTTTTTTTCTTCAGAGTCATATGACAGGACATGCATACCATCATGTGCAGCATTCAAGTGCTCACAGCATGGCATTTTCTGTTAATAAACAAGCTGGACTACTGCTGACCAAAAACAACCAATTGATTAAATAAATACCAGCTCAATAATGGAATCGAAATTTGAATTATCAAGATGTCTGTCAAGCAAACTAACATGGGTAAAAATCGCATTGCATGAGCAAAATGCCATGGAGATAAAGTAGGAAGGAAATGCCGCAACTCAGAAAGATATCTGAATGGCCCTATTGCTCAACGTCCCAAAAGCCCAAGTAGTCAGTTCATTCTAGAAATAACATACAATTTATGGTAAATGATAGATTAAAAAAATTACACACACAAGGGAGAAATGCATGACACAATGACAATTTATTGCAGAAGACCATGAAGCAGTGCAAAGCAACCAACATGTTACACTACAAACAAAGCAATAAAAAGTCACCCCAATGAATAAAGGAGCACGTATTCACAAGTATAACTAATTGATTTGTAGCTGTCATGTTTCTTTTTAGTCCGGCCCTTTATTAGCCACTATTAGGAAGGACAAGAACCATGTTTCATATTCTATTAATACACAAAACTTCAGAAATTATTTGCATCAAAGCTTTCCTTAAGCCAGACTCCGCTAATATTTTTCTAAAAGGTCATTTAAAGTTCTTGATAACTTTATTTTTTCCAGCACTCCTAATGAATCAAATCAAGAGTAGTGACTGACTATTTATTTATTTAGTTAAACCATTTATTTCTACTTAATTCTACTATTTCTCAACTATCAAGGGAAGCGCAATGGTACTTTGTGGTGGGACGGTTTCTTACAGGAACCAGTATTTCCGACGACACGTAAAGGCACCAACCGACACGCTTTCGCACCCTCTGACGGCGGTGGCTGTGAAGGAATCCAGGAGTCGCCAGTCCCAAGTTCACATACTTTAAAGTAGGAGGAGTTGGCGAACGACTCACAAAGGAGTTTAACAGTAAGTAATCACTCCCTTGATTGATATCTCTCAATCTTAATCTCAACATAGTTGGAGCGGTGTCGTTATGTAGTTGACAGGAAAGCGGAACTAGCTAACTAGCCCGCTAACAGCACGTTAGCAAAGTTAACAAGTTGCCCACCCCCAGGATCCTGGATATTACCCACGTACTGGAAAAAACTACTACCTTTTTGGGGGGAAAATGTAAGAGAACTTTTTCTACACAGTTTAACCCTTTCAGCTTCCTGCTTAAAAACTATTTTAAAGGCTTTGGGTCTTGACTGCCCAGCTTTTGGTGCTTTGGGTGTGGAGTTACTTCCCTGCTTCAGACGGCACGATTTGAACGCTTTTGGTTAATAATTCAGCCAAATATCACCTGTTTGTCAAGTGACCCACCGTTCATAGTTGCTGAGCACTTAAGTTTGCTTTCCTGCTCGTGACATTTCCACGGTCAGGTGCACGGAAATAACGTTACATCCATATAAATGTACATCCGCAGAAACGATTAAACATCTGTCAGAATTTCTTCCCACGTCTTTAGTTTTTCCGGAGGCCCTTTAAGGCCACTTGTTTTTAATCTATAAATTGATAAATAAAGGGTCATGGGTTGGGTTTTAATCGCACTGCGTGATGTCATTGGCCAACCTTTGTGTTTGTTTTTGTACGCAGGTTCATGTTATGAGTCAGCCACTGTGCCCGGACATTCCTTAACAAAACATATATAAATATAGAGCTATCCCTATTGAAAATTAGGCTATTTACATTGTTTTAAAGGGGACTTAAAGATCTACAACGAGGATAGAAACTCAGCATGGAAGGGATAAGAAAAGACACCTAGCGTTGGGGTAAGATCTGGAGGAACAGGTTTGAGTAGAAGAACAAGAAATGCATTTCCCTGTTGGAGTTATTGTTTTAGACACTTGTTGTTGGTGCTGTGAAGAGTCTACAACATGAATGGGTATGTCCTTAAGGCTTGTTAAATTATTCCTCATGTGCTTCGGAGCTGGCGTGGTGTCACGTTTTAGTGTGCGTTAAGCATGTTGGCTGTAAGTTTGGGGTGTGTAAGAACCTTAATATGTGTCTGTGTTTGCTTTGTGTGAAACCTATGTGGTTGACACAGGCCTGCGTTGGTTTGTCATTAAGGTTTATCTTGGTCTATCTTAATAATTTGTCCCGTATTGTTATGTTTAGGTGATTGCTCAGACTCGCTGATTTAGCTATTCCATAATGATTTGGATTTGTTTTCTTTCACAAATTATTTAGCATTTTTCTTAAGGTCAGCCAACTGTAAATAGAGAGCTACTAAAAACTTAGTAGCAAAGGTAAACACTACACTTTATCCTTACTGGTTTGTTTCACAGCTAAAAAGGGACTAAAACTGTCAACACATAATGGTAGTCTAAAATGAACCAGAACACAGTGTGAAATCCTTGATTGCAATTATTTTTAGGACTGTGAATCATCAACTAAACTAAGATCAAAACAGCTCTATCGATGTAATGTGTGTGGATGAAACCACCTACAGAGTTCTAGTTGTAAATCCCCCTCACTTTAGCCCGATAAGTCTAGTAATTGGTCACAGAAAGCAGTCACAAAACTGGTGTGATTCATAGGCACTGTTGTACAGGAAAAGGGAAATAAACGCAGAGGCAACAAAAATTAATCCAACTCTGCCAAGTGGACTATCCATTTTCCGGTCTTCTTTTTTCACTTTTTATTTTTGCTTCATGTTTGAAAGGGAAGCTAAAGTCAGGCGGTTATTTGCAAAACAGGAAAATGACACTCGATCCTCAAAGGAAGAGGGGGGTGACAGGAGAGAAAGAAGAAATGGGATAGGGAATAAAGCTGTGCTTCCTGAATGTTTTCATCCTGAAAGTTTAGGCTTGAAACAAAAGCTGGAAAAAAAATGTAAAAAGCAAAATAAATAAAAAAGCCCAAGTCAGAGCTTAGTGTTCATGCTTGACTGGTTCTCTTCCCTTGATAGCAGAGTCTGTCTGTATCACAGAAAACAGGCTTAAAGCTCTGCCTGTGATGAGCTCGCTCTCATGTTACCTTGCGGGCCAAAGCCAGCCTGAGGCTGCTGTTTCACCAGCCCTCTCAGTGTAAACTCTCAAACTGGACTTCATTAGAAGGTCACCTACAACAAAAGTTACCATACCTGCGGTTCTGAATATAAAAACCACCCCCATTGCCAAACAGTGTTTGTGCAGCTCACAGCACATTGCTATAATCTGCATTCATCCTCTGCTTGTTCTGAACTTTATTGAAGATTGTGCTTTGCAGAAGATGAAAGGAAAATGGGGAGGACAGAGAATTTAGGTTTTTGTTGTTTTTTTGTTTGTTTTTGTGAAGTGACTCTTCCGGCATCAGTTCATAGCTTTTTGTTCTCACTTGTGTTCCCAGATCATGACATGTGAGTGTAGGGCTCGCATTTAGCTGTCACACACTGAGTCATTGTGTCCCCGAGCAGGCAGAAGTTAGATGGTAACACCGTTTGTTTCGGGCTGTTAGCGGCTCTCTGGGTTTTATACAGTTGGTGACCTTTTGCAATGGGACTTTTTCTGTGCCATTGGAGGTTTCAGCCATTAGTCCTTTCATTTGAATATAGCAATGTCTTTAGTGTTACTATAAATTAAGTGGGTGTGAAAGTGTAGTATCTGAAAGAAAGTGGATAAGGAAATGTAATAGTATGTCATTTATCTTATCGCATTTCACTGGTGTCTGCTTTGTGCTAATGAATTTACAGCTCGTTGCGTAATCATTTTTTACTGTTGTCTTTCAGTATCTACGCAGCTCATTTGGATGGTTGTGTTGGCTGTGAAGATGGCATGTGTCATTTTAATAATGTCTAAAAGACTCCGCAATCATTTCTGGATTCTTTTTTCTTACTTTTCATATGAGCTTTGTGCCGGGTATTGACACACTGGAATAATCTGAAAAAGAGCATAACTAGTGACGTGGAGCTAATGTTTTTTATTTAGAGTGTACACGCAGTTTAAATGGTTAGAAATGAATGCCATTTTTCAACAGGAAATGGCACGCCTGACAATGTGTTATGACTGTTATAATGACTGGTGTTGTGTTAACATTAGTCGTTTGCTCATTATTTGTAATATAAAACTTTTTATGTTTTGATATGATATTTTGTAGAGCCTCAAGACTTTGATAAATGCCTTCATAATGTAGTAAACCACAGTAATGCTTGGTGCATCTTTGCTAACATCAGTCTCAGTACTAATTTCCCTATCACAGTGTTTCTATCTGTATTCCCTCATTGAGAGTGCGGTTGACACTACTCACCACACTGACCTTAAGCTTTCCACGCTGCATCCGTAATCCTCCTGTATGTACTCAGTCTCCTACTGCTTCACAAGGGCCAGAAAAAGAACCTCATTTGTTTAAGGTTTGCATTTGCCTCTATGCTCCATGTTTGTTACAGGAGCCCGAGCTAGGATTAATTTTTTGTTGTCCTAACTTATTTATGGTTTAAAGTATTTCAGAAGGTTTGTGATTTTAGACCTACCATCTTATCTTGAAATAATTAATCAGTAGTCTCAAATATTGGGCACTAAAGTTCTTCTCAGAGATAAATCCGATCATTCTTTTTTTTTTCCATCTGTCATGAATACATTCTCTATTTACTTAGCTTAGTAATGATAGATGCTATCTGATAGGATTTCAATTAGTGAGCTGTGAACTCTTCTCTTTCAGGCCGCAGAATATTGAACTCGGTGCCACGGGAGGAGCCGCCAAACAGGACACCAGCAATATGGAAGACATGACAGTGGAGCAGATGGCAATCAGAGCCAACCAAGTGACTGATGAGGTACTGACACACACCAGCCTCCCCCTGTCGCCCTGCTGATGTCCTCTGACTAAATAGTCAACTTTCATGTGAAAGCTGCAGTGGAAAATTTTCATTAGTTTGGAATAACGCTAAAAAAAAGTACAGCAGGGGATTGTTTGATTCCAAATTATCCCGAATGTAGTCACTGTACAGCACGTCAAATTAACATGTCTACAAAAAAAATGTTTGGTAATTAAAGTAAATGAATAATTGTCCTGAAATAAGGAATTACCTGTCTTCTCTTGTCTCGTATATTGAGTAATGTAAAAGTCACATTAAGACACCTTTCAGCAGGGATTAGTAATAGGACGGGAGCTTCTCAGGGGACTGCTTACATCATAAACAAATAGACTAAAGCCTGTATGTTAACAAGCTGTCCAACACTACCCCCATGTCCCAACCGTAAATGATGCCAGGGATCCAGTTATGCTTCCAGACATCAAAAGTCAGTTAATTCTAAGATGGGCAATGCTAATTATCATTCAGGTTCATGAAGCTTTGCAGAACTTTTGGGTAATCCTGTAAGCGAGCCGTACCAACCTCACAACCTCCTTTGAGGCAGGTTTGAACCGTCTTTCATGTTGGGTGCAAAACCTGTTTTTCCCATGAAAACAAATCAAACAAATCCAGCAGGAGCTGCCAGTATGTAGGACACTGTGTAGAAATGTCAGAGGCAGGGGGAAACTGTTAGGTTTCACTCCACCAACCAAATAGGATCTGGAATGATCACCTTTGATGACATTTAGTAGGTCATTTATTTGATGGAATTTGTTTTATTTAACCCTCATGAAGGTAGAGCTGGGTATATGTAAAATATTAGGACGGAATAAGGCTTTTTGCCATAACCTTCAGTAGAAGGCGCATCCTAATTGATCATAAGTACGAAAATAACACCCACATTTGCACAATCTAGCCTCCTCTGCATCCTAACCCTGACAGAACATAGGTCGGTTATTAGAGTAGATTGATAGAGACAGATGTTATGTGTGTGTGAGGCTGCACGCCTGATTTAGTCCTATAGCTCACTTACCCCTCTGTGCTTTTAACAGTTTGAGCTTTGTCAGTTACATCCATGTTATTATCTTTGAGATAATTGTGCAATCAGCCCTCCAGGGCGTCATTTGATCAGCCATCTGATTCAAATGAAGGCCAATTGTTTCACTCTGGCTTGGCCTGTAACTGCGTGGCTCACCTTCCTTTCATTTGGACTGTTGTTAGTGTTCCATCGGTTTTCAGATTTTTCTGCCCTTTAAGTTGTGCTTCTGGTGCTTTCTGACTAAACCTACAATTTTCCTTCCACCTCTTTCTTCTTCCTTCTGCTGCTGCCTGGTCGATCACACAAGGAACAAGAGCACAGGAGGGTCTTCCTGCTAACTACTTACCTCTCTGGCTTTTGGTAACCACTCATACCGGAAACTCTTAGATCATGGCTGACAATGTATCAGGACATTGGAATTTTCCGTGATAAAAGATTATTTGAATGAAGTCAAACATCTTAGGCTGTTTTACTGATGTCAAAGGTTATTTAAACTCAGTGTCTGGGTGACACTTCCTAATAATCCTGATATATTGCAGCCATAATGTTTCACCGTGACATACATTAATATGTGTTTCTTGCCTTAAATGTTTTAAATCTATCTTATCTGAGCTGTTTTGAGTCCTCCCAAACAAAACAGTGCAAAAATATGCCTCCAATTGTCTGTCCATCAGATTTGTCAGAGCGCCCCAGTCTGGAGAATTTGGCCTAGTGAGTGATTTAGGCTTAGTTAGCCACATGCGCTGCTTCCAGTGATGCTCAGGCTAAGCCAGAAGAGAGCTGGCTCAGCTCGACTCATCCAGCTCGCCAAGCGGCGTTTGACCGTCTCTCAACTCGCTGTCGATTGTGTTCCCAGCAAACACAGAGAAAGAGAACTCTGTCCTCACGTTCTGCTCTTAACTATCCATTACTGGTGACTCAGAAAAATAAAGATATGAGTGTAGGGTAGTTTTTCCATTTCCTCTGTCCTTAGGATCCTCCGCTCTCTGCCTCTTTAACTGTTAGCAGAGACGCGGAGGGCGTGACTCACCTGAACCGACTGCATTCCACTCTGTGTCTCGGGGCTTTTGCCTGTCATGCTGAATGCTTTCGGTGTGTTCACATGGGGGGAAACCTCCCCAGAAACAGTGCTTTTAGCATGCTGCCTTTAGGCCCAATGAATTGGATCGGAAATGTTCAAAGAAGTCCAGAATATAAAGCACAAAGAAATGTCTTTAAATGTTTACATCAGTCGATAACAAATACATAGTGGACCTTAGTTGATGAATTTCTGAGAATGAATGAGAGTAGAGGATGAAGAGGAAATGTTTGTAACGAAACAAAGAAGTAATTCAATATTAAACTTCCTTTAGTGCTCGAAGGTTGTGACGTGATGACTGGCTTTAGACGACTCTGTAGATATTTGACATATGGTACCTTAATTTGATTATTTTATGTTTGATTGTCTTGATTTATGATGTTTGAAGACAACAACCTATAAGTTGTCTGAACTCAGTGTGCACAGCAGAGTTTGGATGTTCAGGGCTCTGGTCATAGTGGGCTGTGTTTCTTGGGCCACTCACATGTTCGTCAGCTGGATCTGTGGAATTTATACATTTGGAACACTGAAATGTTTTGTTTGGTTGTTGTCATCCATTTGATTTTTCATTTAGAATTTGAAAGGTTTTTGGACTGTATTTTGTCATTTCGTGAGAAAGTTGGCTCACTAGAATTGAGCCAACATCACATCACTGTGTAAGTTTTTCTTTTCCCCTTCAATTTAATTGTTCTCATCTGTTTTCCCTCTGTAGTCGCTGGAAAGCACACGGAGGATGCTGCAGCTGGCAGAGGAGGTGAGACTTGGACAGTTCTTACTGACATGGCAGATTCATCTGCTTTGTCCAGACACTCTTTTCCTTTCTGATTTCACTTTCTGAAGTCATTTTGAAATTTAAGTTTTACTTAAGTTTAAGTTTTTTCTTACTTTTCTAATTCTTCAGAGCAAACAGACCGGCACCAACACCTTGGTGATGCTGGACGAACAAGGAGGTAAATGTGCATTACGTCACATTTTCTTTTCTTTTTTTCCATTCAGTTATGTCGTAACTATGTCCAGTAAGACACTGATGTTTTAGGCACAGAGTGTCACAGAGCCAATAAGAAAGGATAAATATATTCACACACATTATGACAGAATAAATGTTTAAATGCACTCGACTTTGTTTGTTCAAACCTCAGATTAAAGAAGGTTTTGCTTGCAATATCCACATTTTCTTTCCCACTGCAGTGAGCCAGTTTGGGATTCCCCCCCCCCAGTATGGAGGAGCATAACTCTGAAATGTTGTTTCATCTATTTTAGAGCAGCTGAAGCGTGTGGAGGAGGGCATGGACCAGATCAACCAGGACATGAGGCAGGCAGAGAAAAACCTGACTGACCTGTCCAAGTGCTGCGGCATGTGTGTCTGCCCCTGTGACAGGTACGTCACCCAGTGCAGGCGCCGGGCTTTCCCCTCCCCGTGTGTAACACAAAAGATTTGTTTGGCAAAATACACACTATATAATGTCACTAATGTGACTAAATCAGTAGCAGATCTGCCTTTTTTCCCCACTGTGTGATTCATTTTGGAAGTTTTTTAGGTTTTTTATTTGCTTAACAGTTAATGCTTCTACTTTTAAGAAGCCCAAGAGTATTAATTAACTGCAGCTGTCTCCCAAATGTGTCGCAGACAGCCTAGCTGAGGACATTATCTGTGTTTCTGCTCAAATGTCCCTTTATTTTAAAGTGATTGCTGAGGTTGAAATTTGCCATGTGGCTTTAGTTTGTGTGAAAACACGCTTGATTCTAAAGCTGAAAAATCTTTCCAAAATGCCTTCACTTTGGAGAAGAAGATACTTTGATTATCTGGATGTAAGGTAAGAGATCTTACGTCTCTGTGCCCTCAACAGTCAGCACCTGTGTTGTTTGAGGACGGTGGGCCGTGTGTAGTGAACGGTTTGAACTGAGGGTCTGAGCTTGCAGCTCATCTCTGCTCCTCCTGGCTTCTGTTTTTCTTCCAGAGTCTCATCAATCGAGAATGACTCGCGCTATAAGCGCACCTGGGGCATTGGAGGAGCTGAGAGCGAAGGGGACGCCAACAGCACTGGGGTAGTGTCCAGGCAGCCCTCAGGCGTCCGTAATGGCCAGACCGCCCAGGTGAACACCCAGGCTCCATCGGGGACAGGTCCATACGTCAAGAGGTGCGGTCCCGGTCCAGAGAATTCCAAAGACGCTTAAAGGCTGCTTTCGTCCGGAATGCTGAGGCACAGGCGGCAGTACATGAGCCCAGAATGACCCCTCTTTGCCTCTCTGGTGCAGGGTGACCAACGACGCCCGAGAGGATGAAATGGAGGACAATCTGCAGGCAGTGGGTAGCATCATCGGAAACCTGAAAACTATGGCTCTCGACATGGGCAACGAAATAGACACTCAGAACAAACAGATCGACCGCATCACTGATAAGGTGAGTCTCGTGGCTGGTGTTGTGTCCCTGTCTCCACTTTCCCCAGTGTTATATCCAGCTTTTTATTTATTTTTCAAGCATAAGGTTACACTCAGCTGTGTTCAGATGCTCACACACGGTGAGGAAAAAGTCACATAGCCAAAAAAGGAAATGCTCCTGCGAGCGTAGACCTAATGACAAACATGTCAGAGACCTGCGCTCATAGCTGCACGTGTGACGCACAAAGCCGGCCATCTGGAACAGAATCATTTGGAGCTTTGTGTAAAAAACCAACAGCCCCTTATTTCCAAACCCAGCCTAGAAGATGGCTGGTCACAGACACTTTCCATCCAGCATGACAGCTTTTTGTGTCACCTGCCAGGAGGAATGGGGCGCACTGTCCAAATCTAGGTGTGCAGGACTTCTGCACAGCAAGGCTGCTTGCTGTAATTGCAGCAAAATGTGCCACTGCACTGTTACCGAAAGCAAATCAGTAGCTTTGATCTGCTCCACAAATCGCACACTGTTTACTTCACGTTTTACATCCCCCCCCCCGCTGCTTGCAGCACGTTCCCGCTTATTGGGGAAGGTTGTGCACAGAAATTTTGAAGTTTCTCCTGACAAAGCTATTACACTGCACATTAAAAGTAAACCTTATCTCTAAATGGAAATTGGTTTGTTTACATATCCCCCCCCTCCCTTCTCTCCTCTAGGCGGACATGAACAAATTCCGCATCGACGAGGCCAACCAGAGAGCCAACAAGCTCATTAAATAAACACGGGATCCTTCGGCTGCTTTTATGCATCAACTTTGAGCCTGTTGCACGACTCACACACACACACACACACACACGCTCTCTACAATTCGGCACACGCTCAAACACACACTCATTTTAACTAAAATCAAATCAAATTTGATCTTGAGGAAGTTCGGCCCACCTTAACTGCACTAAAACGTAAATGGGAGACACAAGCATATATACTTTAAATTGTCCCCATTCACGTGCACACACATGCACGCACACACACAGAGTTATAACCGATTTTTATCACTGCCATTTGATACCAAAAATGCACCAGGCCTGTGCCAACATATCTCAGAACATTCACAGTGAGGGAGCACACGTACACGGGCTGCTTTTCATTCTTATTTAATTCTTCTAATTCGCTGTACTCTTAAGTCCCTATGAACTGTTTTTTTCTGTGTGTGTGTGTGATGTGACGTGCACATTTGAGGCCGTGCATCTCCTCCGAAGAGGTGTCGTCTTAACTCGGCCTCACGGATTTTCCCGAAAGCATCAACTTTGGTTAGAAGCATCTTACTCAGACCATCGATCTGCTGCGTAATTAAGTTTATTGTGTATTGTATGTTGAGATGAAATGCCTATTTAATTATTCATGAAGCAGAAATGACTTGTGCATGAAGCTGTCACCGTTTACACTTTGTTCCCATGTCATTTTTAGCCATTTCAGACGAAAAAGCTATTTCCACCAAAAAAAAAACAGACAAAAAAAAACAAACAAGAAATTGTGCCTTTTGCCGTGGGTGATGGCAGATGTTTTTTTCATGCTGGAATCCAACACACCTCCCTGAATAACATGTTTTAATGTCTCAAAGTGATAGAAGAACAGGATGCGCTGCCCTGCTGTTAGTTCCACGCATCGCAAAGCAATCACTTGTACGTCGGGTTACTGAGAATCAACACAAATGTCATCGTCATTACCTCCTAAAGCATTTGGTTTTTTGGGAAATCTAGCAGTGGTTGATCAGCAGCTGTGCTTCACATGCAGTTTGAAGTCGTTTTTCTGACTCTGACCACAGTGTTGATGTAAATATTGCTGTTGCTGTATATTACCTGTAGGCGTCCTGTTAATCCACTTACAACCTTTTTTTTTTTTCATCCTTTGTAACCTATTGGTTTATTGCTCCCACAAGGAGATTTAACAGTCTATTCAGGCTCCTACACAAATCAGGTCACATGTTCAGAATTTAGTCTAAATGTTGCGCGGTATGTAAAGAGACGCTTAATGTCACGTGACGTCTCATTTTAGTGAATCACTGTCCTCACGTCACCAGGGCGCTGGGTTCCTGTCCCCTTTCCCGTGCTTTTGGTTTAATTGACAGGAGACGCTACCAGCCTTTCACAACTGGCCTAAGGTTGTGTTGTAACAGCCGTTGTGTCTCAAAAAGCCTTCACCTGCTCTAGAAAGGAGTTTTTGCAGCGCAGTTACTCTCAAGCCTCTCAGGAGCTTAATTTCTTTAGTCTTTAGTTGTAACCAGACTGAGAAATAAATGATGGCTGGCAGCGAGATGCACAAATTCACACAGTTATGCAAATGAAAGCTGTTTTAAGGAGTCCTGGCGGTCAAGGCTTCACTGAGTGAAATTAGCCGATAATGAAGTTTCTGCTGAAGAAACTTAAATGCATTTCCTGGCTTATTTGTTTTCAAGAGAAGATATTTGTCTGGTTTCGCTTCAGGAGTTTTAAGGTTAAAAATGAACAGTTTTCAAGGGCATTGTACTGCTAGAAGTGATCATCCTCAGCGGGCCGGTGCTGAGCCCAGTCCCATTAGCATAAAGCTGCATTGCTGTCACCACCTCTCTGCGTGACCAACAGCCACTGGAATGTAAAAAGCAGTTTCGAAAATGTTAATAAGCAGCTCGACTTATCTGAAATTAGCTGGGTAAATGGATGAATGTTTAAACGTATTTTGTTCAAGCCTTTTTGTTTTAAGCCTGTTAAATTGTTTCTACTCAATAAAGCTACTCTGAAATTCATTGACTTTTTTTGCAAATCTTTTGACTTTAAACACGCACAAATGCAAATGACCAGATTACGGACATGAGTTCTCAAAGGACATAAAATTGGGAAATGAACAAACCCAACCTGTTAAGTCTCAGGGTATGATTTTAAACTTTATTCTCTCAAAATGTATAATGATATTTCCTGTCGGCATTTTTTTCCTGGTTTCCTGATATATTACACAGATAGAGAGTACAAAATGCAGATTAAAAACCTCTCAACACAAGTGGGAGGGAAGGAAGAAGTAGAGGACACAAAGTGGATGAAGGTGTCAGAGCTGTAGATGTAGTGACCGACAACAAATCTGAATACACACGATGCAAGCCCGTCGAACCATTGTGGTGAGTAATATGACTTCTGCTCTGATGTTTGGTATCAAATGATTTTTTTTGCTTGTAGTAGTTGCTTTGTAAGTATAAGTAAACTGCAGAGATTGTCACTTCATTTCCATGGCTGCTATTGTTCCTCTGAGGTCACTGTAGTTTGATTGTAGTTCTGAGACAAAGTCCTCCACCCTGACCACCAGTTAACTCTTTGCACGTATTGCTTTTAATGTTTCAGTATCTAGTGTTCTATGGTTCCAGCTGTCCTATTACATTCATATTCTGCTAGAAAATAAAGATCATGTCTGGTCCAGGTGCAAAACGTGGTGGAAAAAACAAACAAAAAAGCTTCTATTCAAACAACCTCTTGGTTGCCCTTGACTTTTTCTGCTTTGTTAAAACTTCTGATTGCAGTTATTTATTTTTCAATCAAATTGGAGTTCAGCCACAAATCAATTTCAACATTTGATTGTCTTTTTGTAAACACTTGGTTCAGTAAATGAAATCAGCTGTGGAGGGAACTCTCATAAAATTATGTTTACAGTTAAATCAAGCTTATTTGAGAAAGTCACATTTTGTTTAGTTTGTTTGTTTACCAAAAGTATATAAAGATGGGAAAATTACGAAGCACTGATCATCTGAATACTCAAATAGATGAAAAGTGTTTTTAACTCTTCTCTGTCCTTTGCAAATGTCTTTTGTCCTGATTCAATTATAGATAAAAGAAATTTCACCAGTAATCATTTCTCATTATGAACAAACCTCTGATAATACAACTGAATCCTCACTTTGGGTTTGCACTCTTAAAGTTGAACCCATAGCTTTTCTAAAGTTTAAAACTATTGCCCAAAAAAGTCAAGAGATGACCCTACATTGTACTTTGCATCGTTTTACCATTTGTTCAGTGTCACTTCTACAGACCAAGGAGAAATATTCCATAATCGTGATATTTTTCTCTCCTATACCCTAAGAGAGATTAAAGTCTCCAGGCGTGTATTAAACTTTTAAGCCTGGCTTTGCATCTATAAAGGAATTGTTTCCCAAAAAAGAAAGCCATTCCTCAAGTGAGCCTGAACTCCACATTCCTAATAGACTTGTGGGGCCTTTAGTGGTGCTAATTAAAATCAAAATGCCTTTTTTTATTACATTAAAAGCAGAGGTTGAGCTCATTTCCGTGACACTGTGGTCACCGGGGCACCAGCTGTGCCGTTGATGTTAGTCTTTGGAGGAATAATAGGTAATTGGTACGGATTTTCAGTATCATGAATTAAGTCTTGATACTCTGTGAGTCTGTCAAACCTGCATTTGTGAGTCTCTTTCATGAAACGGCTCTGGTGTGTCTGCACATCAGCCAAACGCATTCCCGTTTTGTGCCACTACAAGCCAAAGACAAATAAGGCATGTCAAGTTGGTCTTGCTTTACGTTTACATAAATATTACAATAGCACCATATTAAACTGACTTAAAATATCACCATGCATCTGTGTGTAAATATCTATATATGTATGTATACTGCATATATGCCAATTAACAGGAAATAATGAAGGTTAATAGACAATGTTGAATATGTTATAAGTTCACAGAAATGCCTCATTTGTTTAGAATAGGTTCTGGATGGATCTGTTTTCAGAACTGACTGATTGTGGGTTCACATGACTGCTTTTAACTTCTTCAGTTACCAGTTCGAGGCATCAAAAGTCAAACCCCTCCCAGTGCAGAGAACTGAACTTGTATAACTGCAGGTAAGATTTGAGCGTGTGTGTGTGTGTGTGTGTGTGCGCACTGCTCTTTGCTTATCACCTAAACTTAACATGCCATTTACAAAGCTATTTTATGGATATTGCTTTTGCCTCTGGTTCTCCAAGTAGCATGTAGTGCTCTGAAGCCCAGTGGCACAGAATTACAGTTCACAACCATTTCATAAGGCAGAGTAATGAAAGGTACCACCCAGTGCTCTTGAGTCACCCCATGCTCGTTGGAGGCATTTCTATTGTACATGGCTATATCGAAGCATGCGTCAAGGCAAGAAAGAAAAGCAACGTAAATACAGGAAAAACAATGTTTTACAAACATTCTTTGGTTGAGTGTGAAAGGAGCATTCCTGTGCTTTTAATTTGATGTTTTGAGGTTGGCATTTGTTAAAAAGAACACAAAGAGGGGGGAAAGGGAGTTTCGTAATAATACACTGGCTTAGATACAGGCAAAATAGTGACAGTTTCAATCTAAACTACGGCATTTGTTCATCCTCACAAAATAATATAAAAAAAATCTGGTGATAAAAAGCTCTCTCTGACTGATTGTACACAAATACTACTTTCTCTTTCCGGGTTGCCTTGGCAACGCCACCTCCCCAACAGTCTCCCCGTCTCTTTTCACTTCTTCTTGGCAAAGCGGCTGAACTTCTTCTCCTTGTCTTTCTTGGCAGAGCTGGGCTCAGGCGGGGCAGCGGAGGAGGAGGAGGAGGGAGCGGGCAGGCTCTGGGTTTTGGCCCCCAGGGGCCCCGACGCCTCCTCCTCCGCGGTCAGGCTCTGAACGGCCTTCTCCATGGCCTGGCTCCAGCGCTGGAGCTCTTCCTGGAATCAGACACACACACACAAAAAAAAACAACACACAAACACCACAGTGGATTATCAGGGGAAGCCCACCTCCACAGGGGCCCTGTTTGTTTTTGTGTGGTAGTCTGCTGCCCCCATGTTCCTGCTCATCATTAGCATTAATATCATTGCCATTTTTAATCTATTCTACGTGTTGCTGTGTTGGCTGCCCCTCTCTGCTCCTTCTGTCCTTCTCTCGCCCTCTCTCTCTCTCTTGCTCTCTCTTTCCCCTCACCCCCAACCGGCCGAGGCAGATGGCCGCCCACCCTGAGCCATGGTTCTGCTCAAGGTTTCTGCCTGTTAAAAGGAAGTTTTTCCTTGCCTGTGTCGCCTAGTGCTTGCTCATGGTGGGAATTGTTGGGTTTCTGTAGTTAACTTCAGAGTAGGGTCTGACCTGCTCTGTTTGGAAAGCGCTGTGAGACAACTGTTGTTGTGATGTGGCGCTATATAAATAAAATTGAATTGAAATTGAATTGAATTGAATAGTCTATTTGCGTAAATGAACGAGCAGAGGTGGTGACATTAAATGGAGGTAAGGAGCATAACATCAGCACTTTGCCAAAGTAGCTAATGGCCATTGAGAAAGAAATGTGCATAATCTACCTCATGTTCTTCTCATACTGCAAAATCAGTAATGTTATTTATGTCTTAAATGTCAATGTATATCTTACCTCGTCTTTACACTGGAACAAATATTCAGTGCCGTCACCCAGACTGTGGGAGAAGAGAGAGGAGAGCTTTCACCACTTGGACCAAAACTAAAAGCTTCCTCAAAACACGTCTCAGGATGCTCGAGTTGGAAGTTTAGCAGCACCTCTGGAGGAGTCCGGTGTGGCCGTGCCTCGCGTGGCAAAGTGGGCGCACAGCATTATCTCAGAGTGAGTATATTTTTGAAATATATACAACAGTGAGCAAAAGAAAATTGCTTTTTAGATTGATTTTTTAGGTTTGGTTGAATAAATCCAGCGGCAGTTCGACGTTTCATGACTTATTTTAAAAAAATGTTTCACTGTTTACTTATATCACCTTTGGCAGGCAGCACAAATTGCACACCATTTTTTGAAGACAGTTTGTTAATTAAATCATACTTGATGTTTGGTAAGAGTCTCTCTCTTTACCTGTCACCTGAATAACTTTTAAATATGTTTTTTAGCTCTTTTCAGTGCAGAAGTTGTCAAGAGGATTGCAACCAGCTCTTTTCCAAAAGCTTGGGCTTGTGTATCCTTTGGTAGTTAATGTGGGTGTTTCACATTTCACTTTATTTAGCCTTTCATCTTCTTCTGTGACAATTGTATCCTCGCTTTGCTGACATTTTGTGGAAATAGAGCAGCCTTTCCTGTCACACAACCGCAAAGCAGATAATTCCAACCTTTATATTTAACAGCAGGCATGGTGTTGGTTTCCATCAAGTGGTGCTCCTTTTCCCCTTTGAGTACACCTGGGTTATTGTATCCAAAAAGCTCAATTTAATCTTTATCTGTCCACAGCCGTCTTGCGTATCCTCGCAATCTGTCTAACCCAGTTTCTGTTACACCTCCTGTCTGTCAGCCTCACCTTCCTTAGTGATAATTTGGTTTTCCCTTTCTTTTCCCAGAAAATGTAGCATCTCTTAAACTTGTCTCGATCTTTTAGATCTCGTCTTGACTAGAGATTTATAGCCTTTCTCATGATTGTAATCACCCTCTGAACAGAGTTGACTTTCAAATCGGCTGAATTTCAATGTTCTTATAACCCACCCCTGCCACTCATTTTCCAATCCCCAGTCAGCTGCTGAGAGGAACCCAATGGGGTTGAAGAGTAAAAGGATTTTCTTTTTTCAAACCACAGGCCTGTAATCAGTTGATGCTTTCAGTTGACATTTCAGGCCTAATCAGTTAATGAGGATCTGAGACTTTACAAGAAGGAAGTCAAATCTTTTGCATATTTCATTATTTTCTTAATAGATCATTAAGAAATTCAGTTTTATGGATGCTGGCGGCAGTTGCGCTCCTCTACTTTTAATACCAACGAGTAAACGACTGAGGACTGAGGTTTCTGGACCTTTGGGAGAGGTATGTTGCCCTAACCTTGCCTAAAAGATTATTCTAGCAGCTCAAAAGTTCTGGGTAACCTTTGTGGTTTATTGCATTTCATAATGCACCAAATGGAATCAGTAGGTGAGAGGTCAGGACTGCAGGTGGACCGGTCCAGCACTTTCATGCCTCCACCATGAACCCATGCTGTTGTGACAGATGCAGTATGGTTTAACACATGTGTCTGATATATACAAAGCTGTTCCTGATAAATCTCTCATCTGTCTGGGAGCACATGTTTCTCTAAAGTTAAGATTAGATCAGATTAGATTAAACTGTATTGTTATTACACATGAACAGCTGTATGTTAAGCATCTTACCATAAGTGGAAATAGCAGTGAGTGCATGCAGCATAATGGTGTGTTATATAAAGGTATGTAAAAGCATATATTTTTTGTTTGCAACTCACTGTTGCCTTTTTGTTTTTTTACAGACAAGAGGACAGCTCATTTTAATACACGGTAAGCATGTTGCTGTGGATGGGCTGTGAGAAACAAAAAGGCGAAAACCAAGCCAGCCTGAATCAAAATGACCCATTCTGAGCAAAGAATCACATTTTTTTGGCTTGAAAAATTTTTGGAAATAGGCTTATTTGCCCTCTTGCCGAGTGTGAGATGAGTATGCAGCCTCTCATATTTGGCTGTTAACATAATGAAATGCCGAGTCAGAAGGTGGTGGGTTTGGCATAAAAATTGGAAAGAGGTTGATACAGTTAGATAGCATTTCTAGCGGTTTAAAAAAAACAAACTCTGAACATCCCTGAAGCTTAGAAATAATATGTCTTGTGTTTGATGGGCTCGAAAGCTGAAAACAACCAGTTGGCTTGTCACATGGAGGTTAAGAATGTTGAGAGGGTGGAAGCCGGGGGCAGAGACTTCTAAGAGTCTCAGCTGGTTGCTTGGAAACTTCAACATAAAAAAATCCAAAGACGTCACCTCAGCCGTCAAGTACTGATGGCAAACATGTTTTAAAAAGCATTTTTCTGGCACAAAATTCAACACAAATACAAGTACCACACTCTGTTTTCTCATCTAATCATCTGTGAACTCTGTTAAGAAGAAAAATGAGGATGACATCTATATTACCGTAGCTTGGCAACGTGCTTCTTCTTTTTGTAGTTGGTGAGGATCTCCCAAGTGGCATTATTGAGAGACAGGGGGTCCTCGCCGTGAAATGTCACTCCATGGCTAAAGCTTTTGGCATCCTTATAGGCTGAGAGCTGACCCGGCTTCAGCACACAGTACAAATTGTTCCATGACCTGACAGTGAAAAAACGGGAAGAGGGATGAAAAAAAAGCTGGTAATTTCAGACCGACTTCTGGTCTGAAACAAAACTCATCTCGGTTCAATCCTACAAACAAAAAGCCTGTACCGCTGTGGCCTTTTCTTTACCTGTTGGATGCCTTCTTTCCAGACCCCTCCACGTCGTGTTTGCGTCCCAGCATGCCCTCCAGCAGAACTGCATGGCTCCTGCGGGGCTCTGAGGGCATGGTGGCAGCCCTGTCTGGCTGTTGTGGGGTCTCTGCGGGCATGGCGGGCTCAGGCTCCAGCTCCAGAGAAGCACTGCCCCTCATCTCTGACTCAATCGGTACCGTGGAGTCACCCTCCAACGGACCTGAAACGGGCTCCATTGCACCCGACTGAAGCAGAGGAAAGGGAAATTAAAGACAAATTAAGCACAACTAAATCAAAGCTTCATCAAAAACAGTTAAGTGAAGTTACCACCAAAATAACAATAAAAGTTAGTCTAAGATAGGAAGCAGGTGGTGTGTGTAGAACAGAAGTACTAACCAGTGTTTGTTCCTCGATAGTGTAGAGTTGTGAAGATTCTTCCACAAAGCCTGTGTCTTCTTTCCTACAAACAATAAGAACGAGAGAGATACAGTGTGTGACTTATCAAAAATATAATACGTATTTTAATCAGATCCCAAAAACCAAGCACACTGGGACACTTTTCAGAGCTCTCCAGTCTGTCTCTGGCTTTTATCTGCAAGGTAAATGGTTTCTGGCAGCAGTATTAAGTTAGAGCGCTTCTCCGAGGTACTGAGTAGGAAGCCTTTAAAGATATGAGGATGCCTTTTTTTGTTGCTTGTGATCTTTGCATGGAGTTTATTGAGAAGAGTATAACACTAGAGGATCGGCAGATGAATCCTTTCTTGGTGACTGTCTCTGAGTAATTCCACGTGTTCACAAAGCTGCTGCGCTGTAAAACTTAAAAGTGTACCTGCTGTCTTTATCTGAACGCTGCTCGTCTTTGATGAACTTCTCCATGTCCTGTTGCTGCTTCCTCAGCTCCAACAGCTCCAGCTGCAGCACAGCAGACAAATGGCATTAGCTCCATCTATTCAAGTTATTGGCTTGTGGTTGTTGTCCGAACATTTTTCTCTCCAGCACGTTTCTGACAGGATGGCGGCGCTCCGCCGCCACCGTGTCGTGTTTCCCGTACCGTGGTGAGGCGCTCCAGAGCAGAGAAGCGCTCCTCCCAGGTGGCGGTGGATTTCTCAAAGGCCTCGTGCCTCTTGAGGAGTTTCTCGACCTCGTCCACGGTGTGACCCAGGTCTCTGCTGGTCACATAGGGCTCCTGAGCGATCAGCCAGGCCTCCGCCACGGAGGCGTCTCGTGCAAACTGACACACCTCCAGCACTGGACGCAACCAAGGCACATCAGCATTCGATCTTTTAAAAGGTACTTTTTAAAGCATCTATTCACTATGTGGCATTTCCTAACACTTTTCCAAGTTAAATGTTTTTCATTGCCAATAAAGGGCAATAAGGTGGCTGCTTTCAAATTGTTCGCCTTTGCTAATTCATTGAACATGTTTATGTTTTGTCAAGTTAAAGTTTGAACTGCAGAAGAGAAAAAAAAGTTTCATTTTGGGGTGTATTACACTCTATGGAAGTGTTTCCCATTTTGTGCTGCTGAACATGAATTATAAAGTTCCTTTTTGTGACAATGTTTTAGAGCAGTCAGTTCATGATGTGAGACAAATGACCTTATTCCAGATGTGTGAAAGATAAAGATCTATTTGCAGGCTTTATGTTCAAGCTGAGGTATGACGTAAGAGTAGTTTTACTCACGGAGTCGAAGCCAGTCCCATCTGTCATCCCACTTAAACATCATTTCCTTCCTCTTCTCCATCAGCTGCACCAGCTTCTCTTTGATCTGACGCAAGGAGTCGTACAGCCAAAGTTACATATCAGCAATATAAAACACCTCAACCCCAAGACTGCCTTCAAGATTATCCCAAGAATTTGCATCGTGAAGTAATTAACCGTACGTTAGATTCAGGCCAGGGTCAATTGCTTATTTAAATTCTGTTGGATTTTCCATTTGTAATTAGTATTCGCTTTATAGTCTCCCTTATGGATGTGAGAAGACTGGAATTCTTTTCTTTTGTGGCAACACAATTGGTTCCAATATGCCAGACAGGAACAATCACTCCCAGAAAAGTAATTAAATCTAATGAAAGTAGCTATTTGGGGCCCGGCGGAGGATGAAAAGATGCTGTCTGTGCTGCAAAAGCCTCACCTCAGCAGAGTCGCGGTGTTTGCGTGTCAGCAGGGCTTTGCCCAGGTCCGTGCAGTCGCTGAACTTTCCGCCCCTGGCTTCAATCTCTGAACGGATCCCTTGGTGGTACTTCTGCAGAAGCTCAACAGATGAGACATCCCTAATGAAGAGGAGAGAGGGGTTCAGAGAGGTGACAGGTGCAGTAACGTCTGAGTCCGATCTAAAAAAAATTGTAGCATAAACTCCATTTTTAGTAATGAAAAATGCACACAGAGAGCCCGTAAACTCCAGATGACCCCTTTTGTTTGCAGTTTGAATTTATGCTAACAAGCATGCATGTAAAACACAATCTAATGAAAGAGTATGATGTTCTTATTTATTTATGTATATTTCAATAAGAAATTTTAAAAAGTGAGCGTCCATGACTTTCTGGTCACATATTTTTGGTTTGGTTTTAACACTTGTTCCATCTATCAACATCTTTGAAATTTGCATAAATCAATGGTGATATTTTAGTCAGGAGTGGCTGAGTAAAAATCTCCCATGCTGTTTGATGTGTTTCTCACCTGGGCTTCTCCTGAGTCTCTATCTGCTGGATGATGCTCTCCATCCAGGCCATGAGGTCTCGCACCATGGTAAAGAAGCGGAACTTCTCTGCTGTGTCCACTAGCTGCGCCCGGCGGCCGTCAGACGCGTCCAGCAAGCCCTTCCAGGCCTCCATCACCTCTCTCGCCGTGGCCTGGATAGCGTTGGCTCTTTCCCCTGCATACTGGGCATGCAGCCGTGACGCCGTGTCCTGGAACTCTTGGACCTAAAGATTTCCGTTAACAGATCTTAAGTTGTTGTTTTTTATCTTTTCTTTCGTTTTTTTTTTAGTTTTTACAAAAAGAGAATAGCAGTATGCAGTCAGATAGCTATCAAATATGAAAAAGTACTGATCATCCCAGTTTGGGCTGTGATAACCCTATTCCCGTACTATATGAAACATTTTAGGGTTGCCTGAATATTGCAACACTCTCCACTCATCAAGTATGACTCATCAAAGTTTTCCTTTCGCATCTGCCTGCAGTGTTCCGTCAAGACTAAAAGGCTTGATCTCCTGTGTGATACCTGTTTGCCGAGAGCAGTGATGTCTCTCTCGAAGGCGGCGTGCATTCTGTGGAAGGATTCTGCTTTGCTGAAGTCCTCACCCACGTCTTCAGGTAGCTCGTTCTGCTTCTCGTGGATCTGAGCCACCAGCTCTTTTCCATCATCAAAGTACCTGAGAGGAAAGAGAGCAGACTGTTAGCACCCTCCTATTCATCACTGCCATCACATTTATTAGCCCAGGGATTTTAATTAGCTTTTGTTTCATGTCTTAAGACGTTGCGATTTTGTCTAATGTGGAAATAGTACTGTAGGAATTAGAGATTAGACATTTTCATGCCATCAGCAGATACAACTTTAAATCTCTCGGTTCAGGGTCGTTTACATTTCTTTTGACTTACTTGAGCAGCTCGTAAGATGCTGTGAGGAGTTGAGCACGAGTGTCAATCAGCTCCAGCAGATCGGCCCAGCTCTCATTGATGCTGTCTTTCCACTCTGCCAAGGTGGCCGCCTCACTGTGACCAGACTCGATCAGCTCATCTATAGTCTGGTTGACCATGTCCACCCGCTCCTGACCCATCATCCCAGTGTCCCGGGCAAAGTCTCGGAACTTATCCCTTAAGATCTTAAAGGAAAAGACATCTCTTTAAAAGGTTGTATTTTCTTTCTTATCAGAAGTACTGATGACATCAATGGAAAATGCTTGAGTTACAATATGAATTTAAAAAAACTTGTAAAAGAATTCTAAAACCAAAATCTGCTCCAGTAGTTTTCTCTTTTTTAGTTTTCAGTCATTTCTGTGTGTTAATATTTTACTTAGTCAAAAACATTAAATATTTTTGAGTAACTAGAGTGAACATTTGTCCATACTTCAAAGGTAACTCTGATCCCAATGGGTTAAATATAGACTGTGAGAATGTTGGTGAAGCAGGAGTTACAGAGCTCAGAAAAAGCACTGAGGTGGAAATTTTTTTAAGTCCCAATGATCAAAATAGGTACACTTTGTTCTGTGAAAACAGAGAAGGAACAGTGTCTTCATGATAACTGAGCCTGAGTAAGCCCTTTTAGCTGTTTCTTCTTGTGTTTGTAATACCGTGACGTGGTCCAGGTCTTGACCCATCTCCTGAGAAGAGGCCACAACGTCTCTCTCTGCGATCCACTGCTCCAGGTCCTCCACCTCTCGGCTCAGCAGGAAGTGGTGATATGTGTGGTCCAGCTTCTTCCTGCGGTCCTCTGCCAACTCCTTCAGCCCCGCATACTGCTTATCCACCTGCCCCTGCCGCCTGATTATCTCCTCACTGCAGACACATGGAAACCAGAAAATGGAGGAAATATTATTCAGGTAAAAATAAGAAAGGTCAAACATATTGGCTTTGGGGTTACTCTAGATGAATCATGTAATTAAGAGACACATTTTGCATGCTTGTCATAATTATCATCATAAATCACAACTGACTGGAAAAACGCATGTAAATTAGCATTAAATGGATGTGTTTTTTTCTCTGTGGGTCAGATTTTCGAGGCACAAACCCATCAGGATGGTCCTCTGCAAACATCCTTTGAGCGCGGTCAGCCAGCTTCTGAACGGAGTCAGCATAGTCGTCCACTGCCTGCTTCAGTATCATTTGGCGCTTTAGCATCAGCATGGCACTTTGTTCATCCTGGACAGAAGAAAGGAGGAGTATGAGGAAGAAGCAGGAGGATGGCGATGGATAAAATGCATCAAAGCAACACAAAGTACTCCAGAATGAGCCCTCCGTAGTCAGCTCTGAAAAGCATATCAACTTAATTAAAGGAAACCCGAACCATGTAATCATGGTAATTAATTGAGTGCCACTTGTTATTGGCGCTGACTGGTGAGCTTTAATTTGATTAGGATAATAAGATCTGATTTTCAGGCATTTGTGGAAGCTGAGTTAATCGGCCCGCTTTCTCGTCTCGATCACGTGATTCTTCCCCTGAACCTCACCTTGGCTTTTTCATCCGCAATCATGTAGAGCTCCTGCTCTCCTATCCAGGCCTCGGCTTCGTCGGCATCGTTGTAATACTGCTGGACCAAGTTGGAGCCATTCAGCCTCTCGCGGCGCTTGGCCATCTCGTCCTGCAGCCGGCCCCACGCCTCGTCCAGCTCCTTCAGCTGGTCAGTGATTTGCTCTGACTCCGGCCTGCCCTCCACGCCAGCAGCCGCGGCCATCCTCCTTCCTCGCTCCAGCACTTCGTCAATGCGAGGCTGGTGTCCCTCAATCTCTCTCTGCAGTGTCTGACAGACCATGAAGAGTTGGTGAATGTATCTAGCTCACTTTACTTCACTTTAACAGGGTTAGCTCTGTTAAAGAAAACAAAGCTGCTGCAGCAGAGAGGTGGTCAGTTCAACCACTGAGGGACTGAGAGGGGCCAAATTCTACAGTTTATGAACAAAAGAATAATCATTTGAAAAAGTCAAAAAGTTCCATACCTGGTTCTTTTTTGACAGCATTTGAACAGTTTGAAGATTGTTGCCATGCTCTTTTGACATTGCTAGGGGCATCCTCTCCTCAATCCAGAGCTGAAAAGGATGGGAAAGATTAAGGTATGATTGGAAAAATCAGCTAAATCTCTTATGTGCACCTAATGTATATATATACATATGTATATAAATTTGTGTGTATATGAAGGAGATTTTACTCTTTTATAAGGTCTAACACTCACCTCAAACATGATCTATTTTACTGACTAGCATGGATTAAAGCAGTGAAACAATAATTTAACTAAGATTTGAAAACAAAATCTCAAGATACATTGATGTCACAACAAAAGACGTTTGGGTGACTTTAATTTCAAAACTGATCTAATCAGTGTGCTGTCTAACTGTTACTCAGTCGCAGTAGTAAAATGCTTTAGTCTTTTAAGAGATGCCTTTTAAGGGAGATTCCGGTCTTTGTATGTTTAAAACATGAACCTCATTATTCCGATATTTTTTATTAATCATTCTGTGTGGACAGAGGGTTTTGACTCCTTCACTTTGCTATGAAATTGGATTCATGCTTACAAGCTCATCAGCCATGTCTCTGTAGAACTGGTGGACAGCCTTGGCGGCCTCGAGTTTGCCCCTGCGTTGGGCCAGTGGTGTGAGGAGTGTCTGGAACTCGCCCTGCAGGGCCTGCTGCTCGGCCTCCAGCTCCGGCTGGTCGTCCCTGGCTCCGCCATGCTTCCTGACAGCCTCCTGGAGCTCCTCCAGCTCCCGCGCCCGGCCCCGGACCTGGTTCTCTGTCGTCTGAATGGGTAAACATGATGAGAGAAAAAAAGAAGAATAGTCTTTCAGGAGCCTAATCAGGATGCAAAGGAGGGCAAAGCAAGTCTTGTTCTTTTATGTGCAGCGGTAAGCTTAGAACATTTTTCTAATCATGTTACTTCTATAAGAACAACTCAACGTTACAAATTACGCTGCTGTTTCATAACCTGTATTTTAGCAATTCATACTGATTCCTTGTTTTGTTAATACATATATTATCCATTTCAAGATACCAATAGATTTGTATACAAGACAAGCAGGATCCTTTTAATTAAAAATGAATTAATAGAAGCACACATTGCAGAGACATAGTGCAGATAAGTGTAACATGGAAACATGGTAGTAACAGGTGATACAGACCTGGTGCTTCTTTAGCAGGATGTTAGCGTTTGTCAGGTCTTTCACCTCCTCCTCCTCCCCGCTCTGCAACTGTTGCTGCAGCTCACTCAGCCACTTCTTCATGTCAGCCAGGCTCTGGTCGAACAGTTCAGAGCGGTTGGCATCAAACAGCAGCCGAGCCTTCTCCTGAGTGGTGGACTCCAGTTTTTCCCACAGCTCATGGAGCTTGGCCAGACGTTCCTTCACAATAGGCTCGAATTCGGGCTTGGACTCCATGAGCTCCTGACCCTCCTGCGATCACAAAGACAAGGGACAGGATATAGTTTTTTAAATAATCGCGAAGTAAAGATGACAGTCTTATGACTTGCTTATGCATAATTCATTATTGTCTGAAGTCATATCTGAATGATTTTACATATTTACACACTGAGAGCTTCAGTGGTGTGATATTATGACAGAATGTGTATTCTCTGAAATTAGACTCAAGTCACATTTTTATTCTAATTAAATCCATTTTCTTATCTTATATTATTTTGTTATTATTTATTATTATTGTTATCAAATTGATAACAAAAAGTAATGGGACAAAGCCATTAAACGAAATGTGTTTACTTACTTTATGTACTTGCTGTAATAGTACTTTAACATTGCTGTGGGGTAAAGTTAGCTTAACTGTAAGGCAATATATAAACAGGAATTCTAGTTCTATTGGTTTCGTATCAGCACAGGAGTGGTAAAATGATTTACAATTAAACAATTAGAATTAAAAGCAGCATGCAGCTTTCCTTCACCTGGTCCACTTTGTTTAGCCAGTCCTTGTTGGAGGCCAGCTCAGCCATGAAGGCCTGATGTTTGAGCCACTTGCTGTGGAGGTTCCGAGCCTCATCATACGAAGTGTCCTGTGCTGTTAACATCTTCTCATTGATCCATACAGTCAGCTGAAGCAAGCCAAAAAACAAAGATTATTGTGAGCTTAAGTTGACTGTGTTGGTCAATGAGCAGCTAAAATAAATATATGAAGGGTTACAAAGCGTTGGAAATGCTTCAGAGGATTTCTAACTCTTTATAACCAACAGTTTATAACCATCTGCTAAATTACTCCCAATCAAAAATGTATTCAACACAGCAAAATACATCTGGTAAATAATAAAAAGCTTAGGAACAGGAAAACTCCATCATGCAAAGTGTAATTGAGGATAAGGAGTAAGCTTACAGTGTGGATTAACCCTAACCCTGTGGTTGCATGTACGGTAAAATGACGGAGAACTCACATCTTGAGTGTTTTGCAAGAAGTGCTGGAGGTCACGGTTATCTCGGAGCTTTTCAGACACCTCCTCGGCTCGTCTTTTATTCCTGCTGCGCCTGCAGAGCACACGCGAAGCAGGGGCAGTGCATCAAAATACAGTCTCAGACGGAGTCATTCTTTCCTCTCCTCAAACGAATCCCCCTGTGACACGATACTAACAGGATGCTTTACATGAGCCCATGTGAGCTCCTCCGCCTTCACTGGGAGACGGTCATCTGTTTCCCTGCTGCACTGTGAAGAGCAGCTCTCATTTGCAGATCAATACCCATTATTGCAGGTGCCTGTCTATCAAGCTAAGCAGCAGGAGGTAATGAGACTACCCCCCCACCCACCCCCACCCCTTTGCCCTCTGTTAAGCCTACCACACTGATAAGAAACCCTTTTTCACTGTTGAGTCAAGAAAGTGCAGCTTTATTTGAACTGAGGCACCTCAAAATAAACTTCATTATCGAATTTAGGAAGTGGAAATCTATTTTCCTTTTAATACAGTGTTCTGGCAACAGTACCAAACCAAATACTTCTTTACACTACCTAGTTGTTCGTTCACTGACTATAACTAAAAAAAGCGTGATAACACACCTGTCTTTGATTGAGTCCATTTTGTCCTGAACTTTCCCTGAGTACAGGTTGTTGCTGTCCACCAGACGTTGTCCGCCATTTAGAGCGCCATCAATTTTGTCCTCGTTGGCCTCCATGGTGCTCACAAAGTCCTCATGCTTCCTCAGAGCCTTCTCTGCCCCGTCCAGGGTGTCGGGCTTGTCTATGTGGGCCAGCGTATACTCCTGAAACAGAACAGCCATCGCGGTTGACAAAGAAAATGACTAAAAAGAAAACAGATAGTCTTCTAACTGCTATATGAGACATGACAAACATGCCGTTTAAGAACAGACTGTGCAACATTCCTGGCCTATAGCACCACTGCTGCATTATTTACGTGCTTCACCCCTTCACTAAACTCTTCCACTTAAACACTGACATCATTAGGACAGGCCGCGTGCAGTACCTGGTTATTGAGGATGGCCTCGACAGCTTTGCCATCTCTCATGAACTGTTGGAAGCCCAGGCCCTGGTCCAGGAAGTTCTTGCGACTGTCCCACATTTTCTGGAGCTCCAACCAGCCGCGGTCCAAGCCCTTCAGCCTCTGCTCCAGCTGCTGGTACTGAGGATCGTCCTCTTGGCCCTGGGTGACCTGGGCGCCGGTGTCCCTCACGCGGTGATAGTCCTCCTCGTGGTTGCTTATGTCCTCGCGCACGCCGTCGTGAAGACTCAGCAGCTCCTCGGCCTCTGGTAAGGAGGTGGGTATGTCCTCGGAGGCCACCGCTTTCTGAGCCTTGAAAAGCCAGGACTGGAAGTCGTCCATTTCTTGCAGGAAGGTCTGTAACTTGCTGACCTCCCCCAAAGACTCCTCCCGGTCACTCAGGGTCTTTCTAAGCGTGTCCCATGCGTCTTCCAGCTCTCCTCTGCGAGCCAAGATAGCCGCTGCGCTCTCCGGATGATCCTGGGCAAGCTGGTCGGCCTCTTGCCTCAGGAAGGTAAGCTTGGCATCAATGGCGGCTATATCTCTTTCTATCCCAAACAGTTTCCTCTGGATGGTCATGACCGCGGCCAAGTCGTTGCCCAACTCCTGCGTGGACTCGATCACACGTGTCTTCTCTTTGATCCAGGCCTCCGTCTCGTCACACTCCAAACCATAGTTTTGCAGACTAACAGCTGAATCTGTCCTCCTCTTCTTCTCCTCCACCATTGCCTTGAAGGCCTCCCATCTGGAAAATAATGATTGGTTGTTTTAACTGGCCTTAATATTCTTGTTAATGTGCCAAGAAGACATCTGGGAATGTTTAAGCTGTAGCTGTAGTATGTTGTTTTCTCGATTTTATGGTAAAATTATACAAATAACATACAGAACCTAAACCAGTCAGCATTAATTATATTTCGAATAAATCAAAGATAACATAAAATTCTTCTTCCCATATTTTTATTGCATGCTGATATATTTCCATGTGTGCGGCTGTGCCCAAGAGATTGAGAAAATACCACTTTAGCAGCACTAAACTAAATACATTATTTCACAAAATGGTATTTGAAACCTCGTGAGTCTATCATTTTATAGACTGAATTTTTAAAATCTATCCAGCACAGCATCACCAACACGCCAAGAGACACAAAACAGAAACATTAGAGTCATTTATCCAATGCATATGTAGTACCTCTTATTCAGTCGAGCCTGACATTCCTTGATGTCTTTGGTACGAGGGTGTCTGCTGTCTTCAAGCTGTTTTACAGCTTTGTTGACGTCATCTACTCTTGACTGAACATTTGCCATATCTTGAGCCAAAATGCTTAACCTGCAAACAAGGAAAGTGTAAATGAAAAATGACAGAAGCAGAATAAAAAAGGGAAAAAAAGAGCTTTTCTAAATGTTTGATAATTGGCACTGCTATTTCAGATGTTGAAATAGACTTGATGAGGGCTTAATCACTTCACCTGTTCTGTACTACTTCCAGATCCTCCAACTTCTCAGGCACCTCCAAGCCCACCAGCCACGTCTCCTTCTGGCTCATCCAGAGCTCGCAGGCGTCCGTCTCACTGAAGATGGTGTACAGAGACATGGCGTCGTCCAGCTTCTTCTGTCTCACGTCAGCCAGAGACAGGAGCTCCATGTAAAGGTCCTTGATGTCTTTCAGACGTCTCTGGATATCCGGGGTGTTTTGGAGCTCCTCCGGCAGCGCGTTGGCCTGTTTGGACAGAGCCTCGATAGTTGCTCCGTTCTTTATTGCTTCATTCTTCAGGTTGTTGTGCTTTTTCAGTAGCCTCTGAGTGGTGTACTCATCCTGGCCCACGTCGTCGCTGCTCATCTGCCTCTTGGCGTCCAGCAGCCAGGCCATGAGATCATCAGCGTCTCCCTGGAACTGGAAGAACGTCTGGGTGTCCTGCAGGTTCTGCTTTCGAAATGCGGCCAGCTCCTCCAGCTGCTGCCACTGCCTCTCGATGTCGTCCATGCACTCTTGAATCTTTGGCGAGCCGAAGTGCTTTGCCCGGATCATGCTCTCCCCCTCGGCCAGGAGCTGCTGCAGGTTGGCGCGGCGCGCTCCCAGCTCGTCCTCGAAGGCGCTGTGTTTGCTCTGGAGCACCAGCACGCTCGTCATGTCCTTGCCATAGTCAAGGGAGGAGAAAATGTTCTCCTTCTCCCTGATCCAGCTCTCCAGCTCCGTCGCCTCCCACAAGAAGTTCCAGAAGCGGCGGGACTGCTCCAAGCGGGCCCTTCGCTGCGCGGCCAGGGCGCAGAGCTCCTGGTAACACAGGTCCACATGCTGCACCCTGTCACGGATCACCTGAGGATCACATGGCTTATAGCCTGAGGAGGAAAGAACAAAGAAATGCTCAGCATTGTACTCTTGACATCAACACATATCACGCTTTGTGTTTCCGTAGTTCTCATAAAGTCAAGAAGGGAAATTCATTACAACAACACATACATGACACAGATTATTGCATAATGAAATCATGCCAGTTCTTGAAGTTTACACTAATTACACTTTGAATTAAGCTGTTAAAACACGATGAAATAGTAAATAATCCTGTAGAAATAACAAATCCAAATTAAAGGATAAGAGAGGTTTTTAATTCATGGCGTTGTTTTTCCAAGGAGCACAATGAGCTATTGCACTTACTGTCTCCATTGGCAAACTTCAGAGCGGCAGCACTGGCGCTTTGTACCCTGTCTGCCTGCAGAGCAATGTCATTTTCTAACAGCGCATGTTTTTGGAGCAAGTCCTCCACCTCCAACAAGTGTTTCCCAAAGTCAGGAGACAGCAGCCGAGCCTGAGGAGGGAGGGGAACTGTTTGATCACTGCAGCCTTGCCAAGATATAGATTTTAAAAAAATGCATGTGCATGTTCAAGTCTCCTGCATACCTTCATTTCATCCATCCAGCTGATGATGTGCAGCATCTCCTGGAAGATCCTCTGCAGGGTCAGGTTCTTATCCAGGCGCCCTCTACGAGCCTTCAGCAGCTCCTGCAAGTAGTCCCACAGACGCAGGACGTTGTCTTTCCGCGCGTCGATCCGCTTGGCGTCATGGTAACGCTCAGTTTCCAGCTCCTTCGATATGTTCACCAGGGCTTGGACACGCTCCTCATAGGCAGCAATGTCGGTCTCAATAGCATCATGCTTCTTTTTTGCGGCCTCAACTGCTGGCAGGTCATAACCAAAGTTATCCTGAGGAGCAGAGAGCAGATGAAGTGAGTTCCCACACATAAAAGCATTCAGGAAACAAACTTGGTAGTATGAAAAAGTTATTTACAAACAAATACACCATCATATTATGAATGTCAGTGACAGGTTCTTTGACTTTAGGTACTTTAAGATATGTTTTTTAGAAAAGATTTAAATTCAGATTTAGCTACATCAAACGTTTACACTGCTGAAAAAAACGTAAATCCACTTTCTCTTTGCAGCTGACACATTTCAGTTTGTTTCATCTCCCCACGATTTCACGATTTCTGCGTTTTACTCCTCCCATGTGGAGAGCTCTGCTGTGCAGCCAGCCTGCTGCTTCACTTAATTAACAGAAATGCTCGTTCTCTGTCAAATGTTAAATCTGATGCAAAAGAACGGCTGCAACGCCACAACCATCATACAATAAAACCCCGGCTCGGTTAAACAAACATCAGATACACAAATTTAAACATTAAGGTTCAGCCGCAGCTGTGCAGCGGTTTGCTCACCTGAGCCACTAGTCTCTGGTTCTCCAGGAGCCAGGTCTCCCTCATGGCCGCCTTCCTGTCAAACCTCCGTGCCATCTGTTCCAGCTTCTGCTGCCGGATCAGCTCGTCTCTCAGGACACGTTCCCGCTCGTGCTCCGCCCTTTCCAGGCGCTCCCAGGCCTGAACGCAGAAGATGAGATGCACCCTGAGTGTCTGGGATCATTGCTTGTCTTCACGTCGACAGCAAAGCTAGATGTCAACATTGGTCAAGGACTATCTTTATTGTATTTTAAATGGTTTTTTTTTTCCACATTAAAAGGCATTTGTTGTTTAATTGCTGTCATGGATTTATGGTTTACTTATTGAGTGCATTTTTCTATCCAAACATGCTGGTTGCTTGAATTCTAAATCCCAACATGCACAGAGAGGCTTTGCTTTTTCTCACTGAAAATGCTCTGCACGGATTCAGGTTTGTGCCTGAAAGCAATCTCACCCTGTTGATGTCTGAAACTAGAGCTCCCTCTTTAGGCGTGTAAACCCTCTGGTTGTTGGCCCTCATGCGACTCTGGATGGTGAAGAGCAGCACCTCTAGATTTCCTTTTTCCTGGAATCTGAGAGGCAACAAAAGTTACACTTCAGCATGACAATTTTATCGGAATCGATCTTATACTGTGAATGTGAAAATCAAACAGAGCCCAATAAAGGGGATCGAACTAAAGGCTGGTCTCACTTGGGGGGCTTCTCTACTGTGCGGTAGGTGTTGAATGCCTGAAGTTGCTGCTGAACTCCAGTCAGAGAGTTGGCTAGTTTCCGGTTGTTCAGAACAATAATGGTTTGCTCGATCCACGTCAGCAGGTCTGACGCCAGCGTCTCATACTTATCAATCATCTGCTCTGTCTCAATGGCATGGTCCAAAACCTGGAAACAGAAGGTAAAGGTAAATAACGGATCAGGTCTAGCAAAATGAGCATTTTCTTTCTCCTGTCTCACCTTTCCGACTCTCTTTCCCTCAACAGCGAGCTGCTTCATCTTTGAGAAGTAGTGGTAAAACGCCACAACATATGTAATGATGGACTTCTCATCTGGGTTCTCTGTGAACACGTCTGTGGGAGAAATCGGCAAACAACAAACAAGTCAGTCAAGTCTGATATGAAAATGCTCAGAAACGATCCGGAGGCACAGCCTTCGTCAGTCACTCGCCTTCTGGGTCCAAGAGTTTTGTCACACCAAGCTTCTGCTCCGCCACGTTGAAGGCGTTCTGGAGATTGTGGGTCGGATTGGATCTCTTTAGTTTCTCGTAGTCCACCAGATCGGGCCTAGGATGAAAGGTTGAGGGAGGTGAACTTCACGTGTTGGCCCTGGTGAGAGTGCTTTATGTCGTCTATCTGGCCTTACCGGTGTTTGTGAATGAGAGCGTTGAAAGCCATTCCGTCTTTCCAGCTGGTGGTGAAGTTTGTGATGTTGACATTAGGGTACCTGTCAAACACCAGCCAGAAAATGAAACTGATCAAACATGAAAGGACAGTTCTGCAGAACTCCTGTTTTAAACCGGTCTCCTGACTTGCTCAACAGAGGAAGTATGTGTGCAACTGTGCATGTCACCACCTTGCTATTCATACTATGGATTTTCTGTAGTTCTTTTTTTTTTTTTTACTTTAAGGCATCTAAAAATAGTGATGATATTATCAAAAATACACTATAAATAAATAAAACAGAGAGTTCTGCATTGTAGCATTTTACCGTCTAACAGATGTACACCTGGTTGCACATTCACATAATAATTCTCCCTGGATATTTGCAGCGGCTTGCTGATGCTAAAGATCACACAAAGCACTTACCCTGCAGTTTTCATCTGACACCACAGAAGAAGAGCATCTTTAGCTGAGCGGGTCTCCTTCTGGTCCTCCTGGCCCGTTTCCACAATAATGTCCTGGATCTGGTGAAGAACCACAAACATGACTGGACGGTAAATAATAGAACTTAACTTATGTCAGTCGTTGGAAATGAAAGAAGAGCAAGTAAAAAAAACCTGAGGGAGGCGACCGTGCCTCTAACTGGATGCACCACATGGGAGCACTCTGGCACTTTATCCTTTAGGTTTTTCTTGTGTAATATAAAACAAATCCCATGTGACGTATCATTAATGTTATTAGTCAGGCTGGACCATCACATAACTAACCACCGGATCCAATGGATAGAATGATTGGTGGCAATGACTGAAGCTCTTATTTTCCCACATGGTGGGCCAGTAATTGGAGCAGTGATGTGATCTGAGAGACAGGCCCTGAGAGAGTGCTAAATTTAGCCAGCTTTTGGTTCTCCTTGGTTTTAGGCAAACTGAAAGCAAGAGACAAGACATACTAACTCCTTTCTGTTCAATTCCCTTTTCATTTCAGTATTAGTTTTTCCTGTTTTTGAAAAGGCTGAATAATGAAGAAGGCCATATTCTTTGAACTAGCGTGTCTAAAAATAAATATGTTGCTGTCAAATTAAAAATAAATACGTGGCCCCTCGAAGATGATAAAAGAGCAACAGAGTTGTTCTGATGTTTCAGATGTGCCTCTGATGATAATGGCTGAAACCTGAATGCATCGTCTCCAAAGAAGAGGGAATAATAATCATAAACATCCTAAAGCTGCTTTTCTGTTTCTATGCAAACTTCCTGCATACACACGAAGCTAAATAACTGACTATTAGAGACCAGTCTTCTAAAAACTGTAAGGTAAATCAAAGTAAACATATTCTTACACTGTAGATGTAAAAATAGTGTTTTTGGTTGTAATTGTTTATTTAGGTACTATGTTAAGTAAGGCACTCCTAATATAACTCACCGTTATTACAATATTATTACAATAATTATATTACGAAAACCAAAAGTTACCAGTTGACATACCTTTGCATATCATTTACACATTTAATTAGAACTGTGATCAAACCTTGCCCCACATGTCTGTGATGTACAGTATGTAATAATTCATATGGCATTTGAATGGAAATTGAATCTCTTTTTACTTTGGGAACTGCACAAAGCTGAAGAAAATAATGTAGAGTGAGATGGTTCTTAAATTTTATTGTAAGTTAGGGTTAGTCGGTGCTACTTTTCTTATGTCATTTGGAGATTTCAGTTCTAGCAAAAATACATGTGAATTCAACATAATTTGAAACCCCCTGTACTCAGTTTACCTGGAAACGAAGGATGATGGTCCAAATGAGTCCAAGGATGAGGCGATGGTTGCCGTCGACGATGTCATGTGATCCCATGTTCTCCAGGTGGACCCTCTGCTCTTTGAGAAACTGCAGGGCTTTGTCCACATTTTCCAAACAGTGGATACGCATTCTGCCTTTAGTAGGTTTGGGCTACAGAGGAAAAAACACAGGAAAGCACAACAGGGAAAAAGAACATTTGATAAAGGCGTCCCCACAAGAGAGTCTGCACAGACAAAGAATATAGAAAAGACAGCGGATAAAATGTAAGTTGAGACAGAAGAAGTTCTCACCAGTCGTTCTCCAGACAGCACTTCCAACAGTTTAATGAGCATACGTCCATCCCGCAGGTCCAGGTAGAGGTCAGAGATGCGACAGCCCACTCGGGAAAGGATTGAGTTGACCCATTTAGTAAAGGTCTTCTTTTGAACTGCCTCGCGCTCATCTGATGAGGGCACATAGTTAAGAAAGAACACGAGCTTCATGAATTATACACTTCCCTCGCAGCTACAAAGCAGCACCACTGGAGCTGGTAGGGATTTGCAGTTTGCACAAGGGCACTTCAAAACAGTAGAGCCTGGAAGGCTGACAGAAAACGTTGCTGGAGTTATAATGGACGTCAGCGTTTGTCTGAGAATATCTGCCAAAGAGATGGAGAAATCTTACTGGTCAAATGAGTCCTGACAGTGAAGTCGACCAAATCTTTTTTATCCTAGTTTGCTACAGAGAAAATGCAGCCTGAATGTGGTCGTTTCACATTAGCAGGCAAGCTTTGTCTCTGTCCATTCAATACATACCTTTGGCTCAGTTCCCCATTTTAAACTAAATCTTTTAAATATCTTGCATGGATAACCATGGCCTTTCTATTAGATATTTTTAATGCAGTAAAAAGAATCTAAAATGTCTTGAAACACATGCTGGAGCCTATCACAGCTGACAACGGGAGAGAGGCAGGTACACCCTGGACAGGTCGCCTGACCATCGCAGGGCCACACAGAGACAAACAACCACACACACTCACATACATACAGTCCAGTCCCAGGGGCAATTTAAACTGTTCACTGAAGACATTACTTTTCTTATTCTTTATCAAAACTAAACCACTTCTTCGATGCCTTGAGCTTGTTCAAATGCTGAAAAATCCCAGAAACTGCCAAGCGTCCATTGTTTTTGCCATGTTACTGGAACAGAAGGAAAAATTGCTGGACACCCCACCACAAACTGTCATACTTGGCGCGACTGTTCACATTCCCTCTCTGGAAAACCTGCCATAAATGTGAAGTCCATTATGAAAATGTCATTCAAAGATTTCTTCCTCCAGGCCGGCAGTCAAAGAATATCTTTGACATATGCAGCATTTCTGATACATAAGGGAACCTAGCTGCTGGCCGTGTTGTCACAATCAATACCATGATAGCAAAAAATAAACTTCTGCTATCACTGCTCCTCATGTGACAAGTGTAGCTATAGAGACGGATCACTCACGTGTTTCACTGCAGATTACAAAATGTTTTTTCGTATCATCATATATAAGTTCACAATGACTATAACAAACCGCTCAGTGATTTAAAAAAAACTCTTTACAATAATCTGGAGCAAGGAGAACAGGACAGCGCTTTCTGACTATAGTAACCTTGATTTCACTTACAGCTCAGAGTAGATACACATTAACTCATGGATTTATTAACACAGACACACAAAGGGATGCTCCACGTATAGCAGGTCAGTGCTAAGACGTTCCCCCACTCAGCCATCCCGGTTTTCACAACATGCCTTCCTTTTGGAGTCCCTGCTGCACATTGCCCTGTTTATCCATGAACCCTTTAAGGGACTGCACACAGTTTGGAGTGTAAAGGACTACATCCTTCATGACTTGTGTAATAAATGATTCAGACCCTGAGGCTGTGGAGAACAGGAAAAGGAGCAGCAAAAAGGAGAACAAAGGAAGAAAATGGCTGCAGAGGAGAGAAGTTAAAGGTATTAGATTATAGGTTAAGAGGGAGACAGCCAAACAAGGTGAGATAGAGGAGGAGACATATAGTCTGGAGCGGGGTAAACCCGGCCAGAGGAACAAAAAGGACAGAGCCCTCTGGGATTTAGCCTTTCACGTTAAGTCTACTGAGTGAGGCTGGATAAACAGAGGAAGACACATCACCCACAGCTAAAAACCACCCAGTGAGCTCCTACAAAGCTGCAAAGCTATTCTCAGCCTCATCACAGAGAAGAAATCAGGAGTTACTGTATGTAAAACGCATGATACAGCAGGGCACGGTAAATAAATCATGTCCCCCTCTGCTCCCCTCAGCAGAACAACGGCACACACTGTTCTGCCACATCCACACCACGGAAAAGTAGTCGCAATCAAAACATGCAAATCACTCAAAACACCATTAGCAGCACACATGATTAGAGTATTTGTCTTTGGAACGGAAAACAAAAAGACAAAAAAAAATAACTGCCTGGGCAACAAACGGTGACAAATCATCCCTGAATTGTCAGGGGAGGAGAAGATTTTACAGCAGAAGCAGTGAGAGGGCAATTAAAGTAGAGCCGCACCACGTGCACACAGTGTTTCTGTATCATATCACAACATGACACCTTGAGCAGGGGCACAGTGCAACCACACGGACGCTCCGGGCCATTGGGCGAGCGGTTGGACAAGCGTAGAGCGTGAAAGAGGGAAGCTGCTGTATGCATGCCCCCCCGCGGAGCCGTCTGCAGATGAGTAGTTCCTCAAGCTCAATATGACAACAGCTCTGTGTAAACTCTGCTGAACAAAGCCTTCTGCACTCTGTTGAAAAAGCAAGCTCCGTTTAATCTTGAAATTCCATCTGGGCTTTAGCGGAGCTGCAGGAGATCAAATAGCACCGATGTGATTAGCCACATAAGATTCAGTTGCTTCCGGGGTTCCTGGGAGTCATGATATATGTTAGCCTGAGTCTATTCTGAGTCTTTAAGACTTCATGCGGTCCAGCCATACTATTTCTGAGAGGACATTTTTTATTTCTCTATTGCAACATTTCCTAAACTGCTGATAAAGGCAATACATCTTCCACTGTTCAACAAAGTCATGTAATCTTCTGTAAGTGAGCCCCACAGGAACTCTGCATAAAGAGTATTTTGAAAGAATATTTTCAAATGAAATACTTGGTAGTTGCCAGTTGAAACCTGTGTATGATGTCTTCAAAACACTGTCCTGATGAATGACCTAATTTGAACTAACTTATAACAGTCAGATGACCTCAAATTTGACTCCTGTGCATGTTGGTGTCCAAAGGAGTTCAGACCTGACACCAAAGTGTGCAGGTCCTGTGGCTGCAGAGCCAGCCCAGACCATCACATCTCCACCACCGTGCTTCACTGTTGGTTGGAGGTTTTTGTGTTGATTTGCTGTGGTTGGGAAGGTGTTTCCCTACTGGAACTCCAAATTGGGATAAAATACATTCTGTTGCTTTTTCCTGTTGTTTCTGTGGTTGTATTTGTCTTTTTTTAAGAATTAATGGATCTAATAAAGCAACTCGGATTATTACATTTTATGTAATATGTTTCTTTTTCACATGACTGTTATCTGCCCTTTTCCGTTTCCCCTGTTAAGAGAGATAGTAAGTGCTTTTCTCCTCACTAACACTGTAGCCAAACCTTTTTCTTCTATAAATACTGTATATCCATATGTAATTGTGTCTGGTGGAATTTCTTTTATTTTTTTTATTTTTGCTAAAAGACTTTCTCCATTGAGTGAAATCACCTGGAAGTGTCGTAGCAGTTAGAGGTGTTTAAATTCTACAAATGCTGAGGAGAGGAGCTTCAATTCTTTTCTTAGGATCCCCCTCAAGCTGAGTGTAAAACTTCATTAAGGAAAGGAGACTATTCTTCTCCACAATGTCCTGCAGCAGCAGCTTTCTTTGCTACGCATATCATTTTCACCCAGTTATAAGTAAGTGGGATCAATATGAGGACAGGAGGCTGTTTGAGTAGCGTGTGACCCAAATATATTTAACTATCATGAAATTTTGTCCCTTTTAATTAGGAACCTTGATAATGAAGTGGTGCTCTATATTTTCTTTAATGTATTAGCCAAGACTGTCTAGGAGGATTTTTGTCATGTGATATCCCTTTTGTAAAATCAGGTGACTGCAGGTGGTGAGAGATTACTGACTCTTGGAGCTGTTTGGCAAGAGAAAGTAGGGGGACGTAAATAAGAGCAGCTTTATTGGATATTCAGCTGCATTAAGTGGCCCGGCCCCGGGCTTAACACGACATGACAGTGAGCTTAACTTTTGGTGTGTTTCAGTGCTGCTGTTACAAAGGCTGCCATTGTCATGACTTCCTTTATCATAAATTAAACATGCCCTGCGAAAGTAGCAGTCACACTGTACATATGATGTAGCTCAACTCGCCATACACATTTCCCAAGGCTGACCGGACCCTTTGTGCCGTGAGCCCGACACTCATTATCCTCGCTGTCTTTCCTCCTGTATATCAGTGCAACTCCTACTAAACATTCCTTTGTTTCACACACTTTTTTCTTAGTAATCTCTCACTCTTTGACTCCAGTGAAAGCCCCATGACTTATTCATACTGATGGATTTTCCCTGTATATACAGCCCGATCCGTGTTTTTCCAAAAGTCAGCACTAACTGAATGGTCCTAGAGTGCCCGACTACATGTCTGAGTCATGGCCCTGCAAGAGTGACCCTGTCCTGGATCCATGACACCGTGACAACAGGAGGAGTTGCACTGAGCAAAACATTCTTTTTGGCTTTGTTTATACGCTTCCTCCAAACATGTTCCTCAGGATTAACCCCTCTGATGCTCCGATAGACAAACTGTCACTCTGAAGCTGCTGAACAGCAGATTAATGCGCATTTGATGTTTCCAAGGCTTATTCATGCCAGGCAGTGCATTAAGAGAATTAGGTATAGACGTAACAAAAAAAAAGCACATGAAGAGCAAAACTTTGAGACTGAATCAAATAGAAAAAAATGCCGTTTTGCAAGAAGGAAAAGATAAATCCTCAAAAACAACAAGAAAGTCAAACTTCAAAAGAGGCAGAAAAAATCTATAAAAGTCTCAAGCTTTATACTGTATTTGTCTCAGTCTTAACTAGATCTCCCTTATAGCTGCTAAAGGCATTGCGAGTAAAATTTCATGACCTATAATTGGTCGATCAATGCGCTTGGCACGTCATCCCATGGCGCAATTCTGATTTAGGAAGGGTTCAGGAGTTAGCCGCTTCATATATCAGTTGCCTCTGCAGCCTTTAGTATCAGTCGATAGGTGAAATGTAGCAGAGGTAGAAAAAAATAAAACATTTGTCTCTCTGTTCCTGCACCGTCTCCTCCATTTTCCTCCTCTCACTAATGCACTCCGGTCAACAGGGAGTTGGATAGCATAGTGCAAGCTCACAAAAAAAATCTACTGTGATGGCAAACCTCTTATTTTTAAAGCCTTATTAAGACAGGTAGGTAGAAATGAAACCATCAGAGAAATTGATTTTTTTCAGGAGGGTTTTACACCACCAACACAATCATTTCGGGAAAAGGGAAGAAAGGTACATAAAACCTTTTTTTTTGTCTTTTTTTATATAGTTTGTGAATAGCAATGGCTATATGGTAAACTGACAAAAAAGATAGGATGGTCATGAACATGTTTGTTATTTGTTAAATTTGCTAAATGAGAACACAGAGGAACGCACAACACTGAGTAACAATACACGATTTAAGAGGGGAAAAACAACGCAACCTTTTTAAGAGTTTCCGAATGAATTATTCACAGCCGGCTGGGGCAGTCACAGCTTCGTCAACATAAATAAACTAGCACTACATATAGTTATTAAAGGACCACCCCCTGTTGATGTTCACTCTACACTGCAGCTCCTTTTTTCTCACAAAAAACTAACCTCACGCCGACTCCCTTCACAGCCCGGCCTCCCTGCCATCGCACCCAGACACATGATGGGGAAGGGAGGGGGTTGGTTGGAAAAGTCTCACCACTGTTACCTGTGAGTCAGGAGCAGGTGGACAAACTCCCTCAAACGCGTAGAGATGCACACACACACACACACACACACACACACACACACACACACACACACACACACGCGGCCTCATGGCCTGGGACCCTGTACCTTGCAGCTGCCTGAAGCGTCCATCCAGGATGGAGTTAAAGCAGATGTTGGAGGCGCTGTAACTCAGCCAGCGTGCTCGCCTCATGCTCTTGGCTGAGGAGGAGGAAGAGGAAGAGGCGGGGAGGGGGGGGCCGGGCGGAGGGTGGAGGTGCGAGGGTCGCTGACGTCTGGGAGTGCAGGAGGAAGATGAGGAGGAGGATGAGTTGAGCGGGGGCACCCCCGCGGAGGGGGAGGCCGGCGGGAGGTGCGGGACGGTGCCATTCCTCTCCGGGTGGTGCTGGGACTCCTGCTTCCTGCCGCCCGCCCCCCTGGACGCCCTCCGGCCCTCGGCCGTTCTGGTCTGGGCCCGGTGGACCGGCGGGGTGCTCCGGCTCCGGCTGCTGTTGCCGACGCCGACGGTGACCCGGACCTGGGCCTCTTTCTCCGCCGGGGTGTAGGTCCGGGCGCCGGCCTCCTTGACCCCTCCGCCGCTGCTCCTGAGGGCTCCGGTCTCCCTGCTGCTGGCCTTCAGGCTGATCTTGACCTCTCGGAGCCGGGGCTGGCTTATGGGGGCAGCGCGCAGCAGGCAGGGGCTGTTCATCCTGACTCCCCCCGGCCGAACGACGCTGACAAAAAAAACAAACCACCTCTGGAGCCGGCGGAGGAGCTCGGCTCTCCTCTTCTTTCCTCGTCTCTTGGCTCTCTGTCCTCCTTTCCAGATCCCTCTCGCGTTCACTCCCGCTCCCTCCCTCCCTCCTTCATCTTTCTCTTTCTTTCTCCCCTCTCTCCTCACGGTTAATGTGTGGATGCTCTGCTTCCACTTTCAGGCGGCACGCAGGCTCAGGCAGCCTTCAGCCTTCAGTTCCGAGTGTTTTTTTCAGCCCCATCCATGCATACAATATGTTTCGATAAATACACGTGTTCCCACAACTCCCTCCCACTACACAGCGCTCCCACACTGCCGTGACATCACATGGATGGTTTACCGAGCCAACTATTCCACACGAAACTCCAGCCTGCATCTCAAAGGAATGTGGCTTTTTTTAGGCTTATCTATCAGTGAAAATAACCGGACATCCAATACGTTCTGTGTGTACGTTGAAGACAAGCCGGACGGCATATTTCTAAGTTCACAAGCTGTAAATCAGAAGTGGGTGTCATTCGAAGCTTCTTTCAACCTCCCCACCCCCCCACCCAACCCTTCCTTCAGCTTCCCTCCCTTACACTCCCTGACAGGAAACACTGATTGCATTACAGAAACATCAGTGCAGCAGCACTCTAATACAATATTGCCAACCAACACTCGCACAGAAACCTTCACCACTTAAAGAGACAGACAGATAAAGGCCGTGGACAGAGGGAAAACCTCTCTGCCCACCCTATACCTTCATACCTTATAAAAAAAATGGAACTGTCCTTCAGAGTTGTGATCTAAGACTGTTTGTTTGTGTTATATTAAGTTAGCACTTGCAGGAAAATTTTGATTTAGTCAAGGATAAAAAAAGGCAGTTGACATGGATTTTTAAGGGACTGTGGAGGGAAGGAAAAGTTAAGTCTTTTAAATGTTCTGTGCTGGCAAAATGAATTCTCTGTAAGACCTTTTCCTCTTGCATTAAACCTGTCCACGCAGGATTCAGATTGTCAATCCAAGCACGTGCACACACGTTGGTGTAATTACTGTAAAGCTATTGGGAGAGCGTGGGTTCATAGAGTCAGGAGAAAAAAAGGAGAAAATGAATGAGGGATAAATGACAGAAAAAAAACAACAACCCTTTGGCCAGAATGCAAATGCAGCAATTGAAAAACAAGACACGCCCCACGATTCACTTACAATATATACATAAGTAAATAAACCTTTCATGGAAGAAAGCCATCAAGTTGACATGTGGAATCAGCTCTTCTTAACTGTTGCTTCATTATTTAGTTGAGCTTTCTCAAAACAGTAGTTCGGTCAGTTTATCGTCTGGACTATAACAAGCTGTAGACGTCTGACAAATGGCCTCACAATTTACTTGGGTATACTTTGATGTCTGGATGGTAACAAGTCTAAAGCACATTAAATTATATAATTTAAATTCCAAATTTAATTTTTGGGTGCCGTTTGTAAATAATGATTTTCACCGTATATTGATATTATCCTGGTTGTTTGGGCCTTTCCTGACCTGGACTTTTAACCATCGACAAAGTACTTTCAACTTTAACCAAATCATGTGCACTTTATTAGCAGAACGTGGCCTCAAAATATCCTCTTAGCTTCTATGGAGGCAGTAAAAATGGACTTAGTTTTAACACACTGCTTCTGTATAGTGGCTTAGTGTTTTTTCAATCAATATTATTCTGAATTATCATGTAAAAATCCTTGAACACATTGAACACAAAAGATGACGAAAACTTGAGCATTTCAGAGATGGATTGTGTCCTTTTTCTAATTTTAGACGTATTTTTTGTTACAGCTGTATCTCTGCTGCACCTGAAATGTTGACGCACACTTTCAGCGTTCAGGGAACTGAGTTATCATAGATTCACTTATGAATATTCATAATCTAGCAATGGTTGAAATGAAACCATGTTCATTTCAGAAAATGGTCCCTGCGTTTGTGGAGAAGTAAAGCATTTCGTCAGTTTGTGCTATTTAACACCACCGTGTTTCTACTGCTCTTAGCTTCCGAAAACGAATAAACTCAACCTTCCAGTGACCAAATATCAGCACAAAATAAAGGAGCTCACTGGAAAACTGAAAGGAGCAGAAATGAATTAAATCTTTTTCCCCCCCCTTTTGTCTGACCTCTCTTGTGTCTGCAGCTTCACAGGCATGAGAATGATATTCCCCTTTTTTCTGTTGCACGTCCTTCCACCATAGAAACATAGCTATTTTCAAACTCCCAGCAGCCAGAACACAGGTGGGCCGCGGCTTACAAGCTTAGACAGAAATGCCAGAGATCTGTGCTATGGGACGCAGACGGACAGGGCAGCTGTCCAGATCGGTCAGACACTGGACATTCTGGGAATGTGTAATTGATCCCAATCACTTGGAGAGGGTGTTGAGCAGGGTGAGGGCTCAGCTGCCGACGTGTGTGTATGTGTGTGTGAGTGTGTGACGGTACGAAGAACATCCACACACACACACAGAGTGCTGGAGAACTGGACAAAAATCAAACACCACCTGTAGGGCGTTTTTGGTCACTTTTCTGGGTGAAGGTTAGTGTTCTAATCAGGCTCATTCAACCCTGCCAAAGTTACACCGAAGCTCTCCCATTATAGCTCATCCTCTCTGCCTTATCCGCACTCTTTAAAAAGGCTGTCATCTCAAGAATGTGTCACAGAGGACGCAGCCTGTTTGTCATGCAGGCACTCACCTGCGAGGGCTTTGATGCGCGAGCGCTCGAACCGCCGCGCAGAGCTGTTGTCGTTGTCCAGTTCCTCATCAGAGAGCTCAAAGCGGGTGTTGATGTAGCTGTACTGCTCCGTGATCTCCACATTGTCAAAATCGGTGGTGGAAGTCATGGCGGTGGCCAGATTGGCAGGCGGGTGAGGGGACGGCGGCCCGCGTCCTCAGGTGCTCCTGGTGAAAAAGGGAAGGGAACGGATGGGGCAGAAGATGGTCTGAAACACAAGAGAAAGAGATAAACGTTACACATTTAAATATGTACGGATTCATCCTGCCTGCTCCAGTTAGAAAACACTATTTTGTCTTGTGCTGTACTGCAGAAAAACAGTGATTTTTGAGAATATTTTGAATAATTATTAAACATTTCTGTGTATTTCATAATATTAAATGATTGGAATCCCACTTTAGGGTATAACGAATCCTTTTTTTTTTAAAGCGCTCTTTCAGCTGTTTATTTATATTTATAACTGGAAGCTAAATTTGAATGCTGGGCGGTTTGGGGGCAACCTTGACCTATGTCAGTTTCATCCTAAATGTTCTCTTTGCACTGAAACTGCCTGTAAAGCAGCTTTCAAACAGGCCCCACTCATTCCTGTGCCCCCGCCTGATCTCCATTTTGTCTGTCACTTTGCTCAACTGTTGGAGTGTCGTGTGTCTGCGTATTGTTTGCACGGAATGGCGGGCTGAAGGGTAGCCACTCAGATAGCTCTATCTATGTGCAGCATAGCTCTCTTATCGCGTCACGCGAAGGGGAAGGGCGACCCCTAAGTGCGGCAGAACTTGACCCAACCGTCTTCTTTTGAATGATACGGCTCACCTTATTTGAAATGTAAGCGTGTGTGTGTTTCAGTTAGAGAGAATCTGTTTGAAAGCCATGTGAGTCAGGCGGGGGGAGTCTAACTTGTATGAATGCAGCGTAACAAAAAGCAAAGAGACAGATACACATGGCAGAGGGTTCTAACCTCAGAGCACTGATTAAGGATGCGGAGTGACCGAGTTTTTTCCGAGTGTTAGAGAAACAAATGTTGACATAAAGGGTATATTATAAAATATATATTAGTGTCTTCTACTCTGGGACATCTCACAGAGACAGAAGGAATGTGCACAGTGCTTATGTGTACTCCTGAGGAATAGATAGAAAGAACATTATGTCTTACACAACGTTTCTATTTGGCACACAGTGGTCAAATGATATGATAGAACCTGAGCTCAAAATGTAAAAGCCTTCTCAGTGAAAATGAAGAGAACTTTAATTTAATCAAACATCCAAGTGTAAATGAACAAACCTAAAAAACTGGACATAGAGCTGTTGGAATCCTCTGAGGCCTTCTTTATTGCCTCTTTTTTTGAGTGTCTTATTTGGTTATTTTCACTGTGACATCAACAGTTTCCAAATGAATGAATTTGAATAAAAATGTATACATTTTTTTCGAATTTGTTGGGACATAAAGAGAGTCTAGGAGAACAGTGGAAAACTTCGATGCAAGAGTCTAAAATGTGTTGATAAGGATAGTAAACACACTTAGAGTTTTTCTCTCCACCGACTGAGTTCACAGTATAGCCAGAGTGGATGTTTGTTTAGTGGATTCAGAGAAGAGGCCCTCGGTGATGCACAATGATGCCATCCTACAGGTCTCCCTCCTCCTCCTGCTCAGTATCAGTGCTCAGCAGAGGGCCGTTATCAGCGCGGGGACGCTCCACCCACCACCAGGGGATCCCCTTATCACCCCGCACACAACCTGCTCAGGACTGCGGCGCAGACCTCTACATACACCGCACAAACCCACATCCACAACGAGTCGGACGCATGCAAAAGTATCGCCCACGCTTCTAATCTTCCTGAGGACCGACTCTGCCAGGCCGGCAAACTCCAACAGCAACAAATGAGCTGAGACGGGTTCAGGGTGATAGAGCACGCGGCTCCGTTTGAGGGGCATGGAGACAAGTCGCTTATAGACAGCTCAGTGACAGAAAGGCCTCGGAGTTAACAGCCAATAGGGAGGTGTCCACTTGTGGCGTCCTTGAGCACAATGAACTTTTAAATACCTGCTTGCTAACAATAGACTACCCTGTCAGCTGGAAATTAAATAAAAAAAAAAGGCTAATCTCAGTGAAATTCAGACATTTCTGTACCCATGGACGTTATAGGTCAAATAAGCTAATAAGGTTTAGGTCTTTATTCAAAGACAACACTTGAGAATGAACATTTCCTAAGATTCCTATTCAGTCCAAGCTCCATGAACAGATTTGGCATGACGTAGATTCAGGCAGAACGGAGTAACCACATAGATTTACCTGCAGATTAATTGTTAATAAGAACTGCTAGTACATATGTGTTCAGATTGCAACATGTTTTATGTTTATGCATTTTATATTTAACATTAAGCATCAATAGCCTCAAAGCCTGTTTTATTAGCGCAAATTCAAATATTAAAGGTGGAAAATAAATTCTAAGGTTGTTACTGGTACCTATGAATTAGACTTTTTGTTACGTAAAATGTTTTTTTTTTTCCTGTATAAAGAGTCCAGAACTTTTCTCATCAAATGGACTGTTTTCTTAGTATCGCACGGCAAGATGATGTCAAAGAACCTCTGGATACACTCACAAAAGTTTAAAAATGTCAAGAGGAGAGATAAAAATGCCAGCTGGAATCTTTACAGATGCCCCAGTGTTACTGGACCTCTGTGTTTCTCTCATTTTTAATAAAATGTTACATCAACAGTACATGAATTTGGCTATCTATGTAAGAAAACCCTGGAGATATCAAACATAAAAGCTTGGAAGGATCATTAAAAGGTGTAAGTGAGGCTTTAACACCTACAGTCAGCAGATATAGAACTGGCAGCATATTTTTCTGCCTCTAATCTAGTCTGCTACAGAACAAATATTTTCTGTGTAAACATCAAACACCTGAACCATAACTTTTCGGACTACTCCCAAAGCCAGACGCTGATGCTCGCAGCACAACAAACTACACAGTGTGGAGAAAGCACATTACTCAGAACAGCACCGGATCATCATGGGAAGATGAAAAAAGAGATGGATATAACCAAGATGTGTGCCACTCAAATGTGCGTTTTTTAAAAAGTGTAGCAAAGGCAACTGGACTGAAGTGAATAGGGTCTGTTGTACAGCTGAATCTGAGTCAAATTAAGGCCTAGTTGGTCCATGTGAAACCAACAAAGCCAGAAAATGAGTCAAAGCCTTTAACAGGCTATTAGGAACACACTGAAGTGTGAGCACCGGCTCAACACACCGCCAAACGGTTACGCACATAAGCAGTGATTGTGGTCAGTGATGTTGTGACGGAGGCGATACAGATCCTGATCTTACCAAAGGATGCCAGGGATCGATAATGAACTATTCCTGGAGTGTGTTTACACTGAGGGCCCAGCTTATCCAGACTGGGCAACACAGTCTCACTTTTACCTCCTTTTAAGGGGAAGAAGGGGGGACGTCTTATTTGGGCAGGGAACTACTCATTCCTTTGCCGTTTCAAAACTAAACACACAGTTTTAGGGAAAGAATGGAAAAAAACGCATCAATGCAATTCTTTAGTCAGAAAATCAGACAGATTCCATAGATCAACATGAATGGGTTCTAGTTCTGTTCATCACAGGTACCTGTGGTTCCCTTGGGTATTGTTGTGTTCTGGCCAAGCAGAGGTGGTCTGAGATCTTAAAAAGAATCTTAACTTGAATCAACAGTCATAAAATTGCATTTGTGTATCAAGGGCTCTGCTTTAACAACTAATTGAAGAACATATAGGGCTAACTGTATATTTCTAAAAAGACCAGCGTTTTTCTTTAAAACATTTCCAAAGTTTTAATTAAAAGAGCAACCAAAGATAAACTCCAACTAACAATGCCCTTCTTGCTGAATAAGTTACAAAAGTGCATTTTGCCAAAAGCCCATTGGCACGCGCAGGAGGCGCGCGGTGCGTTAGTGGTGCGCAGTTTTCCAACCGCACCTCGGAGCTCTCAGAACAAGTTAACAAACTTCAGAAACATCAGAGGGGCCGTGAAATGACGAGAATAAGAGTTCAGAACTTTAACAACCAAACCACTGCCTTTAAAAACGACGTTATCATGTTACAGGGTGAGCAACAGGTGGTTTAGAGGAAATTTACAGATGGCTTGAAAAGAAGGGATTAAGAAAAATGACAGGTGCACTTTTCAATGTCCTTAAACAGGAGGCAAATAAACAGAGTGCAATCCTTTCATTTACAAATGGCAGAGTTTTTATTTCACGCTTACTTGTTGGAGATGTGTGTTCTTTATCAGCCTGCTCCCTGCCAGAAAAACAAAAAGTTAGAATCCCATTGAGGCGGCGGGTTCCTGGTCTAAGCGTAGGCTGCGTAGGTCTCCACTGCGCGCGGCGGCCACGGTCCTGCACGGGGGGCGAGGGAGAGGGGCTGGAGGCGCTGCGCTGCCCACGGTCATTCCCCAAAGCCAGAGACTGACCCACCCAGCCGGGTTAAAAATAGCGTTGGCGCATCCAGAGCGGGATCTGAGAGCGCATGGGACGCACATTCCTGAGCGGGTGACTCTAAATGGCAGAGACACTTCTGACGCCCCCTCTGTAACCCCCCCACCCCCCACCCCCCATCTGCCCCACCCCGCCCCGGCTAATCGCACACACACATCACCCCACCACCCTCCTCCCAGGCCTCCGCAGAGGTGTCACCTCCTCCAGAGTTTGGACACGTTTGGACGGCGTGGAGTGGAAACACCTGTCAGATTATGTGATGCCAGTGTCCTCATACCACGTCTCAAAGCAAATCTTCCAACATTTATTTTCTTTTTTTGTGTCTTACAGAGGTCTTACAAGGCCTGCTAAAAAATGTAAAAATCACCTCTCACTAATAGACCCAGAGCATCAACCGGAATCAAAATATACTATTTGCTTTTTATCTTTGTCTTCATAAAAGCGAATGACTGCTATTTAACAACAGAACATGTCACATTTTTATTAAATGTACATTTACAACATATCAGAATATAAATAACTTTTTACAAAAAAATACACTCGAAATAAAAAAAATATAGTTATACATCAAAAATAAATCTGTACTAAACGTCTCCACTGTTTCTCCCCTTAACTCACGGCTCTTTGGCTCTTCTGGGGGCGCTTAGCTCTGAACTTTCTGTTTACTTGGCTGAGCCATCGAACATTCCTCAACCTTCAACTATTGTAAATAATATGGCTTCAGATGAGCACAGGTGAGCGCTCCTGTCCGTGGTAACCTTCTGCATAGTTTAAACCAAACAAACCAAAACAAAGAAACTTTTTAATCCATAACAGAAACCAATGGATAAAAAGTTCTGTGCAGGCCGTAAATACAGCTCTGCGCTTTGCTTATGAAAATCAATCACAACTATAAAACACATTCAACAGTTTTTCAAACCGAAGTCAGGGGGAATGAAAATAAATACAAGACCTGATAAACATTAAAAGGCCCCCATGACTGGTTCTTGCTGCACCAGAGTGTGTGAGTAGTGTGTTTTTTTCCATACTTAGTACACTTAGGACACTTTTTCTGCAGACTATGAGCAGAAGAAGGGAGTATGAAGCAGCCTCTTTTGTTTAAAAGTTGATCTGTCTTCTTATCTTGTGACACGCTACATGGAAAAAGATAGATTTTTTTTAAATTTGTGCCTCTCGGTTTCACTACTGAAATTCTTTTTTGCTTAATTCTGCTGAGTGGGTATTTTCAACGCTAATTAGAATAAGTCTCCAGTACAATTAAATCCTCATAAATCATTCCTTTGTAATCTCTCAGGTAGTGTCTGTCATTTTACCAAATCGCTCTACAATGTATTGCAGAGTGTGCATGTGGATTTTTTTTTTGGTTTGTGGTAGGAAATTTGATGAGATCCATTTTCTGCTAAATGGGGGTCACTGGGTGAAAAAATATGCTTTGCCAGTGGAAATACTGTAGATAGACGGATGTGGCAGGGAATGCTTGAAAAGCAGTTTGTGCACATTTCTTTTGTTTAATTTGGGTATGGTTAAAATTCATCTCATGCACGTGCACACTGAAGCACTGATATACAGTATATCTGTCTCTCTGATAGACAAACAGAAATATTATAGGCACTTATGTGCAACAAATTAATGGGACTGACTATTCTATGCATGCCTTTTCAGCTTAATGTCAATTAAAAAATATTGAATTAAATTAATAGGGATTACGTACATGTAAAAAATCAAATAAAACAAATAAAAAACACATTTAAAAGTATTTGTGTGCAAATATTTCATATATTTACATAAATTATATAAAATAAAAACTGCTTCAGATTGGTGTCTGGATACAAATGTAACAGTGCCCGAAAATAAAGAAAAACGTCAAGTACATATAAGTTAGGTGCAAACTGTAAAGACTGCCTGACGTCATGTCGCAGGCAATCCAAGTGCTCGATGCTAATGCGCCTTCATTTTCCCGGTGGATTCATGAAGAGACGAAAACGTCAAGATCAGCGATCACAGCTGCCTGTCTCCTGGCAACGGTGTTCAAGAGTCGGTGTGGAAACGATGGCGTTCCAAGGTCCAGCTGAGCGAGGACAAAAAGATACAGCAACGATGCCTTATTTGCTTTAAGCACTGTGAAGTCTAGATGTGTCTACACTACCTGCTGCTTACAAACTTTAAATTTAGAAGAAATGATGGAAAGCAAATTCCCAAATCACTGTTGAACAGACTCATTTCAGCAATAGTGAGCGGCCTGGGAACGGTGAGCCATAACGTCTCTCTGCTGTAGATCAGCTCGGCCCAACTAGTGTCCCCCGTCACGCCCTACTCCTGCAACACCCTAGCTTTGACTGATTGTTTTCTATCAGTGTGCTTCAACTAAGTCATGTGGCAAGTGTTTCTTAAATCCTCTCCCTATCATAAAAAAAATGCTAAATTACAGTTTACAGGGACTTAGTGTTTACACTTCAAAGGCTTACAGCCTCTTACTGTCCACTAACCTGGTCGGTGGACTGGCTGGTGGGTAACAGATCTCACCTGTAGCATATATATGACTCTGGTGACTTCCTGCCCGCTTCGTGTAACTGGCTGAAGGATCCAGCAACTGGGCATCATCTCTCCTCTGATGGCGTCCACGCTGGGGCGAGGCAGAGACTCCTCAAACACAGACTGCATCGACAGCACACACAGGCCACCCTGAGGCGGAGGGAGCAGTAAAAAAAAAGAAAAGAACATCAATAAAACAGCCAGTGCAGCCTTTTGATCAGCCAAGGGGCAACTCTACTCTGACATTGATAATGAACAGCTGGCACGGTGTGCTGCACACGCGCTGCCTCTGGGTCAGTTTTGTTAGCGCAGGGTGTTTGGTGAGCACGTGCTGCCCTCAAATAGCATGTTCTACACTTTGTGAATAACACACTGAGTAGCATGCTGTTAAATTGCTGTTGAATAAAGGAATACATTTTTTCTCCTGTAAACCAAAGCATGCAAATGTTTTGCTGGCCTTAACACGTGGGAGGCCAGCTGTTGGCATCTGGACTGACAGGCTGTTTTCCAGCTGTGCTTACCTGTTTGGACTTAGTGCTGATGCAGCAGAAATCCCGGGGCTGGCTGAGGTGGCAGGCGGACGGATCTGTTAGTATGTAAACTACAAAGATATAGAAGAAGTCAGAGTTGGTTTATAGGTATAAAAAGCACCCTTCTTCATTTAGGAAAAAAAATGCAAGATGCATCAAATGGTATTTTAGAAATATAATCTTTACATTCTTGTAAACAAACAAGTAAACAAACTGAAACCTAAAGTCAGACAAAGTCAGAATTCAAATGGAACTGAGATTAAATAAAGAATGCCCAATGACGTGGTGTGGCGAATGCAAACACACAGCAGGTGTGCGAGTGGGCTTGGCTGTGCAACACAACAAACTTGGCAGTGATGAATGAGACTGTACTGGGCTGTGCTACAGATACACAAAGGACACAGATGCAGTTGAGGTGAATTTGCAGGGTCTATTAAATTCTTACAATAATATAAAGGTTTTGCGGTTAAAACAAAAAATATAAACAGGACTTATTTGCAGAATTTTGCTAAAAGAGAAATATTTTTGCAGTTAAACTTCATCCAATCTCCCATCGTTACTCATATTATTCATAAATATCTAATTTACTTCTACTTTCATTAAAAGAGACAAGGTCATCACGTTATTCTAATAAATACAGTCAGCTATAACCATCACTCTATAACATCTCATAATTTATGATTATTGGATAGGAGGAAAACAGGCAATTCAAACATCAGTAAAGAACAAAGTGACATGATGTGGAAATTCTTCATTGACATAAAAACATCTTGCATTTGTAAAGGTCAGAGATGGATTAAATTAGCTGTCATTTGTCATTAGTATTACCTGAAATTAGAATATACGTTAGACTGGGTAGGACTGTTACAGTAGCTCACCCAGCTGTGTGCTGTCATCTAGTGGTCGGGTCCACACAGAACGTACTGACTGATTATACATGTGGGCCTTGGACATCTGGCAGATGGTGTTCCATAAGCTATCCAATGGTCTATCCAGCTCTCCAACCCCCAGAAAGCAGTGAACAGATGGGCAGGAAGAAGACTTGTAGTATGCCTGAGTTCCTCGTTCTTCTCCTTGGTACCTAAACAAAATCAGACGTTATACATTTGCTCCATGTTCACACTGGTGATTTGTTTCTTTAGTATTAATTATTTTCTCTTTATTGAACAGCTCAGATTTATGTGAATCTTACGATTTTTTTATTGAGATATTTCTTTTCTTGGGGGCATATCTGAAATCAAACATGGTAAATGACCAAACTCACCTCCAGCCCGCTGTGGCTTTGCCCATCACCAGGTTGCCCAAATCCCCAAAAGAAGCAAGTCGGACCTGAAGAGAACAGACATTGCAATGTAGTTAAGACTAACATCTGAAATCATAGATTACCAACTGACAGTTTGTTCAGAATAAGTTCCTAACTTGAGCTTACGAGGGAGAAGAAAAAACAAATAACCAAACTTAATTTCTGATTGCTTTACCTCAGCCAGAGCTTGACTGAGGAGACCAGACGTGATGTCCTGGTAGGATGCAGATATGGACATGGAAGAGCCAAAGGAGGCAGTGCGCTGCCGTGCACAGACAGTAGACGAGGGAGAGGAAGTCATCAGCGGCTCAAATCCACTTACACGTGGCTCAAGGTTGACATCTGTTAAGACATGTTCATGTCAGTATTAAATCTTGAGACAGAGGACACAACCCACAAAAATCCGCAAACAGACCCAGATAATGTGGCTGAGGGGTGAGTTACTCCTGCATGTTTAGGCTTAACTTTATTAAAATAGCACGTGCTCCACATTTCTTGTCAGAAAGCATAAATTATTATATAAAAACACTCAGATGTGCAGCAGTAATGAGAGATAAACATCTTCAGAGCTGTCAAAGTGAAAGGTCAACAGCAATATGACACAAGTTTAGTCATTTGGCATTTGTTTCTTTCCCTAATATAATAATTAATTAAGGGGAGCTGTGAAGTAGCGTCACACATAATTCCATCATTAATGCAGATTGAATTCCAATCTTAATGACTTAAGCATTTAAACAAACTGACTAACACTGGCTAAATCTGGCTAAATTAATGTGACAAAGTCCCATAGTTTACTCTTAAAATGTAAGATTCCTTTTTTAAGTACGTGAGTGGCTGTGTTGCTCTTACCCTGTGCAGACAGCGAGTTTCGCTGTATCTTTACAGTCTGAGTCCCGGATATGGGGGGGCGTGTCGTAAGCTTTCTCCCTTCGTCCTTTAAACCGGTGATCTAAACAATGTGAAAATAATTAGGTGTTAAAATGTGTTATTCATACCTGAAAAATAAAAATGCATTGTTCTCAAACAGTTGCAAGCAGTTATTTCAAGATTACTGCTGTTTGTAAATTTAATGTGCCCACCTGTGCATTTAACACTGGTCTGTTGCAATGCAGCAGATGGACAGTGTTCCCACTGTTATACCCTGATGTTGGTCCTGACGACAAGCTGAGGCTGGATCCCGTGCACAAAGTGCTGCTGCTGATTTTTGTCCAATGCTTTAAGTCATCCTGCATGCCATAAATCAGATGGAGTTAGGGTAACTGTGGTCATGCTGTGTTCAGATTATGGTTCTGCTTTGATACCTGACCTTCATTTCCTGAGATAGGGCCTGCTGCTGCAGCCTCTTCTTCTCTAATTCTGTCCTCTCTCGCAGCCGTTCTCGGGCCTTTGCGATCTCTGTCCTGGCTTCTTCCCGAGCTCGGCCATAGTCCCGCAGCAGCTGCTCGATGTCAGATGGATACTGCCCTTCTTCTCTCTGAGGGTCTGGTAATCTGGGACACAGATTACGGAAATTCAAAGTGCAATCCTACTTTATCAAATATCCATCCATCAAATGTCGAAAACTGCTTATTCATGGATGGGTCGCTAGTCCATGACAGAGCCCCGTAGTGACAAAAAAAAAAAAAAAAACTCACATCCATTCCTACCAGAAATGTAGTCATCAATTAACCTAACATGGATGTTTTGGGACTGTGGGAGGAAGCTGCAATAAACGGAGGGAACCCAAACAGACATGGGGAGAACATGCAAACTCCTTAAACTGGGAAAACTCTTGTTGTAAGGTGTTGGTGCTAACCACCACAGCACTGTGCCACCTGCTCCTTTATAACTAACTAACTCACTTTAAAGACATAAACACACATAAATATACATAAAACACATACAAATTATGCGATGTGATTATGTGATTCCTATTTGAATCTAAGGCTCTTACCTGGTGCTGTCAATCACCTCTTGACGGAGCCGCTGGAGGTACTCGATGCGCCGACTGGGCAGAGCAGCGGAGCCCTTAGCGGAGGAAACGGCCTCTTGAGGTGAGGAGCGGGGATGTTTGCTGGGACTCAGGCTACGAGCTCGCCGATAAGTCTGGAGGCGCTCCTCCCTCTCCTGCCTCAAACCCTCAATACTCCGACGGTGTCTGTGGGAATTGAAAAAATATAGTATAATAACAGATTTTTGGTTAAATAAATTTCTATTTCTAAGTGAAACTGTAATAGTATACGCAGCGGATAAAGTTCTATAAATCTTTTTAACATGCCCCTAACAAAGAAGGTACAGCCCCAGTTTTACATTATTTTCACTTTGTCAAGATGTCTGCCCTCTCCTTACCTATCGTACAGCTGCTTTTTGGTAGGAGCAGAGGTCGGGGGTTGCTGCTCCTCTTTGGTCCTAGGGGACAGCATCTTCAACAGAGCGTCCGTCTCCCCCAGCCCATAATGGAGCTTGGCTTCTGTGAGCTCCACGGTCAGAGGAGTCGGGTTAGAGCTGAGGTTAAACGCCGCCATCACCTGCTCTCTCTCCTGGCGCAGCTTCGTGATCTCCTCTGCTCTTCTGCCGCACTGTGAGGCAGCTTCTGCAGCACTCTCCACCTCACCCCACTCCACACAGTGTCTGAGACCACCCCGCAGCAATGTCCTCACTTTGTTTAAACTTTTTGATTGCTGATTGACGCCTGACCAGTTGAAGAATTTGTTGTGCATGGGCAGATCCTCTGGGACTGTCTGCTGGTCTTGACGTGGAAGCACACTGATGGAAGGTTCCATGTTGACAAGGACATCTGTGTTGCACTCGCTGGGCACCACAGATATAACATCATCCTCTTTAAGTGGGGTTCTCTCCTCACTGACTGGGGACGGATTGTAGGAATCGGCGCAAAAATCCCCAGACTCAGTTCTGAATTTCTGCAAAACTAAACCACTCATCAAAGAAGCCCTGTGAGCCCTCCACTGCTGTGAGCTCACCTGCCACTTGGAGCTGGCTTGGTGGTCATCTTCTTCCATGTAGCTTAAATTCATCATGTTAATGTCTGTGCACCTATCCAGTGATGAGCTGAGGCTTGAAGAGCACTTGTCTGCTTCTTTAGGACTTGAGCAAATAATTTCACTCACCCTCTCAAGGGAAAGGGTTTCTGATTTACTAGACAAAAGGGCACATCCCCGTCTGGGACTTTGATTGCCATCTGAAACAGACGGACTGGTCAGGCTGTTTCCCTCAGAGGATTGGTTTGTGGTTTGGTCTCTATATTTGAGAGGACAGACTGCTGGCTGTTTTCCTCTTTGCCTGGTGCATAATCTTGCTCCCACAGTAATAATGGGGGATGATGCACGGTCTGTGTACGCAGCATGTTTCTTTGGAGCTTTGGTTAAGGGCGGGCTGTGGTTTTCTTGACGGCAGTTTTTTGATGGCCTGGGGTTAATTTCAGATATCACAGCACTCCTGCGGCCGGCCGCCTCTGGGGAGCTTTGCTTTGAGGCCCAGGATGAGGCAGATCTTACACGCCGGTGACAATCAACAGCAGCCTTCTCCTTAGGTCTTTCAGTCTGTGACTGAGAGGCAGAGGACGTGCTGAACCTCAGGTCAGGTGTACTCTGCATCTTTCTGTCTGCGCGACCTTTATGTTTCACAGCACACTGCGCATTTTGGTCCTGTGAAACACTAACAACCTCAGATCCAATGACTTTCACGATCACATTGACTTCATGAGCTGTGGAGTTTTCTCTGGGTGTTTGATGAACAACAGCTTTACTCTCTGAAGGAGCAACCAGTCCCTCGGTCTGGATCCCAACATCTGAGGCTGTCTGAGTTGAACAGTCTCTCCTCATGCAGACATTGACCTCAGTAAAAGATGTGCTATGACTCAGGGAGTTAATGCTCCTTCTTGGACTTGGTGTTTGGACTTCCCCTGTCCTCATTCCCTGGACGTCTCCCAGCAGGTCAGAGGTGCTATGGATAAGCTTGGAGAGGTGCGCTGACATGCTTTGCATACTGGCCCATGTCGGGGATGCTGTTACATCCACTTTGCTTTTCGTGGAAAAGGGAACATCTGTGCAGCTCCTTTTGTGACGATCTTTCCTCTTTGGGGCGCTAGTCCTGTTAACTGCCTGAGGCCCGCACTCTGTCTGAGTGCTATGTTCACATGTCCTCCTCCTGCGTAACTGAACGTTGCTAACCTGAGACTCTTGCTCTGATGAATAAACAAACATTATTTCATCCACTTGACTGGTGTTGTTACCAGAAAGGTCACTGCCCGAAGAGCCACCGTTTACTGTCAAGCCGGCCAGGCAACTGTGAATTTCAGAGGATGCTGGCTGACTGGGAGAAAGCTGCGTGGATGCTTTCACTTTATAATCCTCCATACTGCTAAGTGTACTGGAGAGCCCCTTGTTGGTGGCATATGTGCTCAGGTGAGAGTTAAAAGGAGAGTTCTGTCCATTCAAACCGTTATCAACACTGCAACATCTTGTTATATGTTTTTCAGAGCTTTTTAAAAGCGGAGACTTGCAGGATAGGTCAGCAGCACTTCCAAACGCTGGGTTCTTATAGCAGTGCTGGTTTGAGTCGCTGTCTTGCCAGTGGTGAACAAATGGGTTGATGTCACTAGAAGCAAAGTGAATGGGCGAGTCCTGACATTTTGGTGTATGTTGTTCTTCACCTCTATTTGCATACGGGCTTAATTTGTCCTCGTCTTTCCTCTGGTATAGTGTCTGATGGGGTAAAGAGCATCTTTCCGGGGTGTACATTGTAAGTTGAACCTCCTTTATTTTAGATTTAGTACGATGTTCTGCGTTGTCTTTTCTTGCCTGTCTGAGTTCTTGTTTGGCATTTTTCTCAGGGCCCAGTTTGATCCGTGTAGGTGTTGGCTCCCTGTGAAACATCCTTGTGGTTTTTTTATTGCTCTCGTCTTCATCTGACGACTTAAGTGAAGAGTCAGAGGAAGACAGGTTTTGAGTTTTGAAGTTTGATTTTCTGAGTCTCTTGGTCTTGTTTTTGTTAGGTGTGAACACAGGATTTCCTGATGTAACTGCAGTTATGTTAGCATGTTTTTTAATTCCATTTCTCAGTGGAATTTTGATACTTTTAGCTGAGGAAGGAGTATTACTTGATGCAGAGACTTGTAACACATCCTGATGCTGTGGCACGGACTGAAGCGTCAAAGCCTCATTTCCACATTCTGATGCACAAACATCTCTGCTGTACTTTTGAGGTCGGTCCTCAAAGTTTTCATTATAATTCATGTTGATAACAAAAGTCTGAGCCAAACTTTCAGAACACATATGTACACAGCTGAGCTGATCATGTGCCTTGATGGAATTTTGATCTCTGTGGTCCACTTGTACATTTCTGTCATCAACATTAGAAAGAGTGACCTGGCTGCTGTGATGCTTGTCTGATTTGAATTTGTTTAACCCCCCCTCAGGTACTAGCTTCATGGCTGAAGATACTTCAGAGCCACTTTGTAAATGCTGAAGCATCTTTGGTGAGTGCTGTTTGGATGAATATTTCTCCCTTTCGGCACCACTGGGTGTGACATCTGTGCAGATGTCCTCTGAAACAGGAGAACCACAGCTCAAATTTGCGTGACTTGAGATGAGACATCCTTCACTGGGGATCTTGTGAGCTTGGGGGCTGAGTCTCTGAGTCTGGAGTTGTGGGATGGGATCAGCATTAAAAACAGGGGCGCTAGAACACGTCTGAGTGCCCACATTTGTGGAAACATCACTTATGTCCAGGTTAGGTGGAGATACTTTGTGTTTACTCAAAACAGCAATTTCTTGAGTATTTTTCTCTTTTGTGTTTCCTAGACATTCTACAGATTTTCTCTCTGAATATGGATCCCTTACTGAGGATGAAGCCTCTGCTTCTAAAGTAGGGATTTCAGGATGCTCACACCCTTTGTTGCCCAGGTTCGGCTTTGACTGCATGTTTTTGTTTGTACTGGATGACTTTGGGAAATCACAAGGGTGGACAACTGGTTTCTTATCAGCATCATCAGTGTTTTCGTTTACTTCAGTATTCTGATGCAGGCAGCTTCTTTGGCTATTCCTAAATCCAGCTGAGATATCTGGTGCTGACTGCTCGGCTGTCCTTTCACTTATCATACCCTCTACTGAAGTTCCACATGAACGTGTTTCTTTCGAATCATTATCATTACCCAATTGGTCAATAAACTTTCCGTGTGTCCATCTCTGTTCATCACTAGTACAGCTGGGATTGCATGCATATGATGACAAAAAATTAAGACTCTGACTCATCTTCTGGGCTCTTTCTCTGCTAGTCAGGGACAATTTCATATGTTCCTTCACCACCTCTGATATCCTCAGATCAATGGCACTACAAATGGCATCTGACTTGCATCTGTGTTTTTTCATTTCCTTTTGTTTTCCGTGGGTATCAATTTGGTGTTTTTCCCCCTCGGGTTTATCAAAAGAGTCTTTCACCGTTACATCTTCTGTTTCAACTGCCTCATTATTTCTAACTGTGAGGCTATTCTTTGAGTTAGTGTCCCCATTTTCAAACAAATGCTCAGAGTCCTCAAAGAGCTGACCACTTGGTTGAAGTTCCCTGCTCCTGATATCAGACACTGTCAATGCAACTGAAGCTGGTAAATCTTGTCTAGCGTTGCCATCGACACCAACAAAATCAAGTCCAAGGCTGTTGGGTTCCTTGGCCCACTGTTCCTGGTTTGAGCCACTCGTGTTGTTGTTGCCATCTGGCCAAATATCTTCCACGCTGTCGCCTGGTGTACAGGAGAAAGTCAACAAATCCCTGCTGTCACCCCTTTTTGGAATTTTCAGACTGCCCATAAAAGCATCCTGCTGGTCTTTGTTCCTCTTCCTGGAATTTTTACAAGCTGATTTAACAACTTCCTGTTGTGGTTCAGTGCACTGCGGGCTGCTTTTGGTTCCATCCAATGTAACTAATTCGTTGTCAATGTTTTTTACCTGCTGTACATCTCTCTGCTGTCCATCTTTCACGTTTTCTGGCACAGTATGTGGTGCCTCCTCTTTAATAGAAGGCTTGGAAGAATTCACAGCACCAGGCAGGTCCTTCACATCGCCATGGTTGGTGGAATTTGCAGACGAATGCAAAGGATATGGAAAACGCCAGGCGCACGTTTCAGTATTGGAGACTATTGTGATGCCAGCAGCTGCCAGATCAGGCCCCAAGAGAGACTCTTGAAATAAATTTGATGCTGCTTCTGTGATTTGAGAAATCTCTTTGGATGACAGAGAAGCAGTTTGAACCGAAGCAGACACAGCTGCTGGGTTTTTGCTCCAGTCTGACCTTTCTGTAGATGTTTTCAGAAAGCATTCTGATTGTTCTAACTGCTCAACACAAAACCCCACATCCTCATCATTACCAGATATCAGAGCATCTGATTTTTTATGAACCTGAGAGTCCCTCCAAAGCTCATGGCTGTGCTCGAGCACCGTCATGTTTACATCCTCAGTGCTGATGGAGGTAGAACTATAGCTTCTAAATCCACTCTGTGAGCCTGACAGAGTCATACTAATCGGACTTGGACTGGAACTGCTTCTCTCTGCTTGTCTGAGAAAGAGTTTTCTTTGGAAAGGAAGCGAATCCCTGGCAATCCTGGGACTTTCAGCTGCATCTGTGGACGACCAAGCGTCAGTGAGAGCCAGGATGTTTTCAGGCTCCTTCATGCTGCAGCTGCTCAGAGAGCGTGGGCTGCTGCTAGAGGTGGTTTGCATCTTCCCAAAGTCCTCAGTCAATTCCTGTACGACGTCTCTGTCTCCGCAATCTGCTATTGATGAGCTCTGAGGGGTGGACTTCCTTGTTGTATTAGTTTGCCTAATCTTTAATAGGGCTTGCTGGCTCCAAGGTCCCTCTGTTGTGGCTCCAAGTGGTTTCAGAGATGAGTCCAAAGCCAAACTGCTCTGTGCCATTGTGCTGTTCTGTATGGATGAATGGGCAGAATCCATCACCAGTGAGTATCTTGGTATCATTGTTTTTTTACCTCTGTGCACTTTTGAGAATTTCATAGTGTTCTCCGTAGTCAGTGAATCTTTAGACATCTCACTGTCTTCGCTCTCTGTTTCACTCAGGGCTGTGTCCTCGCTCCGCAGCCGCTCTGCTAGGGCTGTCGCGTAAGCAGAGGACAGAGAGTCGAGAGAGAAAAGGCTTTCACAGTCTGACGTTCCTTCATCCCTGTCCTCTTGGTTCTCTTCCCATCCAAGTAAAGCCTGCTGTCTGTCTATCCATCTGCTGGTCTTGCTCATCAAAGCCCCTGTGCTATGCCGCCTCCTCTGTCTCACACTCTCAGTCATGGTCCTCTGATCCAGCTCCTCACATGAGACAGCAGTTTTGATGACAGCTTTGCTTTGACTCATTATTTTATCTTTAAGACTCTTCTCTCCCCTTTGTCTCCAGAAGAAATTCCCTGCTATCCTCCCAAGAGGCCTGAGCACTCGTCCTCCCTTCACAACTGGAGGTGGTTTTCTGAAAACTTTAGTAAGAGCTGTTTTTATTCTAGGCCCAACAGAATGACACAAAGGTCTGCTGACGGTTTCTAGATGGTTGTGTCCTGCGTTGTAAGAGCTTTTTGTATGACTAAAAGAGCCCTTCTCAGAATCTGGTCTATCTGTGGTGGATGCCTGTATATTTTCCTTGCTAAATGGTAGTAAATCAGTTTCGACTGACTTTAGTGTCAAAGCTGTGCTCTGGTCCAACCTTCTTTTAAAAGACAAGTCTCGGTTTGGCATCAGAGGTTTTCTTTCTGGGCGTCCCAGACATGGCTGGGATTGTGGTTCCTCTTTGGCAGTTTGTGCAATGTTTTCAGGGGTGCTGGTTTCATTGAACTGGTTTTGTCCAGAGAAGAAAGAGCCGGAACAACTTTGGGTTCTTTCCCGTTGAAGACACTCATCTGAAACCCACTTCCTGCTGCCGTTGGAATCAGCTGTCGAGGATGAATTTAAAGTCCTTTCTGTGGATTTGTTTCTCTTGAGGAAGTGCCTATTGGTGGAAAACAGAAGGCAAAGTCCAATGTTTAAAAGATTTACAGTTAGGAAAGGTTTAGAAAGATTAAGAAACACCAAAACAACACATGCATCAAGACTTTAAAAAATGTATTGCATGTGTAAGTTTGCTCCTAGGCTTAATGCATTTTACTTTTATATTCTTACTTGAAGATAGGCGTATGCTGTGGATAGAGCCGGGACAAGAGATCTGCTGAAAAGGAGTGCCTACGAGGACCAAATGGGCTTTCTTTGAGATGTGAGGGAGATTGCAACTCTGGGGACTCCGGACTGTCTGCTCCAGAAGGAAGCGATTTTTCCAGCTGCTGTAAGGCTCTCTTAGCATCCAATAGATGCCTCTTGTTGGCGATTCTCCTCAGTTGGTAGTGCAGCTTTTTGCGACGAATGCGGCTTTCAGCACGGCAAAGGGAGTGATGCTTCAGCAGCTCATCTTGCACTGCCTTCTTCCTGGCCCTAACCACCAGGGATGGTCTCTCCACACTAACCTCTCCCTGGTCCCTGAACACCTGACTTGTCAGCTTCTCCAGAAGGGGTGCAGGCAGGAGGTCTGCTTGAACTCCAGACTCGCGGGTGACTTTTTGCTCTACAAATGACAAGCGATGTTTCTCCTGCAGAATCCACTGCTGGACTATAAAGAGATGCAATTTATAAGCATTTGACATTCTGAAAATATAACTGATAGCTGGACAAGTAAAACCAACAAAGACTGCAGAATGAATGCTTACTTTCTGTGTGCTGCTGACGGAGGTAAGCCTGCTCCCTTTCCAGCTCTCTCTCGGCCTGTCTCTGTTCAGCTTGGATCTCCTGTCTTAATCTTTCCACAAAGTGCTTCTGCTCCTCTACACGTTCCCTGACAGTAGGCTCCTCTGTGCTGGAGAAACAGTCGCCCAGCTGCTCTGGGAGCTTCAATTCTTTGACACTGGTTACATATTGAGAAAAAAATAAGATAATAAGATAATAACCAAGGTAAAGACTGTTTTTTTGTCACTGGAGCATAGCTAAAAAGCAAAGGTTAGAGTTGCTAATAAAGCAGCAGGTTTAGTCGAGGGTGCTGTCAGCTGTAACTAAGCAACCTGGGAGTCTGACCTGTAAACAGCTAACTGCGATTCTCAAAAGGGTGGGGGCTAATGGAAAATCATGAAACACTGGTCTATTTCTGCAGTACCAAAAGAAATTGCGCTATAACTCTTTCATCAAATATGTATGCTTTGAGTTTCCTGAATTAGGTCTCTCAGTACATCACACACGAACACGGAGTGGCAAACATAGACCAAGGAAATAGTTTTTGTTCTGTGCCTCTGTTATTGTGCGCTGAATTTACCTGTTGTCGGGAGTGAGACGGCAAAAATCAATATAGCTGCAGGTCATGCCACCCTCACTGGTCTGAGAAAAGCAAAAAATAAATTAAAAAAATATATAAACTTTATGAATTGTAATGTTTACATAAAACACAACATTGACCCTGCACAAAAAACACAACCTTATCTGATTAAATGATTTTATGATCATAAATATAATCACAACTGCAATCTTAATGAACATATTAAGATTAACATCGTATTCATTTTCAGGCGAGAAGTACCTACCCGTCTGCGCTCCCGGAGGACTGCTGCCTCTGCTGGGTGGTTGAAGCGGAACTTATGCACTCCTCCCAAAGTAATCACTGTCCCTGGAGATAGAGACACATTCTTTATCACATGCTGTGCTCAGCCTATGGCATTATGTGGATGCGTGTTGAGTGCTCAGGTGTGTATGAGTACTTTTGTGCCTAAGCAGAGGTGTGCTGTATATAACAACAGTGTTTGTAAATGTGAGTCTGGATTATCATCTTTGGGATGACTCTGGGTATACAAAAGTGTCTAAGCAGTATATATAACTCCACCTTGACCTACATCTGATGATGAATGCTTTGTTTGTGCAGACATAACCGTAGACTAACCTATATTTGATATCAACTAAAATAAAATATATAGGGATTACACACAAGTACTACTATTACATAATGCTCCATGTATTTCAGGTCAGATTTTCTGTGATTGACAAGTGTATTTTACAACTGTAGCAGGGCCCATATTTTCCCTGGTTATCTGTACTTCATCTCACTTTACTATTGGCAGTTAAAACTTTGAATGCATAAATCATGTTATAACTGGACATTTATTCAGTTACTCTGATCAAATCAATGGCTCAGATTACAAATGAAAGCATGCAGTTTAAACGCTGTTTGTTTTTTCCAGAACATCAACTCTATGTGATTAGTGTTGGGTGGGAAAGGTTGCAGATGTGAACTGACCTTGAGCAAGTCTGCAGGGCTCGATGACCTCTCTGTCATTGAGCAGGCAGATGCAGCCTGGCAGCGGTCTGAGCGTTACCACACCCCCGTGGTTTTCAATCTCACAGCTGGCGCTGCCCTGCAGGACTGTAAACAGAGATATATTCCCAGATTTTGATACAGAAAAAGGAACCAACGCCAGCACTGTAATGTAAAAAAAATTAAAGTAAGATGAAAAAGTGATTATTTTTAGCACTAGCTGTTGATTCTCCAACACTAGCTCCCGCTCTGCATAATTCTAAGAGTAATTAATACCTATTTGAGGTTCATCAAAATGGTCCTGAGGTCCAATGTAGGTAATGCCTTCCTGTTAAAAAAAAAAAAAACGCATGTAAATGATACCTGTACCTAGTATGTGCATAAAGTAAAACATTAAAATAATCTCTGTTCATACGTGTGCTTGCTGAATCATAAAGTAAAGAGCCATTTTACTAAATAACTTAGTTTTTTTCTATTATTCTTTGTTTCACCTTAATTAAAAAAAAACATATTTCACCTATATAGTTTTACCTAGAGGGATTAAAAGATTTCTTATATGGTGTCAAGACCACATGTGCTCCCAGGTGGCCACAACACTCATATGTAAGAAACAGCGTAATAGTCAGGCCTAAAGGTATGCTTGTCATTGTCAGAATCAGGAGAGCTTAAGCTCTCCTGAGTCCTAGCCTCAGAACTAAGAGCCTTTTATCAAACCTAGCTTTTGCTACTCAGAAGACACATGCTGGGGCACACAGAAGGAAACTGACAGGACAGTGGGAAGATGGAGTGAAAAGTAAAAGCATTACAAACGCACCTTTTCTCAAGATTTATTTTTGGTTTGTTTTTTCAGCAGGATAGAGACAGAGAGAAATAATACGGGAGAAGAAGAGGAATCTAGATAGAAACACAAAGAAGGCTTAGTAAGAACAGCAGGCAGAAAGAGAGTGCTGACATTTTTTAAAAGTAGATAGTTATAGTTGGTGTAAAAAACATGTTTGTAAATGACAGCCGAACAGCTCCTATACTAGTTATTGCATAAACCTCAACACAAAGGCACTGAAAAAGAAACACCGGCAAGAATTTTAGACACACTTATTTACCCTTAGGTGATAAAAGACAACTCCTGTGCTGAGAACGTCTCTATCCAGGGCGACCAGGTGTGGCTGAAGGGAGTTGATGAGGAAACTGGCTCGGTCTCTGTTGATGTCCACACCATACTGCTCTAGCAGCTCCTTCTTGTCTCTCCAGCTTTCTGACCAGTCCTTTGTCAGCTGCTCCACCTGAGATGGGGGTTGGGGGGGCATATAAAATGGTGACCACATAAAATACATTTAACTGCGAGTATGAAAACACACTGGCTGGTAGCAAGTGGGGTCATGTGTTACCTTTAGTTCATTCTGTAGCACAATTTCAGAAAGGTTTCCATCCCTCTCGTCACTGAGGGACGGACTGGGATTCCGCTGCTGTGAGTCAATGGGGCAAAAAAGAAATCAATGATACTGTGCACTTTAACATTGCTTTGGTAGAAAAACATCAAATGCAATGTGGGAATTCAAAGCCTTATTGTATACTAAGATTTTTCAAAGATCTCTGGGAGGGTTATTACTAGTCTTAAACCATAAAAAGGTCACTGTACCATTTCAAAGCTGAGCAGCATGCTCTTCAGCCTGTCAATCTCCTCCCGCAGTTCTCTTATTAGTCGAACATTTACATCCTAAATATAAATCAAGAAACACATTATTGCATTCAAACCATTTCTATCAAACTAAAAATGTTGTATTTGACTGCAAATATCTACTGACCTCATTGACCCGTGGTTTGTTGACAATATTCCTGGCGTGGGCAGCATAGCGCAGGGTGCTCAGGGTCTCGTTGTAGCTGTTAGCAGATGGGGAGACCGCTGTGGACACACAAACACACAACACACACTCAGGTAAAGACACCACAGCAACAGTTAGCACGAAGGCTGCATGAACTAAGAATAACGGACTAATTGGTAAGACAGCAACCGTTTTCCCAATTGTAAAGTTACTTGATAAATGAATCCTCGACAGCCATTAGCTTTTGCTTATGCATAAAGGAATTGTACTGATTTTTCACTAGCTGCTTTGGTTTAAAGAAACTATACTCACTTGCGATCATGATCGTCTTTGAGTTGCCACCCAGACTGTCCTTCAATAGCCAGGTCAGGACTGAGTCTCGGTAGGGAATGAAGCAGTGCCTTCTTCCACCTCCGCCTCCAGAGAGAGAGCTGCTGTGGCTTCCCACTGTGCTGCTGTCACCCTCGGAGGCCACACTATTGATACTCTGACAGCTGCTTGACATGTGGGAGTTCTGGGCTGTAGAGGAGAAGGTAGGAAGATTCAGGGATACACAGGGAATGAATAATAAGCATGAGAAAAAGAGGAGAAATGTGGTTAAGATCTATTCAATCCCACTGAAAAAGAATATTCATGCTTGTTAGATGTAATCTTTAAATCTTCCACAGTTAAATTAAAAAAAAGAAGTATGTCTTTACCAAGAGCAGAGATGACGATTCCCAAAGTCACCAGCGATTTGTTGATGTTGGAGCCTTCTGTCAGTCTGTCCCTGCAGTAGTGGGGATCTGCTCTCTCGCTGTCAGAGAAAACATCACCTTAATACGACGCTTTCGTTTGGAATATAAAATTACTAAAAGCATAGATTATGTTACAGATGTTAGTTTAATAAAATCTCAAGCCAGTATCCAGTAGGGGGCACCTTTGACTTGACTGAAAAAAAAAAAAAAATACGGTTACCTCCCAGCCAAGTCCACCAAGTTAATCTTGCTGACAGTTTCTGAGGGAAGGTTATTTTCTAGGATTGCCTGTGGAGGATAAAAAAGAGTAATCATGCATGAATGCCAATAAGTGATAAAACAGCTACAGGACAATAATTTGACTTCATGCAAGCAACCTGGGTGTACTGAATGGTGAAGATGGCGTGGGATCTACTGCTGGCATCGTGGTTGTGAGTCGCTGCGGTTATGCGGTTGGCAATGCCTTCCTCCAGGAGATCCAGAGCCTGTTTGCAGTCTGAGACCACATGCTGTGACAGGTCTAGTTAAGAGACAAAACCAGCAAATCAAAACTTTTCTTTTAAAACATTTTATTTAATTAGAGGGCTCAAAGTGTTAAACACTAAAAAAAAAAAAAAAAAACACAAGCAGGAAACTTCAACACTTCCTTTGGGGTAATTACTAATGTTTTCCCAACATTGTTCAACAAACACTTGAAACAATGCTCCTCTTCCAGACGTGAATCACTCCAATTTTAAGAACTATAAAAACATATGTGCAAAGATAATTGAATTAGTTTTGGTTCTTTCAGGTAGCTACATTCTTAATTTGGACTTCTACCATTAAAATTACAGTAAATCAGTGTTTGGTTGGGCAGATGTTAGGGGCTAGGAGTAAGAAAAAAAATGCAGATCCTTAATGTGTTTTGTGTGTAGTGAAGTGTTCTCCTTGGAACCACAAGGAAATGACTTCACTTCCTCTGGTCAAGTGGGATTTCTCCTGGTATAGACAATAAGTGGATGTGGGACTTTAAACAGAGCGAGGGAGAGCTGGGCAGACGAGAGAGACGAAAGAAAGAGAGGGAAAAAGATGAGGGGGTGAAGGCAGAAAAAAAGCAAGAGGAGCTAAAAGGAGAACCAGGAAGTCCAGCTCTTGAGCTGATCAAAAACTGAGCAAAGATTCCACCACTAACCACATTCTAGTTTTATAAACCAAGTTCATAAACTTCCTTGTCTTCCAAAATGTGTGTATGAGAGTATAGTAAGAAAAGAGATGGAATATAAGTATTTTTATACCGACAATAAAATGATGGTAAGTGCTATAAATGGCTACACAAACTAACATTTCATAAAAATGATCTAGGCAAAAATCTGAATACCATTTACATTTAACATTTATTTTCTAATGTTAACATACATCTTGTTCTATATGGGAACTAAAGCTGATTTCAAGGCCCAAGACTTCTACTTGAATTATTAACGACTGCATGGTTTTGAGTTTTTAATATAAAAATGAATAAAACATCACACAGTTTGAAAAAAGCAGAACGATCCAATGGTTAAGCATCCAGTTTTATGAATTCAGTTTGAGCGGAGATGGAAGAGGAATTCTACCATTAAACTAACACAAACCAGTCCCCTTAGGACAGCTACGCCAAACACTCACCTTGTACATATGGCCCTTTCTCTGGATGTTCTCTGACTCTCAAGGATGTCCTCTTCTTCTGTTCTCCTCCTCTCAACAAATCTCTGACGCGCTCATTATAGATTTCCAGAAAGCTGCAGGACAGGACAACACCCTGACATTCAGCATCAGCCTCCGTACAGTGTTAGCAAAAGAGCATTCAGTGTCCACTTATCAGTGATTGGGAGAGTTTATTTACTCGTTTATGTGCATGCTTCTTTGTGAATTCATCAGAACAGAAATCTGAGAGCACAACATATGCTTCACGAATTCAACATTGCTGCCAATAAATTATGGACAGAAACATTCATTTTTCATTTGCATTTTGTTGGCTGCAGCTGTGTACCAGAACTGAACCATCAATTCTTGAATGAAGTCAAAGATGCTCAACTTGGCACAACAGGACACAATTACCCACCTTATTTCCACTCTGCTTGAGTTCTGCTGATCAGGAAAAGCATGTTCCGCTCGAAAGAGACCCTTTGAAAGAAGGATGAATGCAAATTGACGAATTACAGAGCAGAATTCAAATTTAGCATTTTGGCAGTGCTTGCTGTCATCTGCACAAATCATAATCTATGTCTGTCCTACCTGGCAAATACGGGGAGTTAGCCCAATAGAGTCCTGAGGAAAACCAAAATAAAAAAATATAGAATGAACACAGGTTTACATAGTTGTTTTGCCTTCTATGTGCCACATTACATTAGATAAAACATTGAAAATATTAAATAAACACCAAGCAAATATTTCATCATATTCCTCACCGGAGTCCCCATCATGGTGTATGTCTTCCCAGATCCTGTTTGGCCATAAGCGAATAGGCACACATTGTAGCCCTCGGATGCTCCGGACAGAACTGACACACCCAGGTCCTGGAACACCTGAGGAGATTACCGCACACCATCCATCACATCTACTCAACAAACGATCAAGTAAGAGTTCACAAGAAAAAGACAGCTGGCTCTGTATTTCTTTAACATGTTTAGGTCCTTTAGCAGCGCTCCAATTCGGAAATTTGAAGATTTCATTTTTAAGATTTTTAAGAAGGTGCTACTGTGAACATTTTGCAATGTTAGCCAGGGTAACATTCATGTTTTTACATGAGTTTCATGTTGACAATGCATTTGCACCAGGCCAGTGTAGGGGAGGCACTGTTGTCTCCTGATTAGGTGTTGTGTAAGAAGCAAAGAGGCCTCCGCATACTCTGATTAAACCACATTGCAGAATGTGTATTTCAAACAAACACGAAGGTAAGAGGCTGTTGAATTACTGGGTCAGGAAAGCTATCAGAAAAACCAGGTCTAAGACTGGGGATCTTGGATAGCCAAAGTAAAAACAATCAACTCAAGGCCTTTTGTTTTACTTCTTTCTTTGTGTGAGATCCAAAAGCTAAATAGCACTAGCACAAGGCCAAAATGAAACCAGTCATCATCCATAATATGAAACAAATAACACTTTTTTAACAATGCAATGTTCTGCTGGAAAGCCTCTTGGAATTATGTGGACGTTACTTTGGCACATACCAACCATCTAAACATTGTGGGAGAACAAACACGCTCCCATGGCACCCTCTGGCCTCACTCTGTCACACAAGGCCACAAGTCAGAAAATAGTAAATAAACAGCTGGAAAAATGGGACAAGAGGTTCTGAACCCAGATGATGATCCAACTGAGAACATGGAGGATGCACAGGTAAATCAGTAACAAGGCAGGTAAACTGATGGATGCTCCATCCTGTAGCCTTGACAATGAAACATCTTTGATCAAACTTAACTGTATAACCTTGCAGATCCAATGTCCTCTTTTTGAATCAATCAACTGCACAAACAGCACTCAGGCAAGGATTTGGGGGGATAATAGATCTACTATTTGGTGTATAAATACGTGGAAAAAGGTTTAGAGGGCAGTTTTCAGCTTCCTAAGCCTCCAGGTATTGTCATAATCTTGTGGGGTAAAGTAAAACTCTGAGCTTTTCCACAGCACAAAGGCACAGGATTAGCATGTATCTACTGTTGGGCCTTATCAAAAGAAAACATATTGAATTATGATAACAAACTGTGCAATGTCCACAATGTGCAGAATGGGTGTTTATCTCTTAACCGTTTAAGACCCGAGGCACTACGTAAACATGGACAATGTTAAATCCCGTTTCATCAGTTCCATATGTATTAATACGTATTATTCTGCTCTGTTGTGTGTGTTTAAGTGTCATTTGGTAAAGGTTTTGAAATCTGAGGAGTTACTGATCACCTATATTGTCATCTTTACTTTATTTATAACTGATGAGCAAAAAAAACTCAACCCAAACAAGATCCTCAGGACATGTGGCCTCAGCTGCAAGCCTTTAACACAGTCCAAAAGCAACACATGGCTTGGGAGGTAGCAACCTGATCTAGACCAGACCTGAGACACAGCACATTCTCCCCAGAACCTAAACACGCCCCGGGATCAGGGAAGGGAACCCCTCCCTGATCCCAGGCTCAAAACTGTGCTGTGGGGACAGTGTGATAGGTAGATAAGTAATTCTCTCAACATTGGCACAACCTCAAAGAATCTAACATGCGAGTATTTTCAACACTCCTCCCATGTGTTGGTGTGTTTCTGTGTGACAAGCAACCATAGTCAGGAGACACGAGAACCTGGAGTTCAGCCTGTTTATACTTTTGGATTACAAGATGATGAGAATGGGTTTGGGTTGGATGTGGCTGAAAGCTCTTTTGAAAGGCTTGGGCCTTATAAAAGCACCCTGAATTCAGTGGTCTTCTGGTTACTCTTGACATTGTGAGAGTCTGTGTGGTAACAGTCAGCAGCCTTGAATTTCTCAAAAGTGAATTGTTCTTCAAAAGAAAGGTAAATGAAAAACTAGCATGTATCCCGCACAGCAGGAATAAAACAAAAGAAAATAGGACCACTTGCTTGTTTCTCATTTTGAAGGTAAAATTTATTAGCCTTACCAGCCATACTGAGAAAAAGCCACATGTATCCTGTAAAATGTTGCCACCACCTTCTCAGTGGCGATATAAATCACTCAACAGGCACCTGAGAAGTAATGCTGAGCGCCGGAGTAGAAAACCATTCAGACTCGTTTAAGGTGGCTGAAGTTAATGAGAAAACCAACATGTGTTCATCAGGCTTTTTTTTGCCTATATGTTACATTATAATAAGACATCACTCTGGATAAAGAACAGCCCATTTGAGCAAAAGAAAATCAAATACAAAGAAGATTGCATGGCTCTAAATGAAGAGATTCCTTAGACACGAGAGCACCTTATATAACTGTGACTGTGTCATGTGCACAAGCCGGGAAGCATGCAGTCCAATGGAGTAAAGACCACCAACTGTTGGCCCCTGCCTCTTGACTAAATGGAGGCTTAATCATGAAGACAAAAAGCCACACCATCTCTGTCTTCGCCCTATTCTTCAAAAACAGGCAGACACTCTGCCGTCTCTCAAACACAAAGAATCAATGCAGCTCTTGTTAAAGATGACCCTTTTAAATTTGCCCAGTGGGGGCCACAACCAAACCAAAGGCCTCTGCAAGTTTTGTGTGAAGGGATGGAACTTCACTTGAGCGCTCCGTTTCTATGGACCTGACTACCATTTACCCTCTGCAAACCTCACATGATCTTAAAACAAAACCATTAGAGTAATTTCACATCTATCGTGCAGGAGTTTTTCAAGACAGGCAAATTCAGGAAATACACAAACAAACCTGTTACTTATCATCGCTGTCACACCTAATTATAATCATACTGCCATTTGTGCCTCTTGTCCTCTGCCTGCTCTAATGGCCACAATGGCCTTCTGTAGCAACCTACTTTCACAGTTTGAAAGTCCCTGCAGTGTTGGGGGATATTTTCAGGCTAACAAAGCAGGTGAGGTAAGAAACAGGTTGCATTGTGGGTATGGAAATTGTGGTCTAAACTCAATGAAGCAAGGAAAAATTGCCTGGAAACAAAGTTACTGGACTTGTGTCAGAGTAGGAATAAGAGTGTAGGCTGGTCAGAGTCATGAAAACACACGTGGAAGAGACTAAACAGCTCCATGGCACGGGGAATGGCGATGTTGTAAGCAGGCCGCTGTGCACATATACGTGCATGTATTTGACCAGGGTCAGAGACCAAGTAGGATCTAAAACAAGGACAAAAGCTTCCCTCAAAACAAAAACAAAAAAACGAAAACATGTACGGATGAACAATCTAACAATGAAAAAAGGGCAACGCAGAAAATAGATTTCATTCTGGTGCAGGAAATGGAAGTAAGATTCATCAGGTCAAAAATAGCAGAGGAAGGAAACACAAAGTCCATTTTTAGGTAGTAAAGATGCACTTTGCTGTGTAAAATACTGCTTTAAGTTTGTTTTGAAACATGGGAAAACACTATGTCTGGTTTTTATTTCTAGCATGTCCACACAGACAAAAGTTTTTAAAAAAAGCTGTGGTTATCTTATAGTAAATAGAAAATAAGAGGGTTGGAGGAGTTAACAAGTAATGGTGTAATAGTCCTTTAATGATTTCACTCGTGTAATAAGAGGCTCCAGAAAAAGCCCAATGCTGGTCTGGTTTTTATGTGGCTTGCTCTACACTAAATCCAGGAGATGGCTTAACGTTATGTGTGTATGACGCTGTCATGGCTGATGGCAAAAAGCCAGCAAAGTAGCCATGTTCAGAACTTCAAATGCTTGTGGTTTTAGCCAAGTGTGAAGTAGGAGGAAATTCATTTTCCCCCAGAACAACTCCCACTAAGAGGGCATCACAAAACAGAGATAACACAAGAGGCTGTGAGTAAAAGGGGGGTAAGGAGATACAGCTTTTCTCTAACACTCCAATAAAATACTGTAACACATTCATTCTCCCTGTCCAGGAGTGGACAGCTGCAATGGAGGTGGGGGCTGCTCAGTTCCCATCCGGCGCTCTCCAACTGAGTACCTCAAGCACAACAGCTGGGCCCTGAGCAAAACTAAATGCCTTTGTTTAGACACAGGAAAACAATGTCACGGGAGATCCTCGTCCTCCCTGAGAGGCATCTGTGTAAGAGAATCAAAGGTGAAAGCGAGAGAAATGTGAGGACAAAGAGGACAGCAGTGGGGACGCAGGCAGGGAGACCGAATCGTACGCACCCAGAGGAGACAGAGAGGAAGCTGTTTGGCCACAGTTCAACAATGGCCTTGTTTGTCACACTTGGCCAGAATTTGTAGGTCAAATTAGCATGGAAGAGCACAGAGGGAGGAGGGAGATACAGAGATGTGCACACCAGACAGTGAGCCTGCTCCTCATTACCAAGGCCCCTGTACACATGAGGCTGAAGGGAGGAGTCAGGCGTAAAACGGGAAAGTGGAAAAAAATGCAGGCAGTGGGGGCACTCCGGGAGAGCACTCCACGTTCCTGTGAACATTTTTGCTGCAGCAAACACAGGGGCAAAGGCTAGACTTGAAACAAATAAATAATACCATATCTGGAGAGGGTTTGGGGATTTGTCCCCCCTGCCGGCCCATGTTAAAGGGGCCACAGCAGAAACATGCAGAGTGGAGCTGCATATCTGACTGGAAAGACTGGGAACAACTTCTCCAGGCCTCAAACTGATCTCCATAGGGTACAGAGGAACTGCTTAAGTTTTCTCATAAGGAGAAAAGTTGGTGCCATATTACTCCTGAGTGACACAAATTGAATTGTTACTCTCTCTTGATTTCACTTTTAAAGTCTGTTCCACACAATTTAAAGTGGTTGGAAATAATACGTCCTTTGAAAATACTAACTTCCAAGATTTGCTGCTGTTTTCAGAGGAGAAAGAGGCGTACATAGGAAGTGTTGGGCACTGAGTCAACACACCTCCATCCACCTACAAGAATTACACCCAAAACCTGTGTGAAAACTTGTTTCCATGTGGCTTTGACTTCATATCTTTTGATGAAAGAATGACGCATTTCTCGTGCCCTGTTTGTAGTTAACTCAAACCAGCCTGGAATGGACTCTGACTGCTGCTCCAGCCGTGTGCTGAGGGGTACTAAATACTCACATGTGCGTAAAGCATTACTCCCAGAAGACAGAGGAACTATTCTTCCCTGCTCTGCAGCACCACTGACACACAGACCTAGAAACACTGCAAACAGTTGCATCTTGCAGTCACAGAGAGAGACTGAAGAGGAAGAGGGGGAGGAGGAGATTGGGGGAAGCGCCAGCAAGCTGAATCCATCTGACAACGACATAAAAAAATCCTCCAAGCCAAATCCTCAGCAGTGACGTCTTAACACTGAAATTTAACTGTGAATAATTACTCAACGAGGCAGCTGCGACTTTGGTAACTGAGAGCTGGGGGCTGCAAAGGCTCACAGGACCCCCATTTCTCCTCCTGTCCTCCCCTCCTCCCTCACTCATGGAATTCATTTTCTCTCTCTTCCATCTCTAATAATTTTTCTCTTGCCATTCTCTGTTTGCACTGAAATCAGCTGCTTCCCTTCCACTACACTACCCCCACTGTCAGACATAATAAAGCAGCTCTGGGTTGCTGTTATAAGATAGAGGAAAACAAATTCATTAGCAGGATTTCAAATCCCAAAAGAAAGCAAGCAGTTACGCACAGAGTCAAAACCGCTCTACAGCTGGTTTCCATTATGCATCATGACTCTATTCCAAATCCCTACCTTTCCCCACCTGGCAGATCTCTCCATCCTCCTCTAAACCCAGGCTTCTCTTTATAACCCATTGCATCAAAAGATATATCATCAAAGCTGTATGCCCCTCCTCCCCCTCCCTTCGGGAATGCTCTATTTTATTTGTGGACAACCCTCAGTGACAAAAATAGGACCATTTCTACACCTCATAAACAGCTAAAAAAATCCTGATTTCTTTCCTTCCCTTTGCTGTCACTAAACATGAAATCCCCCATAAGTAACTGCTGTAGGCTATCAACGATGCAGGAGCGAGCAGGGGAGCACAGAGACTGGGGCAGCCAGAGTCCTTTGGGAGCGGCAAACAGAGCTGGGTGTGGTGAGATAGTGCATGACTGCAAAAGCTGGAGTCAAGATCCAGTTTCCCTCTATATCATTCCCCCCCACAGATTCACATGCTCTCTGTCTCCAGGGAAATACAGTGAAAAACAAATGGTTTAAGTTCATGCGGTTGATATCATAGTCTGAAATCAAAGCCGGGGGAAGAAAAACTTCATCGGCGAAAATAGCATCAACTAATTACCCAGGAAAAGGTCATTAAACAGACATTTGCTTCAATATTTGAGAACAAAATCTATAAGTGTAACTTCAGAACCAATTGAGTAAATCTAATGCCAGAGAGGGAAATGAGGCCACATAAAATAACACTGCTGCTCAATAAGGGAGTGGAAAACAACTTCAACTGGCCGCTTGAGATGGCTCTTTGCTGTTTTAAAAGCAGTTTCTTTTGGGACTCTTGGATCAGAAAGCCAACCTGTGAGTGTGCACCATTAAAATGGCTTCCTGCCATACCAACACCAATGCATTAGTTACTCTGTTGTTCAGATTTGATATCCAACTCAAAAATACACTATTCAAATATTTTCTACGGTGATTCAGACCGTTGGATGGTTGACATGGTGATAGATAAGATGATCAGTTAAAGAGACAATTCTTCAGATTGTGGTTCATAAAGAGAAGTTGGATTTCTGTCCTCCACTGGTGCCCTATCGCCCACTCTGGGTCATCGGTGGAATGTCTTGTGGCATCCAGGCCACTGTGAGTGGACACAATTCTGCTGAGGAAAGGCTGATGAGAGCCAGAGAAAGGAGAAGAGGGGCAGTGATAGAAGGGCTGAGATGGCTGTTACTCTGTGCATAATGCATAATTTAGGGAAAGTATCGCAGCCCTGTCTTTCTCAAACAAACACAATGACAGCACTGATAACAAGAAGGACGGACAGAGAGGGTATGGTATAAGATATGAACAAAGAGTAGAATAAGCAGGATCATTATGAAGCCAAAACCTTCCTTATCTTTGGTTTTAAGGTACTCAAACAGCGCTTTATGTAAATAATAATCAACAACAAGCAAACACCAGTTTTTTCTGGAAAAAAAATCCATCTGAAAGATTCTGTGTTATAACTGGATCAGGCACTGCATCCTCTTAATCTGGACCTAATCTCAATTTCCATAAACAGCCTCCAATCAAAACAACTCAAAGAGATTTAATCGTCCAATCACAGCCAGGACATGAAAAGCAAGCTGACTCTGGCTACGCAATGTCTGAGGCACACAGACTTCTCCGTAACAGATGGAGCTGATATCGTGTCCCTCAAGTGACCATCTGTGTAAAAACATACACCCCAACACACGCTACTGCTGTTGTGGTGTTTTCTCTGGGCTCTTCTTCAGGGGACTGTGTTTGCCCATTGTCAACTTGTGGCCAAAGCTTAGACTGGCACCCACCGGCTCTCCCTTCCGAACAGGAAAATAACAAAACAAAACAACAACAAATATCCCTTTAAGGTGTGTAAATGTTTACATGTTAAAACAAACCCATCCAAATACCAGATATGAGAAAACTGATGTTTATTCATTCCACGAAATAAACAATCTTAATAGTGTGAATGCCAGAATGAAATATAAAAGAACCTCAAGAAGTCACTACATGACCGTAAAGTCAAGAACAACTTGTGTGTTAAAGCACAAGAACAACTGGAAACCAAACTAAGGTTAAATGCTGGATAATGCACATAAATTAACTAGTTAGGTCTGTCACAGTATTCTGGGACTATTTGTGATTGTTTAGTATGGAACAGATGAAAAGAAACAGTTCATATTTATTTGAATCGGGTCAGTAAAGTGAAGACTTTAGCGCTTGTTAACAAAGCTGTTCGGTGAACAAGGCCATTACCTCCTCCTGTGAAGCATAGTTTGGGTCTGCAGGGTCCACAGACCAGTAGCAGTAGTCAAAACAGAACTCCAAAAGCTTCTCCCTGGAATCCACAGCCCCTTCTATACGGCTATCCAACTGTAGGGAGGATACAAACAAGGAAGACAGATACGGTCAAGTTTGCAAAGTTACCTGGGACATAAAAAACACGAATTTGAGTGTTCCTGCACTTAATAACAGGTGAGCGAATAAGAAACAGAAGCTATGGTGATAAAAGCACCACAGCTTTTGTTTATGAGACTTCCACATAGTGGAACTGCAAGCTAGCTGTTTCCATTCATTAGCCGCAGTGCACTTACTCTTTCTCCAGTCTTATGCTCACCTCAGTGCACTGAGTCTTGCCGCCTTTCTGCTTACAGTGAGCAAATCATGACCAGCGCAGCGGCATTTAGCGCTGCTCGTGAACAGCAACTGAAGCGGAGTCAACAATTAAGCATTGAAGCATTTACTCTGATTCACTGCATAAGACCTTGTCATCTATCTGAGCTCAGTGATGCTCAGCATTTTCCACAATCTCTCCATGATGAAGTCTACTGAGAATCATGACCCATATTTACAGTCTGTATCTTTTATGTGATAAAGTTCATAGGAGTGTGCGTGCACTGGGTAATGTGCTGAAGTTTAATGTTCTTTCATCATAGGTGTTGTAACTAAACAAAGATCTGACATTTACCAACATCACACACATCTTGTTTTCTTTTACAGGGTTTTTAGGGATAAAATGTCATGTTAACATGTTGTAAATACAATTAAAACTCTGTAACAGCTGGCAAGAAACCACTTCAGGGCTAAGCAGAGGGAGGTCTTGTAGTCTTTATCATCTATGCAAATGATCCCTTACTGGTTGCGACATAAGGCAGCACTAAGCTCAGGGTATCAGTTTTACACACAGCAATTAGCTCGCCTGAAAGCATGTCTACTTAACCTCTCCGCTCTGGTAGGAAATTCAACGGCTATGTAGAGTGAGGGATGAGCCAAGAGCAACACAGGCCGGCAGCAAATGTTCTGCATCGAGCTTCAACCTTTGCACAAATCTGATGAGGTGTAAAACATTACCCTTTGACCTTTCTGCTTTCAGACTAGTTAAGATTCAGTGACAGAGGAAGGCCATATGCATCTTATCTTTCTCATCATTTGCAAAAGATTTCTGACCCATATCCAAACTTATTTAGACGGAGGTCAACATTTACATAGAAAAAGGTAAACAGAAAGATGAATCCCTTAATGAGCATGCTACTAGTCTGGGGTTAAATGTCAGCTTTGAAATTGGTCCCAATCAAAATTCTGTCGATCTTATTCATGATAACTTGATGTTTTAACTTGCAGGTAGACATTTTATAATAATTAAGCAACAACAAAAGCAGACTGTGCAAGTATTCAAAGTACTTGACACATCACAGAGAGAGAAATGTCCCACGCAAAAGCAGGCTGTTTGCTACTGTCTGCAGGCCATGCAGCTCAGCCAATCATGCGACTCCACTCAGTCATCACAGCAGGTTGATGACGAAGTGCAAGTGTCATCTTACATAGTCAAAAAGCTCACAGAATTATTCCCAAATGTGAAGAACTTAATTAAAAGCAGTAAAAAAAAAAAAATCAGTGCACAAGATGAAACATGGTAACAAACTCCTGTTATGTTTATTTGTTAAGTGGTTTGGGGGGTATCTGCGGTGGCTGTAGATGTGCTGCTGGTTAGAATTGTGTGCAGAGCATCAAACTGCATATGCTTGACAGGAAGGATCTCTAAACTAATGCGCCTGTGTGCTCATATAATAAACAACACTGACATCAAGCAGGAAAAAGCTGATCCCAGGCTGTAAACATCCTGTTGCTATGACAGATACTCTCCGCAAGTTACTCATATTTCATTCAGTACAAATGAAAGCATAAATGCAGCTGAAAGGAGGCGTCCGTTCTGCTTTCATGCAGGAATACTCACCTTCATGTTTCGGATCCTCACTAATTTATCCTCCACCTGAACTGCAAGCCTTCCTCCATCAGTGCTCTCCCTGTAAGCGAAAAGCAAAAAAAAAGATTGGCTTTGCTTCCGAGTGTAAACGAATGTGATAAATGCTGATGAAAAGAGCGAAACCAAATTGGAGAAAACATTAACACATGCTTCCACTAGAGATAAATAGATCCAAGGGACACCATCAGTATTGATCAGGATCTCCATTTCCAACCAGAAACTGGACATAGCTATAGCAAAACTTTCACTTTAGATCAGAAACTGCATTATTATGCCTTACACCATCTCTAATTGGTTTTTTAAAGTTTTTTATTATTTTTTTCCACAGCGATTGGTGTATGTAGGAGGATGTCCAGATACATTTAGGTTTGCTTCCTTTGACTAGAGGCCATCGCAAGACAGTTAACACAATGAATCTTTGTCTGAGCGTACGTCAGATGCATGAAGTCACCACGCAGGACTACCAGTGACAGTATCAGATTCAAATGAAAACAGACCCCCTTACTCTCCAGAGGCAGCTCGGGCTGTTTCCACAGGGTTAAGAGAGTGCACCAATGTGTGTGTGAAATCTGGGCCAGTGCGTCTCCTAAAACAAGGTCAGCTCAGTTGTGTGTGCTCCAGCAGCTGGACCAAGTATGTCTGATGCAACACACAGAAAACCGGAGGCAATCACATCACAGAGCTGAGAGAACTGCGGTCTCCAGGACCGATAATAACGTTGAAGGTAATACAAAAGCCCCATCTCCATGGTGGGTTAGGGGCACGCGAGGAGGCTGTTGTGCTTTTCATCTTTCACTGTGCTTCCCCACATGGAACTGCTTTGGCCAACCCCACCAGCAGCAGCCCAACCCAAAACCACCCAGCGCCAGTGCTGCTCTAACTAGCATGAAAGAGGGGAGGTATTTGGGGTGGAAAACAGTAAACCTAATCAAAATGTGTTTTTATACATTACAAAGTAGAAATTTTCCAGTTGACTTGATGTGTTTCTTGCACATGGGAGATGCAGCCCACGCTCTGAAGGGGGGGATCCGCTAACATCCTATTGGTCAATTAAAACAAAGAGCAAACCAATCGTTTCTCTGAGCGAATGAGCAAGGTAGCAGGCCGGGGTTGGTGTAAATGCAGAAAACTGTCATTTAAACATGTAAAGAAGCCATACATCTTTCAAAGAAAAATGACAGAAGACCTGAGGACAGTATGGATGTCATAATCTTACAGTACATCAGGAGAGACAGATTTGCACGACAGTGAACATTCAATATAAGAATTTCTTTTGTTATGCAAAATACGAGGAAGGCCAGTTGAAAGAATCATTGTTCAGCTCGGATAATGCTTTGTTATGGCACTTTAATGGCCTCCAGCTTAGCCAATCCTGCAGCAGATCAAATAAATTTAATGCATTACTGTAGAACCAGTATGCCCAATAACTTCAGCACTCAAAAACTTGTTATTCAACATGTTGTAGTAATTTACCAGATAAAGCAACAAAGGGTTTCAGAGCAGCAGGGCAGCTTTACAACCTCCCTGCTTTTCTTTGCTACTTCTACAGATTCAACAGCACGATGAAAAGACAGGAACCCTTTTCCCTCTGACAAAACAAAGAGCAACTAAACAGACAAAAGAAACCTCTTATACGTTTCGTAAATGGTGATAAAGATGATATAATTTGCACAACACAGTAACTAAAAATAGGGATGTTCAGTCAGAGGCTTCTTCAGCAAAGAATGTTGCAGCAACTCAGTCTTGTTCTTAGAAGTGCGCAAATATAAATGCTCTTTTCTTTTTCTATCTATTACTACAAAAAAAAAAAAGTTAATTCCTCTTTTGGGCTTGATGTTTGATTCATCCAATTCAAATCAACAAACAGTCCATTGATAACATTCTTTCCACGTCCAACTTTGAGCAAGTATGATGACCTGTAGAAATATTCGAGAAGAAACTACCTGAGTCATGAAAATATACATTTAATGGGTGGAAAGGTAAATAAGTGGAGTCACAAAGAATCAGAGAACCTTAAGGGTTGCAGAGTTAATTTTAGTCCTGAGTGAGAATGAGACTCTATCTATTAAACTATCGAACGACCAGCAGCAAATGTGTTTGAATGAATCACAATTACTGCCTAATTAAAGGGCCTATTAGCCTGGTGGCGGTGGAGTGAGCAAAAAAGGCTGCTTTTTAATAAAACTAATAGAGCTTCCCTGTCCTCGGTGTCACACAGACTCACACAACGTGCTTAGTCTGACACAACTGTCAGCCACAGTTGTCATTATTCACCATGTACACCACTTTCTCCTCGCTGAAGTTTTTTTTCTTAAACTGCCGTGTTAGCTTAACGGTTGTTCATTAATTTAAAAAGACGTTGTTGTAAATGGTCTTAAGCGTTACGAGAGGCGTAGTGTTTATAAACAACAGACAGCAGCCAAACCCCCGTGACCGAGGGCACCTACTTCATCAAACTGTACAGTGTCTAAAGAAACACAGCATGCCAAACAGCTCTGGTTTCAATATGTCTCCCTTTCCCGCACAAATGAGCAAAACCAGCGACATTTAAGCTAACGTGAGAACTTACCTGGAGTTGAGAGGACGGACCCGAATGGCAACTTTGACGTTTGCCATGGTGTTTTTGGTGAGAGTTTTACTCTCAACTCAGAGGCTGACTGAGTTGGGAATGCTATAAAATACCGCTTTTCCTTTAACCATAATGAGCCTTTTTGGATCTTGGGGACAGAGTCGTTCAGACGTCCCCGGCTCAAGCCATCTTCGGCCGCTCGGTCGGAGTTCCAGCCGCCCGCCGCGTTTCTCTCCAAAACTCTCACTCACAAAAGAGTTGAAACTTCCTGCTGGAGATGAAGGGAGGGGAGGGAGGGGATGCTGCTCCACACTCCTCCCCAAACCACATTAAAAAAAAATCTAACGTCTGAGAGCATTTGAATCCCCAACTAAAGTGTGTTAAGGGCTAATCTCTGCTTTATACAAAACAGTGCTAAAGCCCCCAAAACTGTCGATGACAAATCAGATTTCTCCCCCTTTTCCTCCCGTTGTAACTGCACACACAACCAACCCAAACTAAAAACACATTTACATCTTAAAAAGTCTTTATTATTAGTCATATTAATTTCATGGCAGCATAATATTTGAGTTTAAAAGCAGCACAGTTCAACATGAACAAAAACCATCACAAATGCACCAGCGCATCCATGAAATTATCATGCCATCACTAGTTTTATGGTCAAAGGCCATTTGTGAAAGTGCTTATCTAAAATAACTATACTATTTTTCTTCCAGCCAGCTTACATTCTGGGCTCACATCTGTGTGCTGTTACTTCATAAGGAAAAACTGCAAAACAGTTTTGAGAAGTAATGCCGAAAAAGCCGAAACACAAGATGCCACTCAGAGTCGGATCCTGCTGGATAAAAACACAGAGAGATTTTACATGACAGAAAGAGGTGGTCACACACACAAGCTGGTGGGGGAAGGCTGAGTGGTTTTGTTGTCAAGTCGCTCCCTCTACTGTCTGCTGTGCGACCTGCAGCACGTCCATGCGCTGCTGCATCTCAGCCACAGGCGGGGGGAGTTTCAAAGTCTTCGACTGAAGCATAAAATCCTCTATAAGCTCCTGAAATACAAAAAAAGCAAACAAAAAAACCCACTTCAAGTCATGTGAGAGGATGAGTTCAGAGAAATGCATGACAGTGAGAATGCAGTGAACCCTCACCACTGGCAAAGCCAAGTCTGTTAGCTTCTTCCAGTGAGATATGACAGCTTCCTCGCTCAATATTCCTTTGTCCACCAGCTTTAAAACCAAGAAGAAGTAGTTCGACTTCTAAAACAGAAGGACAGGTGGGGGGGGTAAGGCACGGCAAGGTAAAAGAATCTAAAAAATGGTAGTCATGGGAAAGGTTTAAAGAATGTGGACATTTCTGGATGTTCTACCTCTTCTGCCTCTACGCTCTGATCCTGTCTGTCCACTTATGGAAGAGCATGTAACTGTCCAGCATGGGGAAACTATGGTCCCTTCCACACATGAGATATGCAAGATTATGGCTGAGGGCTTGTTTAAAGAGCATCTCAGTTAGAGTTAAAAAAAAATTGTGTTTATAATACATTACTTAGGGAGAAATCTGGGTAAAAAAAATTGACTGAAGAGCGCAGCTGTTCAGTTCTTAATCATGACCTGATGGATATGTCTGATGGCCGGCCGTCACATCGGCCTGCAGCTGTTAATGGGACTGCAGCAGTCGCAGCCGATTGTTCTGAGCCGACGACACATGCCAACGAGTGTGCGCTCGTCAGCTCTCCATATCAAAATGTTGTTGGTAAAGCATAAAGGGGGCAATTCACATATGACACTGCCACATAGTTTTGATAACACCTTAAAGGAAAACAGTCCATGAGTGAAATGGGCTTCTAAAATGCCATAAAGCCACCATTTTTGTCTTTGGTTTGGTAAACCAGAAACTTCTTGTTCCACTCCTTGCTATGATTTGTTCAAAGACGATATGTATTATAATGCCTTATTCTGGGTTTTATTTGATCAAATGTAAATAGCAACAATGAGAGTTTTGCAAGATCCCTCTAACAGGTGAGATGCTTTTGACAGAAGAAACTTTAAGAAGGAAACTGCAGCTGCTTAGTGAGAATATTGTAAAAAGCTCATAAAAAGGATTTTAAGGTGCCTTTTTGAGGACAGCAAAGATGGAAGCGCTAGCTCTGCTTCAGTTCTGCTGAAATGGGTGGTGGGCACACCTCTGTGTCGCTGGCCGTCAGAACGGCCGTGACCATGACGGGGCTGAAGAGCTGATGGACGGGGGCGGAGGAAAGGCAGTCTGTCTCCCAGAGATCCACAAGCTGCTCCAGCAGCTCCGAGACAGGAGCCCCGGACCCCGAATCCGGCTCCAAAACCTCCCCGCCGTACCCTGACAGAGGCAGCTCTCCGGACACTGCACACACACACACACACACGACTGACTACCAGATCTGTGCAGTATGCGCCACAGTTTCACCTAACTTCCATGTTTCTATTAAATGTGTCAGCAAATTAATCAAATTCAAATAATCAAGACATACTAAAAATGTCCTGCAAAGCAAACCACAAACACCCCCCCCCTTCCCCAAACAAGAAGCTTTGAAAGTCTTACCCAGTTTGCAGGCCAGGAGCACAGTGGAGTTCAGAAGCGTCTGCTCAGACAATGCTGTCAAGAACTAAATAAAGAGATAAAAGAAATACGGTGTGATCCATGCGGGCAAAAATCAATACACCCGGGCTCAGGTGTTCTTTTGTTAGTCTTGTGTACCTTTCTGCAGGCCAGTGTGCCTCCTGCTCTGTGCAGCAGTGCTTTGAGCTGAGAGAAAGTCGGCAGCTCCTCCTCAGTCCTGGGGCCTACAGCAACGCTCAGCAGCTCCTGCATTTATTAAAAAGAAGACGGTGAGACAACCATTTTGTTTTTATGTCGCCGGAAAGTTGAGTGGATTTCCTCCTCATGATTTTGCCCAAACAAATTGATTAGAGAACATCGCAAAAATGTGCCTGAATAAAACTAACAATCGTTAAGAAGTACCAAGAACATTGTTAGAAACATTTCAATCGGACGAATGAAGCACACCTTAACTTCGATGAGGACGTCTGAGGGCAGCGAGGCACTGTGGTCACATTGAGGAGGGCACGACAGCACTCTCTCCCCAGCTTGTTTCTTCTTGGGGGACGTCGTCTGTTCCTGAGCGGTCGCCTCGACAGCAGCCACGCCCACGCCGGCAGATTCTGGAGCCACGGGGCTGCCCAGAGCCTTCATCACGCGATCATACCTGCTCTTCCACTCACGCCTCACAAGGGCTTTAAACAGACAACAGAATGGAACTTTAGGCTGGAACTTGGGAGGCTAAAGGTATTTTTTCTCTGCACAGACAGGGAAGAATGTCCTGTTACATGGTTCCAGCAGCACGCAACAGTTTTAAAGGTCAGCGTTTGAAGGAATTGGATAGCAACACAGGGTGCAAACGTTTTACTCTCCATGACATAGTGTCAGTGTGCATATTCATTAGTCCTAATGTTGCCTTTGTGCAGCTTTTAAGAGGAAAAGCTGAACTTCATGCTGCATTAAAGGAGCCTGACAGGCTTTGTTGATCCAAATCAATGAGTTCAAATGAATCTAAAAAATAATATTCAATTTATGAGCCACTTTTTTTTAAAGATCCTGGCCTATTCTGGACAAACAAATCTGTAGGATTGCATGGTTCTGACCCTCTGTACGAGAACTAAAAGAAGCACAGTTTGTTACCTGTAATGTTGGCAGAGAGCCAGCTGCAGGCCTTTTCTGCAGCCAGACGTTTGGTGATGTTTTCTGATGTCGTCAGGACCTGACGGGGCATTGGAGGGGTTGGAGGTTATGATATGTAAAATCTGAATAATCAATCAAAAGTCTGTTATTGGAAAACGTGGGCCTGAAATCACCGCTGACGAGGTCTCATCGGGGAGCAGAATTCGTATGGCTTCGGGGCTCTTCTCATTGCAAAACCTGCAAGGCACAAACCGAGATCACAGACAACCCTGAGCAGCTTTGAGCTTGTTGTCCTATTTCATCCAGTGCTGTACCTGGTGGCTCTGGCCAAGGCCTCCAAACCGGAATCACAAAGTTGAGCACAGATGGACTCGGTCAGTTTTGATGGATTGGAGTTTGGCGACGCCAGTCCATCTCTCAGCATCTTCTCTCCTCTGTCCACCAGTTCGCTCACTAAGGTAGCTCTGTTGAAGGTTCACGTGGACAAACAAACACATTCAGAATTTCTAAAAATAACCCCAGACGTGCAGAGCACATTTACACAAAGAGGTGAAGCACAGCCACTGCCATCTAAATACTCCTCGTGTTGGCCTGTTTAACACTCTGCCTGGCACTTAGGCAGGCAAACCAACCGAAGAAGGTGGATGATTAACCACTGCTGCCATAATAAAATATTATTTGGTGGAGGAGTGCAAGTAAAAAAATCAGCTATCTGAAAAGCTGCAGACGCATCGTTATCAACCCCAGCCAAACCCCTGGGTTCTGTGGTACCGACTTCATGTGCTTGACGGCGTTGGACCCGACTCTCTCGGCCACAAACTCAACGGTGCGGCGCAGTGACGGAGGCTGGTTGTGGAAGAAGGCCTGCTCCAGATCCACCTGTCGGGGTCCAAGCAGTGGGTTCAGACCCCAAAACACGCAGGTAAACGCGGCGGGGCGGCAAAGCCGGCTGTTCACAGCGTGCTGCTGCTGCCTCACCTGTAGCTTCTGCTGCGACCTGTTAGGAGTCGGCGTGCCTTTGGGCTCGGCGGAAGTGGGGGTAATCTTGCGGATGATTCCTCCGCTCTTGGCGGAGCTGCCAGACACAAAGGCAGCGAGGAGCTTCCGGAACTCCCCTGAGCATTGGGAGACAAGGCGGTGATTAAAAGTGTGCTCAAATGTGGGCTAAAATAGAGGACTGCTGTGACGACAGAGTTCCGCTCACCCAGAAATGGACAGCATGTGTAAAGAAGCTGCTGATCCACCAGGGGAATGCTGTCCTAAAAGTAAAACACATCTGTGTAAAAAAAAACACCTGAGGGGATGGGGGCAGCAAAAAGAAAACATAACTCACAAGTCCTGCAGCAGTTGAGCCGCTCTCCTCCATCACAGCCATGGCCGTGGACTCGCCGGTGAAGAAAACATCCTCCGGGATCACGGGGATCTATTCAAAAGTAACAAGTTCACTCGTACGATAATGAAAACTAACAAATTAGGATTATTTTCTGTCACCACCACTGCGGTTTAGCTGAGTTTTCCGTCCAAATCGCCTCTCACCTGGAAGAGCCAGCCCAACACAGACACCAGCAGGAGCTTGTTCAGGTAACAAATTTCTTCACCTCCCCTCAGTAACATCTTCCTTTAACGAAAACCAGTATTTATAGAAGGACTTATTTTGTTTACAGCCACATCGGAAAACACATTCAATCCAAAGTGAAATAATGACAGAATAAGAATAGATGTGTGTAATATTTATCTAAACAGGATTAAGCAGTACGATGTACACAAGCACCTCAGCTTTAAGTAACACTCGATATGTTAACCTGGTGTGCGTCAGCTCATGACAGACAAAGAATTTGAAGGAATGGGCTGAACCTATAGAGCAGACGCAGCGTGCCCAGCGCACTCCTGTAGCAGAGCAGCAGGGGGCCGACGAAGTCCAGCATGGACAGGAACTCCACCAGCCAGGGAACGGTCAGGATGGTGCGCCGCCGCCTCACGCTGCTCCTCAACACGGCGCACACATCCAGCACAGGGATGCTCTGTGGAGCCCAGAAAACGCACATTTTGATCCCAGATAACAAGTCCGTACCGGGGTTAAAGCACCTGGTCAGAGGGTATGATCCTTTATCTTGAGGAGAGGGAAGTCATTTCAGTCTCACCTTGCTGCGCAGGGTAACAGACGTGTCCTGTATCTCCCTGGAGGGTCTCTCGGACGTTTGGTATGGCAGAAACGAAATTAATCCCAGGAACTTTGCCAAAAGACGAGCTTGGAGCAGCACTGAGGAGAACCTCTGCTTCTCGTCCTGAGAAAGAAAAAAAAGGTTGAGGTATAGACAGAAGGATACAGGCCGATTCCCCTCTCCCTCCAAACAAAACACTGCCTGTTCAGACCCAACTTCAGACAGCCTACCTGCTGCTCCATGTCTCCGTCTTCCTCCTCCTCCCCCTCCCCGACAGAAGCGGGGGGGCTCAGTATGGACACCTCGTCCAGCTGCAGGAGCTGCTGGCACAGGCTGTCCTGGAGGTGCTGGTTTAGCTGACAGCTGTAAGGCGCAAGCCGCTTTAGCTGCTGGCGGCTCCTTTTGTGTCATACGCTGTGGCAGAAATAATACTATCCGATATCTCACCAGCTTGCGGTCTGTATGAAATCCCTGAAGAACTCCTGGTGGCCGGGAAAAGACGGAGGGGGGCACGGGCCCACGACTGCGTGAGGCTGTATGAGGCGTTCCTCCAGGCGCTTGAGGCGGCCCAGGCCGTCGGCTCCCAGCATGCCCAGCAGGTCAGCGTCAGGGGTGTCTCCAGGAGAGCCGTTAGCACGGGGGCCTTTGCACATCTGAGAAAGGAGCAGGCTTTACACCTCATTGTTCTACTGTGCATCGCGTGTTTGTGTCTGGAGAAAAGAAATTACTTTGTTCAATGTAAAAGTTTGGACGAGGGGCCAGTCTACCTGAACGAGCTGCTTCAAGAACAGACGGGCAAAATGGGAATGGTTTCCAGCTGAGGTGAGCTGGTTCATCATTCCCCTAGACGAGAAGACAGAAAAGAGATATCCAATTAAGCCGGGAGGCTTTAGATCTTAATTAAGCCTGATTCATTGGAAAGGAAATCAAGAAGCCAATAACTAATTGCACCTGCCTGATTCTACCTCCAAATGTGGCCTCAAAACTCCACTGAGGTTCATTGTGAAGGTCCTCCCAATCCCGCAGGACTTCATAAAAGACATCTCTGAGAGGAGGGTTAAAACACAAGAAAAAAAGTTTATGAATTTCATGCAGATTGCATTAATATTCTAACAACTATGATATTCTTTTTTAAAAAGAGAGAAGGCCAAATGTCTTGTTTGTTTTTTTTGTGGGCACGGTAAAGAGAAGAAACAAAGAGCAGAAGAATACTGTAACACACCTCTGTTTTTTAAAGGTGTGGAAGGCCTTGTCGCTACCAAAATTAGAGCGGTTGTCAGTGGCCGGCTGGAAAGGAACCGAGTGGATGAAAGTGGACACTGAAGGAGAGAGCTGGAATCAAACAAAAGTCAGTTTGTCAGAAAATGTGTGAAGGATGCTACATATTTGTGAGGGGAAATATAGCGTAGAGCATATCATTAACATGCTAATCTATAAAATGGGTGGTCGATCATAACGCTAAACAGATATTCTGTTTTAAAAGCAAGCAGGAAAACCGAGCGATACCTTAGCTGTGCTTTTGTCCTGTGCCTGTGTGAGCCGGTCCCTGAGATCTGGAGAGAAAGAGGCCACCCGTTCATTCTCTGCCAGCATACGCAAGGTGCACTTATCCAAATGAGCCAAAAGCCTGACGAATGACAAGAAGACGCCGGTTAAGGATTAGTGACAATTCATCCTTCAAGTGGGGGCAATCTGTGAGCTGTCATGCAGAGAGGGACATAAAAAAAAGGAACATCACTCACTGAAACTGATTCTCCAGAATCTTCAACGCAAAATAGACACAGTTGTGCACGTGTCCCAGGTAACATCTTTCCAGAACATCTGCCAGGGAAACATAGGTTTAATAATAACTCAGTTTGTTATAAGACCACTGGCCCTGACATTTTAATACTGCCTAATGAAATAACCTCACACCTGAATTCACTGAACACAAACTTTGCTGCTCTTTGCCATCATGAGGAAAAGGAGATCTGGAAGTAAGCAGCTGCATCACAAAGAAGAGTTCCAGGAAAATGTTTGGCACCAGGTTTTCTGTCCAACATTTAGAAAACAAACACAAACATCAGCATTTACAAAGCAGGATCTTGTTAAACGGCATCAGTTTTCATGTGTTAAAGTTAATTCCATTTATTATAAATTAGGGGGAACAAAACTCCCCCCGAGCGCTGCTTTTTACATGGCTCAATACTACGACCTAGTGGTTACCCACCAGATATGCAGGTACTGTACAACTCAGCCAGAAGATCCAGTTCTGAGGAGAAGGTGACTTTGGATAGTTCAGGACAGGCCGTCTGGAGGTCTGGTGTGACTTTAGGTCCTGTCCTGACCCCCGTCTTTGTAGGGGTGCAAGGTTCGCCGGAGAACGGCAGAGGGGAGGCGGCCTGTTGGGCGCGCTTTGTCCTGCAAAGGGGAATAAAAAGGATACCAACTGTTACACGATTAAGAACATTTGAAAACTGATCTACAACTCAATACCAAACATTGGCATTTTCAGGAATTATTTGCACCCCCAAATAACCTAAAATGTAGCAGCGGCCATCTTTGAGTCTAAAAAACAACAAACACGCATGAGTACTTACTTCTCCCTTTTGAGCAATTCCCTCTCCTCCTGCAGGCTCAGAGGACTGCCCACTATCACAGACCCCTCAACCGCGTCCGCTCCCGGCGTGGAGCTTGAGGGCTTCGTGAACGGGGTGGATGTAAAGCAGGTCTTTGGTTTAGAGTGCTGCCGTTCCGCACTGACCGGGGTTGGGTTTATTCTCCTTGATGGCTTGGATGTGCTGAAGGATCAAAGAAAAAAAACTGTCAGGCAAACTGAAAAGGGGTGGACAGTATTGTTGTCCAGTCGATTTAAATTAGAACTATTTTGACTCACGCTGGCGAAATGGTTAAGGAACCGATGGGAGGGAAATCCTCCAAGTTGCTGAAATTGAGCTGGCTTGCATTCGGAGGTGAAACCACCTCGCCTATCTTGCCATAGCTTCCACCTTTTGCCGATCTTCTCCCTCCAGTCTCCACACGCCCAACCTCATCACTATGGTGTGCCCCTCGCTCCCCTCCATGTCTCCCCTGTCCCCCAACTGCTGCGCTGGCGCCGCTCTTCTTGCGGCCCTTATTCGACTGGAGGCTCGGGCTTTGTTGTGTGTCAGGGGGAGAAATCATGTAGTCCCCCAGACTGATCCTGTGTCCGTGCCTGCGCTCGGAGCCCGACGGCCTGGAAGCGGGGCTCCACGTTGTAGGGAAAGACGGGCTGCTGAGGGCGCTCACCCCGCTCAGACAGTGGGAGCCTGACTGGTCAACAGCTTCCCACTCACTTCCGGGTGACACAGACGTGGCTGGAGAAAAGAGTTGGACCCTGCTGGCATTTCGAGAACCACCTCCTCCACCAGACCTGCAAGCCCGCTTGTCAAAGCTTTGAGTCTTTGCAGCAGGTCTGGGCCGGCTGGGAGTCTTTGCTGGTGTGGTCGGGCCATGGGTGAGCGCTTGACTGCTCTGCTCTCTCAGGAAATTTAAGAGGAAGGGGACAAATTCATGTTTTTGAACTCCCACATCGGGATCCCTGGATGACAGTGTGTCGCCCAACTGCGTGATGAGAAACAAAATAGTGAGAAAATGTACCGTGAGAGATTGATAAATTAGAAAACCCCCGTGGCTGAGACGACTTGTTTCGTCTGTGGTCAACTATTGATATGAAGCACCAACTGCTTTAGGTTTCGTGTAGAAACAATAATCTGACCTAGCTAAAAGTGCATCAGCTAACAATCCCTATCTGCGTGTACACCCTCAAGACAGCTGTAAAGATGACTTCACCAACAACTGTCCCATAATCATCTTAAGAGCCAAAATCTAAATCCAATTACATCGGGAGTTGCCTACACCGCATCGCGCATGGAGCCCTTGCGATCCATAGCCAATGGTACTTGCTAGCTTGGCAGCTAAAAGTTTTGTTTACAAATAGTTGCGGACAATGACAACTCATAAACAAGCCACACGAAAAGTGCACCCGTTGAAAAGAGTGATCTTCTACTAATCATAGCCGTTTCAAACCTACCTTGGCGTCCTTTAACCATTCCACGACATTTTTAACGTCCACTTTACGCGAAAGTAGTGATTCCAAAAGAGCCGCCATTCCTGCCAGGCGCTTCGCGGCTAACAGACTGGAGGGGAGGGGGCGGGCCCAGCGTTTGCGCATGCGTATTGTCGTTTTCGCCTTCCTGATCACGTGTATAGATGACGTTGGTTGTCGGTTCTAAGGTTTGGAGGCAAAGTTTAATTTAGCTAAGCTAGTTTCTTGAACTAACATTAGCATTATAACCATTAATATATCTAATATTAAACTATATAGATTATGATGGAATTTCATTTCAGTGCCATAACCTCATCATTTGTTATATATAACTTAGGTTTGTTCTCAAGATACTCTGTATCCTATTTATTTCCAGGCATCCATCCATCCATTTTCTGTACTGCTTATTCCCGACAGGGTCACGGAGTGGGCCTATTTATTTATATCTATCTTATTCTTGTAAAATCTCCATGCAAAAATTTGTAGATAAATTAAATTATAATAATAATTTTAAAAAACAGTGTAGCGATAACAAATTATTCAAACCTGATGCCAAATTGGAAATAGTGCAACAAGCTGAATCTAAAAGCTTAGAAATTCAATGTTAATACATTTATCTTGAGTTTGACAACCAGTTACTTAAAAGTAACAAAAAAAAAACAGTTGTGACATTAACATATGGACAAATAGGAAGTGCTGCATCATCTCCTCTTACCACACCCTATAAGCATTTGAGAAGTTAAGTGAACATTTTTCCACTCAGTCTGTGCCTCAGGTCAAATGTATCTTCTTCTGTAACTCATCAAATGTATTGCAATGGGTTAAGCAATGTTAGTACCTTGCAGTAACAATGTTATCCCTACTAAATGTGGTCTACATGCTAGCTGTGGAAGAGAAGGAAGAGAATTACATAAAATATGCACTTGAACTGAATATTGATTTTAACTGTGTCACATTTGTTTTACACAGTGAAAACAGGGCTGTATAATTCTGCCCTTACGATATATATGTATTTGTGAAGAACCTAGGATGATAAACAGGCACCTGTCACACAATTCTATCAGCATGCGGAATGAGTATTTTATTCATAACCAGTTTATAAAAATAAAATACAAAATAATTTGAAAACAAAAAGAAATTAAACACTGTACAAGGCATTGATATGATACAAATGATAGAATAAACATAAATAATTACAAGTATATACAATGCAAAACTTCAAACTTGTTACATTCTTTCCTCGAGACTGTACAAATACATTTCAAAACGATGAAATCCATTAAACACAAAAAGGAGCAACCATTGAAAAATAGAAACAAACAAAAGAAATAATCCCAATTGAAGTGATCGATGGGCAAATGACACAATAAATAATATCTGTCCAGTAATAATAAGTTATTACGAATAAATCCAATTTTATGACATGAGAAAGTGTACAAGAGGACACCAAAGCTTTGATTAGTTTCCATATCACATTCAGACTCAAAGAAAAGAGTTCGGTTTGTTCTGTTGTTAAGTGGGTATCTGCAATTGCTGATGCCCACAAGCTACTAGAAATATGACACCTTTCTATCTGCTAGCCACTTTCAAAAGTGAAAAACAAAATCTAGGCTGGAAGATAACACCAATACTACATCTACACACCACTTATGTGCAATAATAATAATTATAATAATAATAACAATAATGATAAAGAAACATGAAGAAATCTGATTATCTTGTAAAACCAGCAGCACTGATTAGTGTCTGTTCCTCCCTTTCACTCAAGCCAAATAGCATATAAGTTATGGTTTTACAATACTGTTTTATTTAAATATTATTTCGGGTATCTTACAGGTATATATTAAAATCCTAAACAACCCCGGTGTGAACGCTGAATCTAGGATATCTTAAAATTTCTGAGCCTGAAATTGAGTTGACAAGAAGGAGAGCTCAAAGGTAGACTGTTTGTTGGCAAATTGCTCATCAAAAAAATTTTTATTCGGGGGGGGGGGGGGGGGGGGGGTTTCTCAGGCTCTCTCACAGCTTTGTACGCATAAAAGTCTGTCAGTGCTAATTTCAGTGGTCACACGTCGACCACAGTCACAGGCATGGCAACAGGCGCCATCTACAGGGATAAGGTACCGAAGGCCTTCTCCTGGCCTAACAATGGAATGATCTCCAACACAGACAAAGCTCAGTCATCCCTCGCTAGGAGCAGAGGGGCAGAGAAGAGACATTAAGGCGGCTGACTGACTGAACGCTGTCTGCCTTCAGGATGAGTCATCATAGCTGCTCTGTGAGTCGACCGGCACATTTCCTACCTACAAAGCAATGTGCCCGCTCAACCTTTTGCGCTCCTGTGTTCAGTACAAATCACATCTGCAAAATCCAAGAAAAACATTTGGCAATGCGATTACTTTTCTTTCTTTTTATGCACAGCATCCTCTTAGAGGGACTCCATTCAGTCTTTTACCTCCTGTCGTTTCCCCACAGTGAAACCCTTAAAAGCACAGCAGTCTCCTCTCCCATTTTAGGCATCATGTCTCGGGCAGTCAAAACATTGTATATTTTCATGGCCAAAAGCATTCCTTATAACAGAATTGTGAAATTTATGGAAAAAAAAGAGTTCCTGATAATTCAACGTTACTTATTCTAGATATTTTTGTCTTCCTCATCTGGCAACTGAACGACATTAAGAATAAGAAGTACAGGATCCTAAAACATGTTGAGATCAAATAATGATATTATCATTTGCACCATCAGCATGATATTGACATTTCTAAGATCGCCTTTAGTTTCTTTTTTTTTAACTGTCAAAACAGTGTATCATGACAACCCTAACCACATCAGTAAGATGCACTTTTTTAAGTTCACCTTCCAGTATCGCAACTATTCCAAGCATAGAAAACTAAGGTCCAGTGGGGTAAAAAAAAAAAAATACTAAGAATGCATCTGAGAAGACATACAGTTTCTGAGAAACCATTGAGAAGGTAATGACCTCCCTGCAGGGTTTGAACTGTCACGAGATAAATGCCATGTGGTGCTAGTTGGTATGTAGTCCTTATTGTCACTCAGTAGTCGATATGGACTTTTTTTTTCCTGTTTATTCTCTATAGAACATGCAAGGGGTGAGGTCAGAGGGAAGCTGAAGGTAGTTAATATCTTACAAGCAGGAGGGTGGGAAAGGTTGGAGTTTGAGTTTGAACTAAACTAAAATAAAACAATACTGAGACATTCTCCAGCGCAGGAATCTAGAGGCATGGAACGTCATTTTAGTGCAAGGACATATGTACATATGGCCTCCAAGAAAACTATTTTTTTATGTTTTGTTTTTTTGTTTAGTTTTGAGGTCTGAAATTCACATTTGCTCGAAGTTTCAACGCTGACCTGGCATACGCGCAGGATAGCTGAAACAGAAAATGCTCCCTTTCAGCAACAATAGCTACTCGGTTCTCAAGTAAACTGTTGCTCAGATGATGATTTACAAAACGCTTGTTTCGCTACCCCTTCTACAGAAATGAGCAGTAATGAAAAGGGGGTTGTCTTATAACTGCTGGCACAAGTCTGGTTTTGGCTCATTCATTTTCTAATTACAAACAGATCAGAGTGAAACCTCGAGCTGCCCGAAGTGCCAAGGCACACGCTGAGACGAATATGTGTGGGTGCGATACTCATCTGTAATGCACCCCGTGTTTGTTCAGGATTGCTACTGCTACTTCAGTGATCGCCACTGAAAAAAACATGTATTTTCAAACCTGCATTCTCTTCGTTCAGTGTGACCATGAGATCCTCTCTAAGCATTACAGTAGGCACAAGAAGGCGTGTGTCCTCACACACTCCACATGACTGATTGTATAAAGGGGTCACACTGGGTAACCCCTTCCATTGAACACACTAAACAAACGGGATGGACAGGAAACCACACGGCTACGATCACAAGTAAGGGGAAGGAGCCAGAAGCATTGCTAAGCATCATAATAAATATCTGATTAAAAACTACTGTACATAAAGTGTAGCTTCATTTAGCATAAAGTACGTGTTATACCCTGCCTGCAGCCTCCAAAAGCAGAGGGGATAAGCGAGCCAACCCCCCAGGCCAAAACTTCATTAAGACGGAATCAGCTACACTGAAATTTCAATAGTATGATTCAAGTACTTTAGTACTTGGATAAGTCAAGTTACAATTAAATGTGGCACAGGGTGGATCAAAGGTGAATGTTTATGTGGCTGAATTAGCTGTTGTTTTATGTATTGCCATCCTACCCCCAAGGTGAAGCAGGGATACAGAAGATAAAGATCTCTGCCTCTTTATGAAAGTATCGGTAAATCATCGTAAAACTGCAATTTTCATCAGGGGGTAGGGATAGACGATTGACTAATTGGAAACTGAACAAGCTTGACTAAAATAGAATATTTCAGCTCCAGCAAAGCACGTATTCTTATTCAAGTCTCAGTGCAAAACTAAACAACGTGTTCATGATTTGAATGCTGGACATGTAAATTATGCAGACGCAGAAGAGCACTGGGAAGATGTGTTGATCTAAGACTAACAGCTTTAAAAGAGAAATAAATTAAGTTTCAGATTATGAAGGAAGACTCAGGCTCTTATCCTGACTAGTGTCTATCCTTTTATCACCGGAGCCTTCCCCCCTTCAGCTATAGCCACGCGTGCCTGTGGGCGACTATCTGCTCAGCTTGCTGGAGCATTTGCCCTCTCTGCTACAGCCCTTCCCTCTGGACAGGTGGAAGGGGCCCGTGCGTGCCTGGCGGCTACAGCAAGTCTCCTGGTGGTGGAGGTAGAAGCGGCGGGGAGGCGGCGAGCCCGAAAAGCTGGGAGGGGAGCGGCTGCGGCCCAAGCAGCTGCCTCCGCCGCCGACGCGGTGCTCGTGGCGGGAAGGCGAGGAGCTGACCGAGCGCTGCAGGGAGGAGGAACTGCGCGGGGAGGCGCTGGAGCTGCGGTGGTAGTGGTGGTGCGGGGAGCTGGTCAGGCTGTGGATGCCCCCCATCCTGGAGCCTCCGTGCTGGGCCGAGGAGCGGTGGTGAAGTGGCGAGCCACGAGAGCCATGCATCAGCTGAGCGAGGCACGACAGGAGGTCTGAGTCACTGGTGCTGCTGGCCCGGATGCGGTAACGCCTGAGCCTACGAAGGTACAGAAACAAAAGGAACATGAGGTGGGAAAAACAGCTGGTTGTCGATTCAAAAGCAACCCCGGGGCATCGAGAAATAAGCTCACCAAGAGGTCACTGCGTAATTAAAAGAATTAATGTCACCTTTACGTACATCCTAAGACTGGATGTTAAGACAAACCGACTCTCTCTGAGCTTAAAAAAAACAAACACTGTGAGATATTGATATTTTTGGATCATTCTCTCTGTGCACAACAGAAATAAATGCTAATGTCCACAAAAACAACATTAGGGTTAGAAAAGTGCGTCTTCTTTAGACAGCGTTCAGGCGGTAGTGACATTACCTGCCCTCCACTGTGGAGCGACCCGGCGGCTTTCCAGGGGGCGGGCGTGGCAGGAACTGTGCAGCCAGCTGCTCGGCAGAGGAGGCTGAATGAACAGGACGGGGGATCCGGCTCTTGCGGGACAGGGGGCTGGACGAGGAGGAGAGAGACTGAGCGTCGTCTCCCTGGCGGTCAGAAGGAGAGCCCATGAGAGAGTCCTCATCCTGAGAGCGGTCAGAAGTGGAGGACAGTGGGTCCTTAGTCAGGGAGGCCATTATGGGTCCACGCCTGTCGGAGAGGGACGGCGAGGCGGTGGGAGAGGGGACCGAGGTCTGGTGGCTGGCTTTTTTCTGCAGGAGTTTCTCCTTGGCAGAACCTGGGGGAGGAAGGTCCAGCAGGCTCGAGGGCTCGAGCACGGGGATGCGACTCTGCCTGCGACTGGGGTCCTTACGGGGGGCAGTAGGAGAAGAGGCAGTTAGGCCTTGAAGCTGCTCTGATGCCACCTCACTGCCCTCTTCTGCCTTTATTTGGGTCACTGTGGCACAGTGAGCGGGGCTAGAATCATTGTCAGGGTCTTTTAGCTTGGGGGACGCGCCGTTGCTTAAATTCTTTTGGGTGTTGACAGAAGGAGAGAGGCGACCGTTAGTAAACACTGGAGAGCGAGGAGAGCGAGGAGAGCGAGGAGAGCGAGGAGAGGATGGGGAGCATGGCGAACAGGCTGAGCGAGGTGAGGGCATGTGGCTTGGCACAGGGCTTTGAGCTTTGGTGTGGCTGTCTCCATTGACCAGTGTTTCAGCCAGGGGCTCAGTTGGTGTCCCTGGATGAGAGGGCACATGATCCTGGGGGGAGCTCACGTCCCGTGTGTGCTCCTGGATCTGCTGAGCCTCAGCTTCAGCATCACCACGCCTCTCCAGCAGGAGGCACTGTGGAGCACTATCTGATCCTGACTGAGAGGACAGTCCAGAAGGACGCTGAGCTGTCAGCTGGAGGGGAGGGAAAGGTAAATGGGAGGGAAGAGAAAGACACACAAATGTTATTCTTTTGAAAAAAGCACACTTAGAAAGGGAATATAATTCGAATTTTTAAAAAGTCTGTTGCTGACAGACTACAACATGTCGAGTTGTGCTGTAGCTCTGCAGCAAGAGTCAGATGCAGATGTATGAACAGAGAGAAATTTCATTTTATGGGGTAATAATGGTAATTAGTTTAGCAACAGCATGCAATACCATAGCTACCATTATCAGACCGAAACACACAAGTGCTATGGCAGTGTCAGTCAAGCTGTGAGTACTAAACCGGCAAGTAGGACAGGAAACGTTCACGCAACTTCGCAGGGGGCTTCAGCGAAGAGAGGGTGAGGAACAAATACAGGGAGAGAGAGAGAAAGAGGAATATAGAGAGGACAAAGACGATCTGAAACAAAAGAGACCATGCAACCTGTAGTCATGACTCCACATTCCAAACACACATGCCACAATCAGACAAACACACATCCCCTAATCACATGACAAGAACACATGTCCAGACACAAGGACACATCTGACCCATGCTCTGCCTGGCCTGCACAATGCCTTTCATGGTTTCTGGAAAGAGGGGCCTGACAGCAACACAATAAGCACGGGGGAAAACGAGCAGAGAAGCCAAAACCAGCAAATTAAACCAAAAAGAAAAAAGAAGAAAGAAAGAACAAAATGGTTGATGGGAAGTGTTCTGCTACTGATGCGGAGGGAGATAAGTGGAGGTCTGTACTGACGGGACAGTGATAGGCTCATCACCTGCTGAAGCTGGGCACGGGTGATGCGTATGACTGAGGGAAACTTGGTATTGGCAGCGCCAGCAGGGATGGCCGGCAGTTTCCTGCGACTGGGCGAACGAGTGCCAGGGGTGGGGTTTGGTGGTAGAGGAAGGGAGGCGTGGCAGGAGGAGGACGAGGATGGGCGCTCTTGTTGCGGCTGGTCAACGGACTGGCTGCGCCTCATGCCTGCCGGCTGGCGCAGGTGCAGTGGGTCCGACAAGGTGGTCAGGAGGGTGTGAGGGCTGGGAGAGCGCAGAGGGATGGGGCTGGATGTCCGGACCACGACTTCCTCGGGTAGAGATGGAGGAGAGGTGGGGAGCTAAGAGAGGGGGAGGAAAGAAGTGGGAGGTGGAGACAGGAGGGGTTGTGAGATTGGTGAGGGCGTGACTAGATGGCGGTGGTGGTTCTGTGAGGTAGCAACGAGCGGGTTGTTCTGGTGGCGAGCGCGACGCACAGCACTTTTGAAGAGGCAAAGCAACAAAGGATCATGAAGATCACCTTTGTTGTCTTCTAAAGCTCGGAGAGGTAGAATGGGCAAAAACAGGATATTCTCTTAAAAGGGATGTGTATTTTCAAAGTGAGGGCAGTAGGTCTGGTTGTAGAAGATGGTGGAGGGGATGGTTATTGCTTAAGCAGTCCAAGGTGAACTTGTGTAGAAAATCAGAACTAGACTAAGTGGGCAACTGGGAGGGTATGAATTACAAAGAAGCAAAAATATTCAAGGCCAGCAAACTAAAATACACTTTTAAATCAATGAGTGAAGCAAAGGAAAAGGAAAAAACAAATTCCAGCAAATGAGATACTGTAACGCATGATATTTAAAGCAAATTCAACAGAATTTTGAAGCCATGAGCTCTCTTTTCCATGGTGTGATCTGCTAGAAAATATCTGAAGTTGTCTCATGTATCTTTTTCTAACAAATACACACGGGTGAAGAAGCAAGCAAACTAAAAGCAGTAACATTTACCTTCAAACTACAGCACGATGCAGCTGGTGGAACTCTGGTTGTTGTATGATTTAAGCATTGAAGTTCTATGCCTAGAACTCTGACTCTGTGCAGCTTCTTAACTTCATAAAATGCTGAATACGGTCAGCATTATGTTTGACATGTTGTAAAAATAGTTTTAAATGAAAGAACTTACCTGGGTGAGGACTCCCTCAGCCAGAGCTTCAGCTGGGCTGGTTGGAGTAATTGGGGGCAGAGCCCCAACAGGGCCCACACTGAGCTCCAGCTTGTCCATTTTTGCGCTTCCCTTGGAGGAAGCCATGCTTTCTTGTTTAGCTTTTCCAGAGCTAGGGCCCGGACTGGCCTTTTCCCATCCAGGAGATTGTTCCTCTGGCTGGAGCACCTCCAGCTCCTCGTCCTCCTCTGAGCGGTTGGGTGTAGCCTTGGCTCCTGGGGAGCCACAAGGCCGCTCCACTATTACCCACTCCCTTGAGTCAACATCTTGCCTCCCAGAGCTCAAATTAAGGGCCACAAAGCCGCCACTACTGACAGCCCCCTCTCCCTGCTCCAAAGATCCCGGTGAAGCTGGCTTAGGCGAACCACCTCGGGATCCAGACAGGTACTCCTCATTGTAGTGCCAGATCCTCTCAGGGCGCTCCCCCGCAGCTACAGCCTGACCCTGAGTTACTGGGGTAACAGCAGCGTCCTCCTCCTGGTTCTGGGTGCCAAGCAGCTGCTTAGCGGAGCTGCTAAAGACACATGTAAACAATCAATTCTGCCAGGAGCCCACAGATTGATTTGTCGGACGGTTTTGTTAACATGCTTAGATTTATGAGGAGACTTACCATGCATCCAGAAAACGTTCTGGACCGGGCTTGGAGTCCAGTCCGAGCCTCCTCTCCAGCTCAAAGCTGTGGATATTGCGCAGCTTTCTCAGCAGGGGGCCATCACGATCTGAAGCGACCACCTCAGAGTGTAGTTTGACAGGTGAGCCCAGGCTTGGACCTGCGTAGGGGCTCTGGTGTCCTGGGTTGCCCTGGTTGTTGATGTGTTCCTCCTCTGTTGCTGTCTGTTAAAGCAAAGATATATATATATTTTTAATTGTAACTTCTATACTAAACTAAAGCAGATTTCCACTCAGGTGCTGAATCTTTCTAGAGCACTTGAGATGTTGAAATTCTTGTGCAAAGGCAACCAGTTGATCTACCTTCCAGGCGGCCGTCTTGATGCGGTTCCGGTTTCGATCCAGCTCCTCCCAGACGTCAGCCTCCTGAAGTCGATGTGGATGGAGGGGAGAGCCCAGCATGCGGTCAGGAGCAGGATTGTTCTCCACGTCGCTGAGCTGCTCGTCCTGCAGAACCTCATCCGTGTTCTCTCGCATCAGGTCGCCGGGAATCAGGGAGGCATTCGCCATACTGCGTCAACAAAAGGGCGCACGCAGTGTGTCACATGTGAGTGTGCAGAAACTTTTTTTCTCATTAAAAAAACTAATTCCACACTAAGTAAATCCTCTCAGTGTGTCGTCATACCCCATGTGTGCAGGTGTGAGGCGGGTGTGATGCTGCGGTGTTGTGGCGCTAGCACTGATGGTTAGAGTGCCATCTGTGCTGGTCCGTTCCCAGTCGTAAGGGTCATTTTCCACAACGTTGTATGTTTTCATGCTGTTGTCAAACACCGACATCAGCAGCTGTAACAAGAGTTTTTCATTCAGACAGACTCCAAAGAGAAAACTGGCAACTGAAATACTTCCAGTGCCTCAGGATGCATTAAGATAGCTGCACATTTGCCTTGATTTTTAGGCAACCAGAACTATCACACAGCAGCTAATTATAAAACCCGGCCTTTGTTTAACCCATTTTAGACCCTGTTCTCACCTGGTAGTCTGGCTTGGTGAAGTAGTCGAGGTTGGAAATGTGTTCCAAGAACACACCAAATTCAGCCGGGAGATGTTTGAGCATCAAACGATGGTCATAAGACTCCTTGAGTTTCCCAACATGTTCCTGAGATGAAACAAATACAAATGATGTCCCATCCTGTAACGTGTAACTCTTTAAAAAGGGCTGTTCCGTTTTTTAGGGATCTTACTTTGTCTTTGATCTTCCTCCACGGCAACTGACCAACCAGAAACTCCACCAGCATATAGAAGAGAGACCACAGGTCATCGTGACGACCCATCTCCTGCAGAATTACATAAACTATAGGTGTTGACAATGTTTTCACGTTACAGAAACGTGTATAAGACATCAGTGTAGGACAGCACTGCAGAAGCTGGACAGATGCTGACCTTATTCTTGTGAGCATTGACAGACGCATAGCGGACTGTTCCCCGGAATCCTGCCACAGGACGGGGCTGGCAGACAACAGAAACAGGTAATTAATGCAAAGAAAGATGAAACATCATCTGCACATGCAACCCTGATATAGAGAAATGTTGGAAAACTCGCTTTATCAAAGAACTTGAAATAAATATATGTCTAACCCTTAGCATTTTTTTAATGAATTGGTAACATAAAACATCCTTTGAATATTCTTTTAATGATCATCTTGGTCACTTGGGGGCAGTGTGACAAAGTTGTTGGATCAAACCTGTGAGGACCTCCTCGTTCCATATGTAGAATATAGAGAGAAACGTGAGCAATCCTTTAGCATTAGATAGCCAGATAAATTAAATTTAAAATTAGATTTACTGCAAAAAGTATAAAGTTTCAGCAACAAATGAGATTACAGAATCAAAACCGTGAGGGCAAAAGTCATCGTACCTGTGTGGTTGTAAAGGCCCCTAAATCTGTCAGTTTTGTAGAAATAAAGTACTCAAGAAAAGTCACTTACTGGTCGGACTTCCTGACAAGAGTTGGTAAACTGGCGAGCTAAACCAAAGTCCAGCATGTAGCAGGTCCGACAGGTACTGGGGAAACGGCCCATGGCGAAATTGGACTAAAGCAGAAACAGGAGGGTGGCAAAAAAATTTAGAGTAGAAATAAGAAATTAACTAAGAGAAAAAAATGACAATTAAATTAAATGCAATGTATTTAATTCAGTGATTAATGTGTTTTGATTGTGAAATAAGACTGAATACGGCAGCTAAGCAGGCAAACATTATCTACAGTCTGTTAATTTTGGCATTTGGCCGCCTGGGCAAACTTACTGTAAGTCAGCAGTCATAAAAGCAAGATACCGACTCAGCAACAAAACGAGCAGCCATTAGAAGAGAACATTCTGATCATACAGCATCCCACAGACAAACCCACACTGATGAGACATCAAGTTTCCATGTGACGCACCGGTTTGATGTCACGATGCAGAAAGCCTACAGAGTGGATGCTCTCTATGGCCTCCAGGATCTGGCGCCCCAGACGCAGAGTGGTGCTGATGCTGAACGTTCCTCGTGTCATACTTCTCCGCAGATCCGCTAGGTTTCGTCCCTGAAAGACCAAATGTTTGTAAGTCCACGGCTGCAGCCGTTTGAAAAATACTCTAACAAGCTCAGACTCAGTCAGTTTCCCTGGTTGGACCGTCTCCTAATTAGCCAACATGATTGATAGTTTGGCTGCTAAAAATCAAGCCACATAGCTGCTATATTTTGAAAAGCTGAGACTACTTCATGGAAGACTGGGTGCAGTGTAAGGCAATCTCCCTTTGGGCCTACCTGAAGCTCCATCACCACATAGTTAAAGCGGTCGTTGCGGCCACATCCCACAAAGCGGCACACGTGATCTTTACCTGAGAGAAGAAGGACGGCACAGGTTCAGAATACTTCACAGGAGGAGATGTCTCCTAACATGCGCATCACCTGAGTCATTAAATCTCCCAGGCAGGGTATGAGTCACCACGTTATGTTTGTTTTTATGTTCACTTTTCCCTCCACTGCTATCACAGGGCTGCCTGATTTATAGGATATAACACACAACAACAGGTCAACACATCCATTAATATCTGCGTGTTTGTGCATGTGAGCGTGCGATAGCTCCCATCTGGGAGGACATTGCTGCGTCGGCAGCCCGGTGCAGCCACGCCCTGAAGACCTCCAGCACAAACAGCAGCAAAGCCTCTGCGTAAAAAGCTGCACGTCTTTGCGTACCCTGCTGTCGCCGCTTTCTTATTTAAGGCAACTGTAAATCTGAGTGAGACAGCCCTGGAACCTAAGAGAAGACCAAAATGAGCCATTAGTCTGCCCGTGAGGCTGAGGGGTCAATGTTTTTTCTTTAAAGCCACGTGGGTCAGCTGGACCTGGGCTTGTCTCAAGTTACACGCTGGCTCCTTCAGGAAGCAACAGAATCACGATGCTTCAGGCCAAAGCCATTTGAAAGCAAACATGATCCCAGAATATTGATTTTTTTTCTCACAGAGGGCTAAAAGTAACACAGCATGGTGGGAAGGACAGAGGGAAGGGAAAGATGTGGGTAAAAAAAAGACAGAAGTAAAACTATACTACCCCCTTTGCTGGCTTTTCTCTACAGAGTGTCCAAGTGCACATTTTCTCCTGTTGGAGTGCCTCAGATGAAGCTGTGTGAAACTTGACTTTAAAGCCATAAATGCGTAAATTATGCGAAGCAATTCCTTTGCTGTAGATGTAGATTAGCAGGATCAGCAGCGCGTTTTACACGTGCTGAGATTGAAGCAAAAGTGCTGAACGGCCAGCCAAACAGTTTTCAGATGAGTCAGACGATCTGTATCTGATCTTGGAGGGGATCGTTCTGCTCCTGCTACTGTGGCACACAGGCTGTTCCTCTCATTCCTGCGAGCACGACATTTCCTGTACTGCCTGGGAAACACAAATGTTTTTCCTCTCTTCAGCATTTGTGTGGATGACAGTGATAAACAAGCCAGGAGAAATTCTATAGGTTACTATGTCAGAGGGGGTCGATGAGTGCCGGTAACTCAATCCACTGAATCCATTTCCACTCACCCTGCAGCTTCTTCAGGACAGCGACCTCCATCTTCAGCACCTGTTTGGGTTGCTGCGCCGACTCCACCTTCAGCGCCACATTGATCCGAGTCAGTAGGTCCACCGCTTCGTAGATCTCCCCAAAGCCACCACCCCCTATCTTCTTCGCCTGGGAGCAGGGCCATAAGAGACTGTGTCAGAACTTGAGATAAGTCAAGCAAATGCTACTACAGCTGAGTAAGCAATGCCAATAAAAATTACTGTTATTCGATATTTTATTTGTAAACTAATCTTCCAGTGATGCATAAACGCTGTTGGAAATGGCAAAGGAACTACTGAACTACTGTTCCAGAAAATGAGCCAAAGTGGCAGTAGTTGTGAGGGGTTGTAGAATAGCAATGAATCAAAAAGGAGGTCACAGAAATTGTTATGCAGTTCTGATGGTGTAAACATTGCCTCTAACAGTCCAATAGGTTTTACGCTGTCCTGATTCATTCTTGGTTACTATGGTTTCAGACATAGAGCGGTAGAGCAGCAGGCTAAAAATGCTTTTTCACTTTGTTAAAAATCTAGCTTTCAAGGCTTATTGTCATTATTATTATTTGAAAGATCAGTCGTTAGCAGCTGACTATTTATGTTTTTCTCCATCTGCAAAGAGGCGAGGTCAAATATAGACCATTTGGAGGAGCCAGCACCAACCAAGCCTGACCACTTGTTGGGTGAGGTTGAACAGTTCATTTACATTTGGTGTGAAGAACAGAAGAAAAGACAAGCAAGCAAGCAGAGGAGTGGTTGATACGGGCTAGCAAGCATGACAGAAAGTGTTAAAGCTAGTGTTTGGCCGCTGTCCCTCTGAATGTCAGCTACCAACCAATGGAGATGTGGGGGGGACCAGATCGTGTATTCATTCCCCCCCATTTTTTTACACTTGTCAGTCAGTATTTCAAGCTCATTCTGCCATCCAAAGCAGAGATGAAATTATGTGAGTGAGATCAGCTAAACTGGGAATTTTGTTCTATAAATAATACAATATATATGAGCACAGGGACGAGGAGACAGGGAAATCGATGTAAACGGTGGGTACAACAAAGCAAAACTACAGAGGAAACACGGTGACAACACACCCATCCCCCGCAATGTGCAAATAATTTATCACCAATCCACATCCAGACCTTGGCACTCAAACCAAGCAATAAATCCTGGAAAACATCTATATGAAGCCCTCCTACGTGTCCATTTCTTTTCACTTAAGCAGACGAGAGTGGACTTTATTTCCGGCTGAGTATAATGTTTTTGTGATGTCATGGTAGGAAACGTGTTTCCGGCCACCTGCTGTCTGTGCTAAGAATCTTTGCATACTCATCTAATTTGAAGTGATTTATCTCTTAAACTCCATTCTATGTTTCAGTCCCCGACTATTCAACCTTTCCCCCCCTTTCACGTCTCAGAGCTATTAGAGCTTTAATGTCGCCTAAGCTCCCCGGTGTCCTTCACCGTCCTCCATGGTCGCCGGCAGAGTTTTGTGTCGCACTAGAAGCTAAAGTCGTGGGATTAACTGCAGCATTCTTATGTAACTCAGTTCCTCAGCAGACAGGAAGTGGTGCCAGGCAGCCAGTTAGGAATAACAAGAACATGGCACCCAGGCAGGGAGCAGCGAGAGAGGAGTGAGCACGGGGAATACTGCTGCTGCTGCATATAGAACACCGCACTGCCACAAATAGTCATAAAAGCTATTTTTGGATTTCCCACAACGCAGCGGCAGAACCTGGACAGAGAGACACGACCCCAAACCGTCAAAACCACCGGTGGAAATAAGGCAGGCCGTCTCTCAGGAGGCTGCAAAGCGCTGTTTGATGAACAAAGAGTGGCTGTTAGTGGAACAGAGGGTGAGCTTGGGACAGGCGGTGACGGGGCTGGACAAACACGCTGACCATTGTAGCTGGAAAACACGCCACTTACCACTTTCCATCGTTCCTTGACAAGGGAGAGCACGGTCAGGATGTCAGCTTGCTCTGCTCCCCCGCTCATCCCGTCTGCGGAACAGGGACTCTGTCCTCACTGCTTCCCCTCAACTGGCAGCCTCACACCGTGTGGGACATCAGGAAACCGGTGGAGAAGCCTACAGGAGTCCAAAGGAGACACAAAACTCTTAGAGGCAAATCAGTAAAGATCGAAGAGGAGACAAAGGCAGTGGGCCTTCTTAGCTGGAGATGCGTGACAGTTCACCAGCACAGCAGCTGCCACACCTGCTGCCAGCAGCTGTCCTTCTGGACAAACTCACCAGCCTTCAGTCTTCAGTCTTAAATTACTAAACATATCATCTTAGTATTGATTTTCACTGGCTATTTGTCTTGCTATGAAAGAGAAGCCAAGAACTTAAGTATATGTGACGCAATGGGACTGTTTAATCAACTTCATTTCTCATCAAGATGACTCAGGGCTTACCATAAGTTTGGTCATACATAGGAAAAAATATATATACACCATAATCATAAAGCGTAATTTGGAAACAGAAAACAGACAAAAACATGTGTTGATATTATAAATATGCCATACATAACTTAAACTTTTTGTCAGTGTTCAGATACATTGTGTATGGTCTTCCATCCTCCATAAATGGCTAGACGCTCACATGACTAGAATTTAAACCATTTTATTAACCTCACAACTAAATATTGAAATAGAAATAAAATCATCAATATCTTGCTATTAATGTAATTTGTGGATAAAGGCATTCAAGGGTTTTCTAGAATGTGGATGACCTCAAGAGCCACAAAACAGTCTAAAAATGGATGAGAAATACAATAGAGAAGCCCATAAAAGGCAGAGATTGATGGCTTAGAGTATAGTACTATAACATTTGAATGAAGCCAGCAACAACAAAATCAAACGTAAAAAATGAAAGAAAAGAGTTCATTTAGATCTGCGTTAGCGCGATCCCCTCTCAGCATCAGAGATGAGCATTCCTCTGAAGAGCACTCCCCTGGTGGCTTCCTTTCGTCTGACTTCAAACTGACTTCTCTTCGCTCCTCTGAACGGAGCGCAGGCAACTACAGTTATTCAACAAGCTTTCCAAAGAGTATTTGGGAACTGGGTAAGCACCCTATGAGAAGGAAGCACTGAATCCCAAGGTGCACCTGAGCGAGGAGGAGAGATGGAAGCGGGTGAGTTGTGGGTGGAGCGGATAACGGTGATGAGACGGGCATGAAATGTGAGCCCAGCTTTGAGCTCAGCAGTGAGGTGGCCTTTGTTCGTCTGCACTGTGCCAACACAGACTGGACAGGTTGACTTTTGGCTGTGTCCTTTTGGAATGCAGTGAACCCTTTTTTACTTTGGTCTGTCGCGCTGACCGCGAGCACTGGGAAAAAGTCATGTGCACATTCGGACATTCTACACCAACCAATTTGTACTCGCATATTCAAAAGTAAGAAACGTTGTCCTTTTGTGTATGATGAATTACAGTTAGATGCAATTAGACACAAAGATGCTATTAAACACAGAAATCACTGCATAAAAGAATAAAGACAATGTCTTCTTATATGTAAAATAAGGACTTCAAATGTCTTTGTTCTTTATCATTTTTTAGATTCTTTTTAGATGTTTTTTTTTCTATGAAATGAGCAGAAATTGGCTTACATTGAACTCTAAAAAAAACTTAACTCATAAAAATGAACTATTCTAAGAATCCCTTTACTTGATTTATAGTTTAGTCTGACTTTATCCCCTCTTTGTTTTGTAGGGTGGAAATACCAATCATCATAGATGTAACTATTTAAAGATGAATATGAATCATCTCACAGCACTTACTGTTTACTGTTCTACACAGACAGAGGAGCAAGTTGTTCAGACATGACTTGATATGACACACGTACCCTTGAAGTGCTTATTGTTCACTCTTTTACAGGATATCTTATCCTAAAGGAAGATTAGGCCTCGCTGGATAAATTCTGGGGCGAATAACTAGTAGTGCAAAAGACTGTACATCAGAGCGTTTTGGTACGCCGTACTGGTCACTCCAGCGGCCGTGCTGGGTCGCTCTCACTTCATGAAGTTTGATCTCTCCTAATGAATTTCTATTGCTTACTTCCTCAGACAGACTAGGACCCTTAACTAAAAATTTCCACAACAGTTTTTAAAGTTCCATACAAGTCGCCAAAAACCGACTGAAGATACCATCCTGGATTATTGTGGGTTTTCAGCCCACAAGAAGGAGAAACGAGGCACGAAAGCTATAGGCTTTGGAAAAAAAAAAATTTCTGAGGCTACATTTTCACATGATAAGTAGTTGTGTTTTAGCACAGTCGTATTAGGGTTTAAACAATTCTAGTGGACCTTAAGATATAAGACAAACAAAAAAAATGAATAGCTGCATCTATATATCTCAAAGGTTAGTACTTTTGACTAGAAATAACATCCTTCGATCGCTGACTGAATCGGGCAAGTAAAAACACTTGAGGAGCAAACTACAAGTGTGTGAAACAGCACACTTTTCTGACCAACGCATTTCTTTGGTGCAGTGCCATTTTCATTTGCTGACTGCAGCTTGTCATCACCTCTGGCCTTTGGCTCCTCTGGAAGCTGCCAGTTTAAAGCCCTAAGCGTCATGAAAAGCTGTCCTGCTTTCATGTGGTGGACACCAGGCCACAAAGATAACTGGGGGGAAAAAAAAACTTTAAATGTTTGCTTTATCATCTGTCTAATCCAAGAGTGGCCTAGTTCAGTAGCTTGGACACTGGGAAGTGTCTGGAATGAAACTGGAGAGGGGCCAGCATTGGCAGGGCCTCCACTCTATGATTGCAGTCAACAACACACATCATAGATGGAAGAAGGGCGATGCATCTGTGAGGGCTTTGGCCCGGAGGTGTGCGGTTTATTCCACCCCCCGAGGAAACGTTGCCTAAAGAGACATTGGTTCGTTAACCGCTTCATTTTTGGGAGTCATATGCGTAAAAATGGAGGAGAAGACGTGGGGGATTGCCACGGATACCTCTGCCGATGTGTTTTGGCTGGCTTGTTAACAGAGGACCGGCTGCAGCCATGCCCCAATGCATCTCACAGGAATGCTGCGCAGCGAAAAGAAACCCCCGACCCTTCCTGCACCGGGCTGACCGGCTTCGCCGTGGAGAGAGCTGTTGCATGGCGAGTTGGTTGCCACAGCAGATTTACTCAGGCGCGTCCACGCACACATTAGCCGTCCAGAGGCCACGCACTCCCGTCCAGCCCGGCGCTGATGGGGTTACGGCGGAAGCTCTGACAACATGCGGGAGCACGAGCCCGGTGCGTGCGGCTCCGGACCACAGAGGGGTGTCCACGGTGCGGCCAAATGTGGAAAAAAAAAAAACCGATGGGCGCGGGGGGGAAGGGGGGGGGTGGTGAGCATGCCACGGCCCCTGAATTCTGAAACCTTACCTCGGGTGATCGTTGGCAATCCCTGATCCAAAGAAGAGCCGGGTGTGGTTACAAAATATCCAGCAGATTTTGAGGCGGTGGGGATGACGTCGAGAAGAATGCCATAGCGAGCGGTCCGTCCTTAGGAAAGGGGCCGTGCGGCTGCTCACGGATAAAGAGCGCGGGGGGAATACGACGGAGATCTCGTCCCTTCTCTCCTTCTGCCTGTCACCTCAGCATCTCTGTCGCTCGCTGCGGATCCGTGACGTGACGATTCTGTGGCGATCGTCAGCCTTCCTGCGCGCGCGGCCCCGACACGATCGCCCCTCGCAACAGCTCGGCCGCGCGCGCTGGGGCAGCTCTTTAACGCGCGCCGGTGGGGGTTTGTCGTTCCGCGCACGCGCGTTGCACACGATCAAAAAAGCCAGAGTGCCTTTACAGATGTGGCGTTATAGGATGAACGTCTGAACAGGCAAAGAAAACAGAAATCAGAATGGATAAACCGGTAGATAAATAGAGCCTCTCATTTGAGGATGTGGGGTTTGGAACGCGGCCATGAATGCAGTTGTCTTAACAGCCACCAGAGGCCGCCATTGAGTCAAATATCGCCACAGTCGATAAACCAAAGATATTGCTGTCATAAGAGAAAACGTAAATACACACGTTAATGTGATATCATACTCAGGTATAGCAAGGATGAGTCGTAGCATTACAGGTGAATGTGTTCTATTACAGGCTACAGTTACGATGGCTTACTACTCTGTATAGAATTTGGTTATTTTAAGTGTTGCATTCCAGTCACAGATTTAAAAAAAAAAAGAAGTGTGTGACATTGTGAGCTATACAAAATATATTCCAAATATTTTTGAGTAAAAAGGACCGGGAACAGGAGTAAATAGAAGAATATTTAATGACTGGAGATAATGTTAACCAGCAACCTGAAGTCCACATATAAAGTTTAAGGGGTCTTTTCTACTGTAACGTTTCCTGTTAAGCCGTTAGTGGGGTTCGCCGTTAATGTGCTGATTTGGAAGCTTCGGGCTTAAAAAAAAAAATTTGAGTATTATTTCACGGTAAAAGAAAAAAAAGGCGTGCTCTCCTTTTAATTCCATTAAGACATATCTGTTGTCATTTTTTCTTTTCTTCTTTCCTCTGAGCCTCCTTGGCGTAACAGGTACAGTATCCAAATAAGCTAGCGATACGCGGAAAACGACGTGAGAGTGGGAGCTCTCTCGGCGACTTACTGTCTTTTCGTGTGTCAGTGACGTTCCTCCCCCGACCGGTCAGTCCTCTGTCGGAGGCTGGTGGGGAGCTAGCAGCTGGCTAACCTGCATAGCTACCTCCTCCGCCTCTGAAGACGGCTGCCTGGCGCCGCCAATGAACCGCGCACCTCCATGCATCTCCCGTGGCCGCGATGGCAGCGACACAAACGGTCTGAGCCTTAGCTGCTAGCCATGTAGCTTTAGCGGTGCATCACACATTTGGTCCATGGTAGTGCGGTTCGTGTCCTCGGCTGTTTCTACCGGTAGCTAGCTTTTTTTTTCCTGTCCGGGACAGACGGCGGCAGCTTGCCCACTTTGTCGCCACTACAGGAGGATGCTGAAGCTGTTCGGCGTGCTGGTTGTCCTGGGACTGGCCCTGGCGTACATCACCTCCTGGGTGCTGGATAGCTATGACACGGCTTGGCACCCGAAGCGAAGCGTACGGGAGCCGGCTGCCGTCGGGGACGGACATGGGTCCAGGGGAAGTTCCCCACCGTTTCCCGGCGACAAGCTGGACAACGTATTCTGGTTTATACAGGTGAATTGCTCTTCGTTTCTTGCTGGCTAGCTCCGGTGGGTTTAGCGAGAAGACTCGGGGCAGCCGGCGGGATGCTGTGTGACAGCCAGACAACCATCGGGCTGTGAACGTGAACGCGGCACGAGCCGCCGGGGCTGAGCTGTCACAGGAAACTTGAGATCTGTGTGAATGATTGGCAGAAATAGGTCACTGGCCGCAGAAGGGGTCAGACGAAAAGGGGCTACACCAACAGAGCAAGTTTTAGACAAGACTTTGCCCCTTTCTGTATATTTCATCTGTAACACTGCTGTTATTTACACTTGAATAGAGTCAGTGGTGACTTAACCATGGTTGTTCTCGCCCTATTCTGTGTGTGATTCTAGGTGTCTGACATTCACATAAGTCGATTTCGTGACCCGAAGCGGATTCCAGATTTCGAAAGGTTCTGCACCGACACCGTTGAAGTGATCAAACCAGCTCTTGTGCTTGCAACAGGTAGAGTCCAACTTACAGGGAAAGTGTTTGTTTTGTTTGGAGTCAGACTCACTGGGTGTGGCTGGTGGGACGAAAAGATAACTTTTAAATGCTTCCTTTGCTCCTTCCCACCTGGGCTCCTGTGTTGTCATTAACCACAGGTGATCTGACCGATGCCAAAACAGAGAGCAAGGTGGGTTCTCTCCAGCACGAGGTGGAGTGGCAAGCCTACCACAACATCCTGAAGAGGTCGCGTGTGATGGAGCGCACCAGGTGGATTGACATCCGTGGAAATCATGGTAATTAACATCATCGGGTGGTAACGGCCGACAAGATTTTGTTCGGAAGCCATGATGAAGCTTCGCATCGTACAGGAAGTCATCCTAACCATCCTCTTCACCGAGTTCTCCTGTTATTAGATCACAGGGCTAATGTGAAACATGATATCTTTGTGAGAAAAAAACAGAAAGACAGAAACGCACTGCGTTTCCAGTTAACCGCCCACCGCCCGCAGACTGGACTCCCCCTAAGTTTCAGGAATTAGTCTTCAATTTGCAGATGGTTTGCCCCTGACTTTGTTGCTCAGTCTCACTCTGATTTTATTTTCTGACAGATGCTTTCAACATTATTTCATTGGACAGTATCAACAATTATTACAGGTCAGTATAAGATTGTTAAATTGCTGATTTACCTCCAGCCTGAGCCTCATTTTGCATGGCTTAGGGCGGCATACAGCGCATGACTGTGATCAAAGGATGACGTGTCTCCAACGCTTCTGAAACATGAGTTGTACAGACTGATTTGTTGATAAAGGTCCAGGCTGCCTGAGCTTCTTGAGGACCAAAATAGAAGCAGGATCTACATGAAGAGACATACTTTTGTTTAAAGCGATGCTGCTGTTCCTGTCGATCATGACTAATCCTCTACCTTCTTAATTTTGGAAATGTTGTGTCTCTAAACCAGATTAGAGCGCAGCATCTTATTGCTCCTAATGATCCTTTGTCTTTGTTCTTTTTCTCAAGTAAATACTCAGCCAATCAGAAAGTGGGGTCCTTCCACTATGTACACAAAACTCCCTTTGGCAACTACTCCTTTGTCTGCGTGGATGCCACTTTGACCCCGGGACCCAAAAGACCTTACAATTTCTTTGGTATCCTCAACCAGGTGGGTGTGTACCACACCTTTTCATAAACATTTGCTTGTGTCTTCTCTATGCGAGATTGGAATCTTTTATAAATGACTTTGCAAAATGTTTGAATATCTGATAACATTCAAAGTCAATCTCTTTGGAGAATAAAGATGATGATGATGGTAGTAGAGTACACTATGTGGCTCATTAGGCTGACTAACCCTGAAGCGGTGATCATTGTCAAATGAATTCTGTTTTACGTGGGCTTAGTTTTTGTCAGACTCAGCTACGTGACTCGAACTAAAAAAATCATTTTTTTTAAGTCCTTGAAACTCCACTGTACTGTACTCAAGTGTTATTTGCAGTGACTGAAGGTGTTCCACTGGAATCTATTTTCTTTATTTGTAAGACACAAGATGCATTTTGTGTTCTGATCACACAATCATCTCTATGATTCACTGAGCATTTAAAAATACTTCTATGTAAAGCCGCACCTATGAGACTTAAACTTTTTACCCTTTTTTTAATGTGTCTTTTCTTCTTTTAAAATGTGACAGACTCAGATGGACCTGCTGGACACGTTCAGATCTGAGAGTCTGAAGAGCAACCAGTCCCTCTGGTTTGGCCACTACACCACCTCCACCATCGTGTCCCCTTTTCCAGGAGTAAGGTCCATGATGAGGTATGGAGATGCTGGAGGTTTTCACAGTTCTTTCAGCCAGTCTGAGCATAAACCCTGAGGAGCAGTCTTAGTGATTACGCCAAAGGTTCACTTTCCCTGCATGTGGGCTTGTTGTGTTAAGATCCGCGGTTGCGTATCTGTGTGGCCACCTTCACACCCTGGGGGGCCTGATGCCTGTCCTCCATAGCCGACACCCCCAAGGCACCCTCGAGCTGGAGCTGGGCGACTGGATGGACAACCGCAGGTGCGCAAGATCTGAAATGAAAAATTAAATGTCTCACCTCATTTCTCTTGTTTTCCATTTTTTTCTCTCACTTTTTGGATTCCTCCATCACCTGTCTGCAGGTACAGGGTCCTGGCCTTTGACCACGACCTGCTGAGTTTCTCGGACCTCCGGTTCGAGCAGTGGCCTGCAGTGCTCATCACAAACCCTAAAGACGCGCAGTACCTGCACCCGGGGGTGGAGCCACTGGGCCGAATGCGGAGATCAACACACATCAGGTGTCCGCTCTGCTTGTGCTTTTAGAGCTGGCTGAACTACAAACCTGCTCTCTAGTTTCTGCTGCACGTTCACCTCCACCATCTGGTGTGCACACTTTTACGGAGCACATACCTCTGACAGTACAGCCTTCCAGATCTGGAACTGAATTAGTTATGTATAGAATTTAAAGGACTATTAGTGGATAAGGCTTCTTACAAATGATAATCTCCATATGTTATGATATTGAATTAAAATAGATGTATTTAAAATGCATATTTTTTATGGCATTTCCATTTATTTTTATGTCTAAAGGATCCTGGCTTTCTCAGAGGCACCTATCACTGCAGTGCATGTTAGCATAGACGGGGAGCCTCTAGGTAGAGGTCACTCTGCCGGGGGCCCACTCTATGTTCTGCTCTGGGATCCATCTGTTTACCTTACGGGACTGCACACGATCAGAGTGAAAGTGGAGGTTGGTGCTGCATTCATGTTTCACATGAAAATCAAAAGTGTGCTGAGGTTTTTATTATTTTTTTGCATTTCGTGGCATTGGTTTGCCGGAATGCATCCATTTCAGCCATGTTAGCTTGGAATTGATATCCTACGGCGGTTTGGGTCTTTTATCCTGTTGCACGTGCATTATGTGCTATTACTTATTTCCACGAGGTAAACCCTCTTCATCCATCTTGTCCCTTTGCATTGGTGTGGCTCAGGACCTGGCGGGGCGGTCGTCGGTCCAGGAGCAGCACTTCACTCTGGAGGGCGGCGTGACTCCCAGCTTCAGTTTCTCCCAGTCCTTCATCCTCCTCACGGACCACTACGTCCTGGGTCGAGTCGCCTTCATATTTACCATGTTGCTAAATCTGAGTGTGCTCCTAGCCTTCAGGTACCTCAGTGTTCCTGCTGGCAGAGGTGAGCTAGCACTCTGACGGCCCCAGGTTTCTTACACACAAAGAAACCTGGGGATATCACGTTGTTATTACAAGCAATGACCTGCGGTTATGTATTTAATGCACCGTCTATTCTTGACAGGACTGTCCTCCCAAGTGTTACTGTCCCTCCATCTGGTCAGTAAAATAGACACCTTCTACTACTCCCTGCTGCTGTTCAACATGTGTACAGCCTTAGGTGGGTGAACTCTTGTAATCAGTCTACAAATCAGTGTAGAAACAGGGATTAAGGAAGGTGTACATTAAATAAGATATTTGAGCTCTAAAGCTTTAAAGGATTTGCTGATGTGTCCTCCATCAGGTCCATGGTTTGTAGGAGAGCTGATCGACGGCCACAGTGGTGCCTGCTTCGCCTTTGGAGTGTTCATCGACGGACACTTCCTGGAGGGCAGTCTCACTTATGTTATAGGAGTCATTCAAGTAAGAGGGTTGATTTTGTGTGTGCGTGATATAAGAACTTATCGGCAACATTTCACTCTTAGCTTGGCATTTTTTTGTTTGCTCTTTTCTTTTTATTCAAACTTCCTGTAAGATTCAGCTTCCAGTTAATTTTTCCTGTCCCAAACTCATCTTTGACAAAGACCAAGCTCATTTAGAGATTTAAAATAAAAATAATTTTCACTTAGGAGTTAAGACAGCCATGGGAATGCAACTCTAAATGATTACTAATATTGTTTGCCACCCAGTCAGTTAATTGTCCAAACAAATTTTTCACAAAAAATCTCAAAAACAGCTTATTTATTATGTATATTCATAGAATAACGTGTTGAGTTATATTTTCAGTCAGGCATTTTTCTTAGAACTAAACACATTACCTGTACTTATCTCCCCCCTCTGCCAGCTGCTTTTCTTCAACATGCCCCTCACCTCATACCTCTGTTGGAGCCTCCACCATCGTTGCCATGGCAGCACCTTCCGATCTCACTTCCTGCGGCCGGGCCGGCGCTGGCGGACTCTGGCGGTTCACCTCTTCATGCTGCTGCTGCTCACCTGGCAGGTCCACTCCTGCTACTTCCTTCTGGAGACCTACGGCCCCACGGCCTTTTTCCTGTCTCCAGTCCGCACGTGGGCACTAGGGCTCGGCCTGCTACTGGTCTACCGGGCCTGGACAGGCCCCGCCCCTTTGGTTCGTGACAGCAGCAAGGGCGCTTCTTCCTCTTGACAGTAATTGCACTGCACCACCACGATTTCCCTGGAGCCTGACTCACAGATATATTTTGCTGTATCTCTCCATCCATAATGCCTGAATTTATCCCCTAAACAAGCGGCAGTCCTTTTTCTTTCCCCGCTCACAGTGCACCACTCACTATAGCGTTTTCTAGTTCGTATTGTTTACTTATTATGCATGTTATTGTAAAATACCAACAAGCACATTTCTGCCCACACTCATGGCAATGTGTACAGTGTAAAAGGCAAAAATACCGAGGATGTGTAAAGGGTATAAATAACATAATGTTACTATAATATTACATATAATGATACTGAATACACATATGCATATGATGATAATTAATAGCCAATTTGAGCTATATAAGGACAGGGTCCAATGTATGTTGTTGATGGGAGTACTGTATCTGAGCTGTATTCTGCTGTGGTTGAAGACAACTCATTTACTTGAGATTTAGCACTTTTTGGAAGCGTTGCCTTTGCCAAATGCCACTTCACCACTGCCAAAGGATGAATAAGAAAAGATTTGTCTTTTCACTTTTCCCTCTGAAACCGGTTTCCATTCGCTAAGGAAGGCTGGATGTGCCAAAATGATTTTCTTGTTTACCTTCTGACACATTTCATTTGCATCGGGTCCGCCACTTTTTGTAAATTCCACTGCAGGCTTTTTCTATCTTCCCACGGCTCACAGAGTACGAGAGTCACAGTGCTTTTGGTGGCGGTTAAGACGGCTCATACATGGCATTCTTGCCTTTATTCTACATGTAATTCCAGAAATTCCAAGTAACACAATCAAGTTCTATAGCGGATCAAGTAGTTCACGATCGAAATCAAACAACTGCCAACGCAAACAACATGTTCACAAACGAGCGTGCATATTAAAATAAAGGTACTAAAACGCAGGAGCCGGTTTTACTTTTTGTGCTCCTGCACGCGTGACTACAAAAAGCAACTGTTTGTTTCTCAGGAATGTGAGCCCTTGAATAATAGGCTGGTCTCAGTAGTATTTCAGGAAAATGTTTTTATACTCCATAGTCATTCAGCAAACTAAAACCATGTGAAACAGTTGAAATGGGTGATGGCTTATAAAAAATGGGGGAAAAAACATTAAATGAATGTGTTTTAGCTGTGGTGACATGAGATGAACAGTACTATGCTACTTTACTTATTAATCTTGACTGTATTTTGTGAATTTTATTTTTTCCATAATGTCAAAAAAATCTCCTTTGGAAATGTTTTGTTTTTGTTTTTCTTAGCTATATGGCCAGTTTGGTTTGGAAATCAATAGCATTCCCTTTGTTGGGGGTTGATTTGACAGATCTGTGTGTGGAAAAGAAATGTTTTGTCTGTGTTGTTCTTGAAATAATGTTTTTTGTGAAGGCAGTGAAGTTCGTCCGTTCAGCTGTCTTTCAGTCCATTCTAGCAGTCAGAACTGCTTTGATTCCACTAGAACGGATCTAAAACAGCACTTGAATATAGCGGAATATACTGCTGGAGTTCCTTCCTGGGACTTTTCTGAACTATACCCAGCACGACTGCAGAATAATTACTCAGAGCTGTGATAAGACTTGTAATTTAATGTTAGAACAGCTGGTAGACACTGAGGAAATTAAATGATGTGCACCCTTGCTAGTAGAAGTTTAATAACTTTTCCTCCCCACTCCATAACCTAGACATCCTCATTTGACTAGAAGTGCTGTCAAGTGCTTAATTAAAGCGGGGGGGGGAAATACATTTGGAAATGAGAAACTGCACAGTACCTTCATCGGGCTACATAGTCTGTCCACATGGAGGCAGCATTGTCTGGATTTGAATTGGAAAGGAAAAAAGTCTGTTGCACATCACTTCCACCTCCAAATAATGCATGACTTTTTTTTTCCTCTTCCCTTTTACTTAAAAAACAACAACACCCAAACCTTGTCTTGCCTGGACAGGTTTTTGAAGGTTTAGTGGCACCTTACAAGTATGTTTTAACTGGATAGTCTGCACTGTATATGGACTTGACTGTTCACAAAGACAACTGGCACTGATTCTGCCATTAGAGGGGACGGGCTAGAGTTCGTGTGACTTATTCTGCACCCTCCTCCTGTGTTCAAACTCTGAAGCATATGAATGATGGTCGATGGTTTTACACATGCCACCTATTTTTCTTAGAGACAACCACAACTTTATTTTGTTAATGGTTTAAAGTGCTGTGGAATAAATATGTTCATTACAGTAAATCCTGGATTCTCTGCCAGTCTTTCTGTGTTGTTCCTCCATACCTGAAATAGAAGTGGGAGAATGTGGAAGCCAAACAATGGGAGGAAAAAAGGTGTCTGGCAAGCCATTTATGTGATTTTTGTCTAGGTAAAACTTTTTTTTTTAAAGAAACAAAATATATAATATCCACAGGATGAGTAATTGTTTGCTGCCTCTTTGAAAAACAGGTGAGATTAACACTGGTTTTACAGCTGCTAACTCTGGTGAGAGTAGGACTTCCACATCTTGACTCTTAAAATCCCACACTGAAAGAAGGGACACACACTGAGAGAGCATTAGTTCTTTAATCCATCATCATCATTTCATCTCCCTTCTTCAACATTCACTTCAGAGGTGAGGACAAACATCTTTTCCATCACTAAATCCCTCTGTCCTGTTTTGGGGATCCATATACAAAGCCATCCACTCGTGTGTTATTATGATAGAGGGGGCTACAGTCTAGGTTAAAACAACAACACAGAATTCTACATGTATTTATGTGTTAACTGCTGCAAAAACTTCTTTAAATGAATAGTTACTGAGACTCAAACTTCAAATCCCTCCTGATTTTATTGTATTAATCCCACAATTTAAAAGGGTAGCGTGCGACTGCTCATTTATAGTTTATGATTATTAACTGGTGTCAGTTTATTGACTCATGTCATTCACAGGAGTTCATTAAGCATGTGTTAATTTCAGTGGGGGTGGAGGCAACTTGGGGGTTGTCTATTCCCCCCCAACAAGAGCTGTCATCACTCCGATATCTTTACAATTTGCTTGCCGATGTTTCCTCCTTTCATCATGGAGCAGAACGCAACTGCAAAGGAAAAAACGAAGAATGAATCCTGTCACCAAAAGAGATAGGAAGAAAAAATTGCAAAAAAAACACGTACCTCCCATATTCTCTAACCCGCTCACCATAGTTTCCAGCACCTGTGGATAGGAAGCAAAATAACACAGATGGAAGGAGGCAATCGGGGCCGAGGCCTGCATTTTCCAAGCAGGGGCAGGCACCCACACGGTCAATCACCCATCGTCACCATAGGCTTTGTACCTTGATTTGGGCTGATTTGATCCACTGGCTGAGTTCCCAGATGGCAGCTTCTGCTTTGCTCATAAAACTGAGCACCATGAATCGCTCCCGGGTGATGCCCTTACTACGCAGAACTTCTTGCGTCCGCTCACTCAGGGGCGGGGGATACGGCACATCCTTGTTATACTGCGAGATCTGTCCGCAGAGGATCACGTGGCCGCCGTGGTTCATCTGTAAGTGAAGGACTCGGTTCAAGTGGATTCAGCTTGCGGGTTAAACACGAGAAAACAAAGTCCACTTTGAACCTTTTTGGAAAATTGTTCTCCAAGGTGTCACTACACATGCTCTCCAAACCAACCTGCTCTATAACGGCATCGCTGATGGCACCTCCCACGTTGTCGAAGTAAACGTCGACTCCATCGGGGCAGCTCTCCTTGAGCTGGGCCGGGACATCCCCACGGCGGTAGTTGATGGATGCAGAGAAGGCCAGATCTTCCACTAAAGCTTTGCACTTCTCATCCGAGCCACAGATGCCAACAACCCTCTCACAACCATCCAGTCTGCCGATCTGACAGAGAACAGTGGGGTGAGGATCTCTGCTCCTGTAACTGCTCTGAGCTGATCTGGGTCTATGTTAGCGACTGTGGTTAGCGTGTGCGGTCGGGTACACTCCATCTGGTTTTACCTGTCCAGCAAGGGAGCCGCAGGCACCGGCTGCCCCGCTCACCACCATCGTCTGCTTGGCCTCTTTGTTTATGTGACCCTTCTCCCTGACCCCCAGCAGCGCAGTGAGGCCTGTGATGCCCACAGCACCCAGAAAGTAGGACAAGCGTCCATCCACCAACTTTGGGTCAACCTGCCGGAGCCAAACTGAAATTGTTATTTGCGGCGTAGCAGAAGTGGCGCGCGCCGCATGCCAAACAAACGCCATTGGTTTCTCTTATTGTGATGAGAAATCCCGGCACCGAACACAATGCCATACCTTCTGTAAGCCACTTCCTGTCATTACAGCGTGAGTCTGCCATGGCCAGTTGAATGAGGTGACAACATCCCCTACGGAGCAGGTGCTGCAGCGACTGGCTTCCACCACACCGACACCTCCGCCGTCCACACACTCTGACAGCTGCCATGGGGTCAGGTAATCAGTGCCGGTGTCTTCATTCATTCGACATCTCTGGCAGGAGGAGGATCAGAGGAATGGATGGAAGTCAGGAGCTTATCATGTCAGGGGTTCATTGCTAGTACTTTGTTTTTATTTTAAAAAAAAAACATACATGCAAATGTTGAATGGCTTAAGTAGGACCTTGTGTATTGTAGTATTTGAGTTAATCAGACAGAATGCAAGCACTCAGAAAAAAAGTTTACATTTCTTTGTAAATACCATGTAAGGGTCCACCGAGAGGTAAAGGGTTCGAACAAGAACCTCTCCATCTTTCAGGTCAGGTGCCAAGGTTATCTCTTCTAAGCAGAAATTTTCAGGAACTGGCGCCCCATCTCTACCTAGTTGTGCACATTACAATAATAACAATACTAGTTAGTAATAATTAGAGTATGAGGATCCATTCTGCTCTTGGTTCTTGAAAAAGTTACCCACCAGGTCGTGAGTTGAGAACAATTCTCTGCACTTGCATCTTTGTAAGTAAGTGCCTGTTATCGTGACTGTAACCAGACCTGGCAACAAATGTTTGGACCCCTCTGCGCAAAGGTGAGTCCAAAGTGAAAAACGAGGGAAATAGAGGAGAAAGTGTTAAACGAAAGTGCAGGAAAACGTTTTAAACATTCCAAAAAGCCGTATTCTTAAATCGGCGTTTACATTACCGGGTCGGGTTTTGTTCGCAGGCTAGCAGAAAGTCAAGAGCAGGCTGAATATGTGACGTTCAGAGCTGAGCAAGAGGTTTCCTGTCTGTCAACTTCCGTCTTCGCCGGCGTTCTCCCTTCACAAGACTTTAACCGGTCTATTTTCTAGTTCGAGATTTAGAATATTATGAATCCATCACAGAAATATGAGATATTTTTTATGTTAATTTCTAAAATAGGACAAGGTCTAACAAACCATAGTATTTTTTCCGCCTGTGGCCAAAATTTGTTTTGCTGAAAACGAAATGACGGCCCTGTCCGACAGGGAGTCTAGCATCTTGTCATTCAAAGATGGGGGCACCGTTGAGCCGTTGAGGGAACTATGTTACAGTCAGAAACGGAATGCGCCCTCAGCAATCCTCTTTATTACTCGTTTTCATCAATCCTGCATCTACTGAACACTTTCAGCAGTTCAACTGAATCGCATTTGTCACCGCTAGCTGTCCGTTTCGTGTCACGTAGGTTTAGAAGCTTACGAGGCTTCCAAGTGCTAGCTAAAGAGTGTACGGAGTCAAAGTGGTGCTGGGAAGTGACGCCGTGTGGAGGAATCCGAACAAATTAAACAGTTTTCAGTGTTTCAGGCAGCATGTCGTCGCCACCGTTACGCTAGCAAACTGTCAGTTTTAGCTGCATCACGGCGCGGCGGGAGCGGCCAGAGGAAGAGCCGTGTGTCATGGAGGGGCAGATGCACATGTAAGTAGCGTTACTTTAAGGCTTTTTGTGCATGTCAAGTCGTGCTACGGTGTTAAGCTTCTGACGGGGTTTCTGATGGCTAACGGTGGCGCTATCAGCTAAAAAGCCGCTAAACGTTTTCCCGTGTCCCGCCGGACACAATGAGAAAATCTCCGTGCCACTCATGCTGGGTCACTTTCAGCTAAAGGCTGACTGTGTCATCCCTGACCGGGCTCGGTCAGCAGCCGGGAACCAGACTGACCGGAGAATCGGTTTCAATCCAACGTCTGCTGCATACATGTGTCAGCGGCCAGCAACACAAGACCGACAGGTCCTTTAAATAAAAGGAAACCCCCCTCCGTGAGGTTGATTAAGTGTCAGGTCCGCAGCTAGTAATTATGTTCATAGAGATTTAAAGTGCCTGGTCATTTCTTGATTGAGGGCTGGATTCTGAATTGTGCTTTTAAATGTCTTACGTTCAGGTGTTTGGAAAAGGTAGAGTTGCAACAGTCAAGTAGCTCCTACTTCTGCTTGAATGCTGATTCATAATTAGATCAGCGCACTCAATATTTGTGTCATCTGGGAAAAACGTGTGCTTCTTCTGCTCTGTTTGCATCAGCTTTCAAAAATCTCTGATGTGTTTTAACTCTTGACCTTAAGCTACAGGTGAAGCAGAGCTATCAGAGAGAGAGAGAGATAGAGATAGAGAGCCATTTTTGTGCAGATTTCCAGGCTTTTTGCTTCGTTTTAAAGGTCAGCGAGCAGAGACAGACAACAGGCCGGCACAGCTGGGTGATTTCCACTGCTGTGATGTTGCAAACTTTGGAAAAAAGTCCTCCTTTTAAGCACAAAAAATCAAGAGATATCCTTATGTCCGATGGACATGCCTATCACTTAGCCATTTCTATAAGTAAAATGTAGCTTTTTATGTACCGATTTAGACAAGCTGTTGTTTGTTTTTGTGAACCTCAAGGTTGCGTCTTCTCTGGATATGTTCCTGGGATTTGTTCAGTGTTTCTTCAGTGACTGGGTTCCAGGTAGAAACTCTGTTTTCCATTCCTGGTCCAAGTTTGGGAATTTTCTTTTTTTTTTAATAATAATTTTGTTGGGCAGGGGGAGATATTTGAAGGAACACTGGCCTCTAAATCACTCTGTGTGACAGCATTACTAAATCGCATACAGCTCTTTAACTCTGCTTTCAGGCTAATGTCACGTTCTTCTGTTTTTTTCTTTGTTGTAATTCTCGGCCTTCCTTAAAAGAATTACACACCAGAGCAAAATGCACACTGAATCGAGACTGGTCTCATCTATTATTCATGTCTCCTGATGCGCTGTTGTGATCTCACTCGGCCTTGTTAACCTAAATGTTTTTTAACCAGCACAGTGGCTGTGCGTGAATAAGGAAATATCGGGGAACAAAGCTCCCATGTTTCCCAACCCAGCCAGCATCAGTTCAGTCAAACAAGACTGACTGAAGTTGCTCCTGACACTTCATGCCCACCGAGCGCATTGTGTGTGCAGTTTTCATGGTTTTCTGAAGGAGAAGTGGCCCATGCAGACTGTGACCCTGACCTCCTTGGATAAGAGCCCCCCCCCCACAAAGCCCTGTTTAACTGCGTATATATAGCAGCCTCTTTTCAAAACTGTGATTATCTGTTTTTTGTGTGTCAGCGCTGCTCTTCTTTATCAGAAAACAGACAAGCAGCTGCAAGTTGAAGAACTGATTGGCTTGGTACATGCAGATCACATGAGAAAAACAAAACTTATAGATCCATGTTCAGTATATATTTGTTTGTGTTTGTTTCTTTCCTTTTAGATTTAGATTATAAGAAGTTGAAATCAAGTTGGAAACATGAGCAACAACCCTCTAAATGACAAGGATTTCTATTGGCCTCGGGGCTTTCATGCCGCCTCTGTGTGCTCCTGTTTGTTGTGCAATGAGCAAACAGCTCACAGAGCATTTTAAGAACTCATTCAGCAGGAATAAAAAAATAAAAAAAAATCAATAAAAATGTTGTGCATCGAACATGAATCAGAGCTTAGCCGGGTGCGTCCTTTCCCTCAATCTCCGCGGTCCTCCCCTGTGTGTTGGAATTTCCCGCATGGACTGAGAGGGATCTTGCTCCGTAAATTACAGCGCCTTGCGTTTCGGAGGAAAGCCTTATATGGGCATGGAAGTGGGCGTGGCCAGCGAGCTGGTGGCGGTAGAGGAGGGAGGAAGGGAGGGAGGGGGAAGGAGGAGGAGGGTGGGGGTGGTATCACAAGACAGGCAGGGGAACGCAGACTCGGTGTGCAGCGGGAGGCCGCGTTGTCAGCGTGAGTTGTGTTGTTTTGTGCAATCGCGGTGCAATAACGTGCAACCGGCCGCGGCTGCAGTCCGCTCGCGCCCCTGCACGGTTGCGCGCTGATTCCTATCGGGCGAGGACTTTGTTTACGTAGGGGACGTCACTCCCCCACCCCTCCCTCTCTCCCTTCCTCCTCCTTTTTATTTTTTCTTTCCTATTGACTTCACGAGGAGGAGTATGGGGAGGTGGAAGGGGTGGGGGGGGGGGGGGGGTACCAGCGCGTGAGGTCAGCAGCGTAGCGTGAGTCAACCTCGGGGATGTATGCAGTCATCGTCAGGGGCCTGCCGCCTCCGCTGGCCGCGCGTGAGTGCCATCCTGCGGGGCAGAGCTGAGCCGAACCGAACCGAGCCAAACCGAGCCAAACCGAGCCGATCTGGCCACCGGAACGCGGTGAGTGTAGGGGTCTGACGCCACGCGCTGCTGTGGCCGCAGCCTGCAGACAAAGTTTTGTTTACCACGCGCTCCAGCCCCCCCCCCCGGCCGTAGGGTGATATGTTGAATGTGTCAGTCCAAGTGGACCGTGCACAAGGTGTGTGTGTGTGTGGGGGGGGGGGGGGGGGGGGGGCGCAAGCTGTTTTGGGCGGGGGGGGGGGGGGGGGGGGGGGGGGACGTGACATGACGTCTTAGCCGTTCGACAGGTCCGAGCCATCGGCGGAACCCGCTAGCTCGGCACGGCACGGCTCGGCCCAACCAGGCTGCAGCGTCGGTTCCGTGCGCGGATGTGGGACACGGGCTAAGCCGCTGTTCCGTAACAAAGGGGGCTTCTGGTAAATAGCGCTGAGCTGGCTCCAGAAAGTGAGCGTGGAGGGGAGGGGGGTGTCCAGGAAGAGCCGGACCGCGCACGGAAACATGTGCAGGGTCTCGTATGTGTGTTTTTGTCTCAACGTCAGCTCGTGTCGCGCACGGCGCAGGCCGCGCAGCCACACGGGACGACTTAAATGAGGGAAATGGCGATGGATTAGGGCGGCTAATGATGCTTGACTTTTATTTTAAGCCAATTTAACGTGTTATGGCGCTAAAGCCCCGGGGCTTGTGTAAGGTCGCGCTTGCGATGCGTCACGGTGATCCTGGCTGCGTCCTCTCTCCGCACAGAGCTCGCGCAGCGTGGTGCCTCCGCTGTCATCCAGCTTCAAAGCGGGGGTCACTCCGCACGAGAGATACGCATCTCTGTTCACAGTGAGGCTGCCTTTTGGGGTCGGACAACACGTCCGCAGGCGCCGCCGACGCACAGACGCCGTCTGTCGGCGCACAGCGTGCTCATTCAGCGTCCTGTGTGCGCCGTGCCCCCGGGCCAGAGCAGGATCCCAACAGCTGCAGCGCGCTATTTTTAGGGAGCGTGCGCTTTGCCTCTCCACCAGAACGAGGGGTGACAATTATCAGTCACTTCCTAAGTTGTCAGAGTCTTTGCCAAGTCCATGTTGAGTACGTTCTTGTATTCATGTTTATCAGACTGTCCATCAGCAGGGAAGATTCTTTAATAGTCTTTATGCTCTTCTCTTTAGAGTGCTGTGGGCTGCACTGGCAGTCTTCTTTTTTTTTTTTTTTAACATTGCACAGATGGAACAATTAAAATTTGAGCAGTAACAGTCAGGATCTGTTTGCATCTTGAAGGGCTGCCATGCAGCTCGGTGCCAAAATCTGCTCTGAAACCTGGCCATCACACCATAGATGTATTTCTTATCAAAAAATTTGTCGCCACAGCACTTTGCCAGCTCCACTGCGAGCTGCCAAGAGCTTCAGAGACCAGTGTGACTGTTTGTTGTTTTTTTTTCTCTCCCTTTTGCAAAGATTCTTGCACCCTGACTCGTGTGCGCTCACTTTCAGTTGCCCTTCCTCTCTGAGACGGCGGCCACGGTTCAAAGGGCAGGGGTTCCCCTTTTTACCTCTAATGAGTCACACGGTTGTAGAAAACGAGTGGTTTCTACCACCTATCACGTTCAGCCTGCAAACTGTGAGAGTACTTTGGCGGGAAACGAGAGATCCCTCTTTCTGTCGCTCGTCATGTGAGCTCTGAGGGGGCACGATAAGGGGGGGGGGGGGGGGCTGCTGGGGAGCCAGTGATGAGCGCTTTCTCGCTGTCTTTTTTTCTTTTTTTGCCTGAGTGCAGCTCTAACGGCCCGCCGCTGAACACTGTGCGGCTGTAATGACATTTTCCAGTAAATATTGATTAAGCAGTCTCTTATCAGCTGCCTTCCTGTGCTGCCTCCAGTATGAGCGGTGTGGTCATTTACTGTATGTGCAGGCCAGCACACGGGACATAATCCATTTGTCATGTGACTTAAGCGACTAGGCCTGCCCCTCCCCGGCACTATTCTCCCACCCCATACCTTTCATCGGAGGTCTATTGTTGAAAAAGCAAACAGCAGGTTTTTACACGGCCACAGCAGGGATGCTAATGAGACCCCCCCCCCCCTGCAGGGACCTCTTTGGTGTGACTGCTCCGGGCCTGACCTACGTCTCATTTCTCTTTGCAGGCTTTTGCCCATGAATGAGGAAAAACACACTGGCTTCTTCAGATCTGTCCACCCCCAGCGGGAGACCCCCGAGTAGGCCAGGAAGAACTTCAGACAGAATAGGAGATTAGAGCTGCCAGCCAGCTCCCATCCATGCCGCGCAGTTTGACGACTCCTTCCGCGCATAAATCCCGGAGACATCGGTAGGAGTGCTCGCTCTGGTTTCCTGCTCGGGCGTATTCATGCCAGTCATGAGCGTGCCAGCCCAGCAGAAAGCCAGCGCCAAAAGAACGGGCAAGCGGATCACCTTTTTCAGCGATCAAACCGTAGCAATGAAGGAGACCTCTCAGCATCCCGAGGGAGCTTACTACGTCCCCAGCGGCACCGCGTCGGACCCGGGGCAGAGCGAGGCGGCGAGCACCGTCACCTCCAATCCCGAGGGCCCTCACATGTACCTCAGCTCCGTCATCTTCAGCCCGGACAAGGGCGACCAGAGCCGGGGCCACTATCAGCAGACCGTGCCAATGAAGTGGCCCCACCAGGAGCCCAGTCAGCAGCAGCCGTCTCTGTCCCAGCAGCAGAGAGCCGCCACCTGGACCTCCATGCCCAACTGGGGACAGAACTTTACAAATTACATCGGCGGACTGAACGTCACGGACTCCAGGACCCAGAACGCGTTTGCGAAATCCATGCACGAGACCTCCGGCCTACAGCCACATCAGCAAGCCCCGAACAGAGCCGCGGACAAACCCGCCGCGGAGGCGTACAGGGACGCCGCCAAGCCCCGGGGGCTGGAGTGGGAGCAGCCGCAGCCGCAGCAGCAGCAGCAGCACCAGGCCTCCTTTCAGGAGACGCTGAAACCCGGAGCGCTGAACGCCCAGCAGCAGGGCGCCCCCCACCCCGGGGGGAGCTCGGTGCTGCAGCCCTTCCAGCTGGCCTTCGGTCAGCCCAAGCAGCAGCTGCCGGCCTACTACCAGGCCTTCCAGGGGAACAGGACCACGCTGCCCAACCCGCCCAGCTACTCGGCGCCCGGCGCCAAAGGCCCGCACCACTTGCAGCAGCTGCAGAAGCACGAGCAAATCCAGCGCCAGCAGCAGCAACAGCACCACGTCATCCAGCAGCAGATCCAGCACCACCAACAAATGCAACAACAACAGCAGCAACAACAACAAATCATCCAGCATCAACAGCATGTGCAGCAGCAGCTCCAGCAGCAGCAGCAGCAGCAGCAACAATTACAGCATGAGCAGCAGCAACAAAAGATACAGCAACAACAGCGGCAACAGCTCCAGATTCAGCAGCAAATGCAGCATCAGCAGTTGCAACAACAAAACCCCCATGTGCTTGACTATTACTCCGGCGTACAAAGTGCACCCCCCCACGCACAGCCCGTTGTGGTCCACTCCCTGGAGTCCTCTGCCCCGGCGCCCCCGAAGATCCAGGAGCCGCTCATCCAGGACATCACCCCCGAGCCGCGGCAGCCCTCCGACCCGCTGCCGGCCCCCCCGCAGGCCGAGCCGCCGCCGCAGACGCAGCTCCAGTCCCAGACGCAGCTGCGCCGGTCCCGCCGGCTGTCCAAGGAGGGCGGCGCCCCGTCCGACAACCCCTTCCTCCCCGCGTCCGCGGACCAGGTGGTGCCGGGGCCGCCGAGGCCCGAGAACGGGGCGCGGGACGTCCAGGCGGCGCCGACGGGCGTCATCCAGAGCACGCGCAGGAAACGCCGCGTCTCCCAGGAAGTCAACTTGGAGATGCTAGCTCAAGAGGCCTCTGAAAGAAAGTCTCCCACACGTGACAAGGTAAACAAACCGGTTTGAAATCTAGACTTATAGAACCTACAGTGCTCTCCTTTCCCCTACTCTGTGTTTATTCTTTCTTTTCAGTATTTTTTTTTCTTTGTTTTGCTCTCTCTTCCTTTATCTCAGCTGCTACCCGTCAGCTCCCAGAACCTCAGATATAAACATTGATAGAACTGGACTGAATGTTCCGAAGTCCAGTGATCACACTGCAGTGGCCACGGGCTCGAAGCTTTAATTACGAGAATTTTAGCAAGAGCTTGGGGGGGGGGGGGGGAGGAAAAGAAAAAGTGTTCTATTTTTCTCGGTGTGATCCCGGGGTATAATTGCTTTGGGACTTTTAACTCCCTAAACAGGAGTGCAAACTGGAACAAACAGCCTAATGTGACTGCCAGAAAAAGTGTGCCAGAGCTTTTGTTGTTTGTGATTAACGCGTTGCTGGAAGAGATGCTGAGTGTAATCATCAGCCGGTGAAGTGTGCAGCACAAACCGAGCTGCTCAGCTCCACCATGTAGGGAAAAAAAAACAAAGATCCAGCTGAAAGACTCCCCGCTTTGAGTAATGCCACAAGGTAAATATATTCTTTATGAGCACCTCCTATGTGACCTTTTTCGCTCTGCAAAGATATCTTAAATGTCTAATTCCCGTAGGTTGCGTTCACCCCGGCGTAGAAAGCCGTGCACTTATCTGTGTTTAGGGGTTGAATGTCTCGATTGTGCAACTAGTCTGGTTGCTAAACAGCACTTGGTGTGTTTGTATTTTAGTTTGGCCGTGCTTTGAATTCGCCTCATGGGTAACTGTTCATACAAAAGTGTGTGTTTGGTTACATGCCTGCACACCTCCCCCCCTTTACAAGAGAGAAACTCCAGCTTGTCCTGCCCTCCCCCTCTGCCTCTATACAGGGAAGGGGTGTGTGTGTGTGTGTGTGTGTGCGTGTGTGTAGGGTTGCCGTGCCCTGCAGTGCTCAGCAGAATATCTCTCCACAACACTGGTGTAAGGGCTGGAGTTTTCCACCGGCAATAGCGGGCGCACATCCAGCCCAGCCACAGAGCTGTGTGTGTCCGTGCTGAGGCAGCGTGCAGCAACAGGGAGCTCCTGGCCTCTCATGTCTTATCATGTGGCGGTTCAGAGGGCTCTTTTGAAGCCGCTGCCGTCCTGGCCCGAAAGCCGATCTCAAGCACATGAGCCGCTGCTGTTTGCCCGATGCGGTTTCTCACAGAAAGAAAGAAAGAAAAAAAAAAGAACGCAGAGGGGACACTTGGCTTGATGTCTGTGGAAACTCTTTCACTTGAAGTGCTGCGCCCGCTTTCGTCAAATCCACGGCGCAGCCGCGCAAAAGGGGGGCTGCTTTGATGGCGGCGCGCTGAAAAGCCGGGGCGCCGCCGCTCTGAAGCGCGCATTTCCCGCAGCAGTTTCAGCCGTACCTTTTCAGAATCCCTGCTCTCTGTTCACACTCTGTTTGACTATTGTTTAGCAGGGGGTTTTGTTTAATCCTGATTTACTGTTCTGATTAGTGTCCCAGCCAGCCCAATTTAATTAACAACCAGGCGGGTAAATCGGACTTTAAGATTGCTGTTGTGGTTGTGTGCTAAGCTACATCGATTGGGAGTTTATTCCACTTGATTAAATATGTTGCTGCAAAAGGCTTAAAGTGATGAACTGTCTCTTCTTAGCTTCATTATTTTTCATCAGTCTGGAATAATGTTAATCCTTTTCACTTAAACATTGCTTTTTTTCTTCTAGTGCTGTAATAGTGCTTGCGTGGTTTGGACATTTCATTGTAATTCCCCTCATACTACACAAAAATGTATTTATTTTTTTCCATTGTTGTTTCTAACCACCGTGCACCTTGTGCTTGTACGTCTTTATTAGGAGCCGCACAGGCCGTGGAGCCCCGCTGAGCCCGACGGCATGAACGCCAAGCGCCCGCGCGACGACAGCCTGCTGCCACTCGTCATCCCCGTGTCTGTCCCAGTGAGGAGGCAGGAGCCCTCGTCTCCCGACAGGCACCCGGCAGCTCTGGCATCCAGCTGGCCCCCCCGAGCTTCAAATCCCCAGGACCTGGGCCGCGCAGACCACAAGCCCTCGGTAATCGTCACCCGCCGACGCTCACTCAGGAATTCCCTGTCAGAGAGCTCAGAGCAGGTGGGTGCGCGTCGACGTCCTCTAAAGCAGAAGTGTGACATTATCGTTAGGACGTCCAACCTGTCAGAGGACAGTAACGAGGGTCCTCTGTCACCCTGTCTTCATCAGTCCAGCTTTTTCCCGTTTTAATTCCAGCTGTAAATCCTTGGATTCACGCTAGCTACATCGCCCCGCCAGCGCCCTCTCCCTTCCCCCACCATATCTCATGGCCTTCCCTACCCCCATTTTGGTCCCGCACATTTTTCTCCCTTTCCCTCATTCATTTGTGGGGAGAGGATTTGGTGAGCTAGTTGCCCTGTCCCAGATCAGGCAGATTAGCAGGGTTTAGCACTTGGATACTGTACATTATGTCACATACAGTCCGGGTTCTGACTTCCCTGTTCTTTTTTCCCCTTTGTATATCAAACAAATACCCCAGCCTGCAGTAGCGTTGTACTTGTTTAGTTTTTTCTAACACTGTTAGGATTATGAAAGCAGCATCTTGAAATGGCTTCTTATCGCCCCAGAACGACTGCGCAGAGGGGGAAAAAGACGACGACGGCAAAAAGTCCAAACGGCGTCCCCGGCCCGAGCCCCTCTTCATCCCACCACCCAAACCGGCCTTATTCATCGCCCCGCCCATCTACTCCAGCATCACACCCTACCAAAGCCACCTGCGCTCGCCGGTTCGCCTGGTCGACAACCCAATCACAATGCCCCCCTACACGCCTCCGCCCATCCTCAGTCCTGTGCGAGAGGGCTCGGGGCTCTACTTCTCCACTTTCCTGTCATCGAGTGCAGCCAGTGGCCCCGGCCTGCAGCCTTCTGCAACGCCCAAGTCAGCCTCCCGCAGCCTGTTGCGTTCCAGTAAGTTTGAAAACGAGTGGGGCTCCATCTGATTATCCAAAATGAATCCAGGCTGTGGAAACTCTGTGCACATGACAGCTTCTGGCTACATATTCCAATTAACGAACAAATGTCAGCGCACAAGACTCGTACAAGTGATTTATGGAGGTTGCTGCATGAATAGTGGAATCACACCTCCTGTATATGGCCCGTGCACTCCGTATATACTTGTTTTTACACAACAGGGCAGATTAGCCTCTTACTGCTGTACGTTTGGTTGTGCTGCTCTCCAGACAGCTGCGACATCACGCCACCAGTCTTGTCTGCTATGAGCGAGGCCACTCCAGTCAGCATTGAGCCGTGAGTACCGTCCTTAACTTCTTTCACTCTGGAAACAGTGAGCTTTGGGTATGTGTGCCTTTCTAAAAGAAATAATATGGGTGCTCACAAGCATGCATCATCTCAGCTATGGTCATGGCCCTGAGAATCAGTTATTCATAAACACTGCACTCGGTCCAATCATGATCCATCTTGAAGGAGAAGAGAGCTCACGAAATTCTAAACCCGTGGTTTGTGGCGGCCGTACACTCCTCCGCTGTTACCGCGGGAATCTTCTGCCCTGTCATCCACATGCTACCATTAGCACCAGCATTTACCCTTCTGATGCAGCCACACAGCCTGATTTTTTTTTTTTCCCCAGCAGAACCCACCTTCTTTTTGCAAGTTCATTAAACTGTCAAATGAGTGAACACCGTCAGCCCCCATAGATGTTAACGTTGCACTCCGGAAGATGTTCAGTTTCATTGCCATAGTAACTACAACGATCTCCAGGCTCAGTTAGTCCCTTGTTAAAACGAAGCAATCAGCTGTCAAAAAGAATTGCTCCGAGTCACTGTTGGCTATAATTATAGTGGAAAATCTGACATCCATGAAAATATCCTCTGCTTCCTGTGGCTGCCTCTCAGTAGTTAACGTCAGTTTTGCAGGCTGATGTGGGATAACTGTGTTAAGTCATTTAGGTTCTGTCTGGAACATAATAAAGCTCCTCTATAGGCTGAACATGGCAAACAGAAGTTGTTCCCACCGACATAAAAGTCATAAGTTGCACAGCCCACACTTTGTAAGAGCAGCTTGGTTCGTTAGCTCTAAACCTCTTAATGGAAATAAGGCTAATGCACATGTTATGCGTCTACCTAAAATTCAGCTATATAGAAACTTGTTTAGTCATAATCCATCCCACTGGGGCCAAACCCTATAAGGAAACTGGGTCACAATTGAAAGAGAAAAGAAAGGAACTATTGAGAGCTAGTCGGTGGCCAAAGATGGTCTCAGACTTTGTATATGTACACAAGTAAAACCAAGGGCAGACTTCGTGGACAATTGATCAGCTTGAAAGCAGTTTTTTTATTTAATGAATCCAAGCCAAGCTCGTTGATAACTTTGATGCGTGTAAAATGATGAGTAGCAGTGCAGAGGAAGAGCATGAGACCCAGTTCACTGTGGTAAGTTGTGCAAGCCTGCTGCCTGACTAACCCCGGCTGGTCAGCAGTTTGGAGGGGATGACCAGGCCCAGTACGCCATAAATCCTGCTTTCGCTTTGGTCTGATATCTGCCCGAACACACAGTCACCCCTGTTCCACTTTTAGCTGCCCACCTTCACTGGAGGAGGCTGATAGAATACACGCACACACCTAGCTGGAATATCGCAGGTTGGCTAAAAATGCAATGGAGGGAAGGGATATCTTATAATTATGTGGTGGCAGCCTATTTTTCACAGATTGAGAGCATTGGAAAAATCTTACCTCCATTTGCATGCGTTCATTGGATTACTTGTCCCATTTTTAGCTAGAGCACACAGAAAAATGAGGACCTATTCAAATACACCTCAGCCATTTCAATAAGTAAACTCGGTTTAAATTACAAACATGCAAATATATCGAGCATTTTATAGATCAGTCTGAAAAGCTAACTGTGCTGCGACTATTTAGAGAGCCCGAAAGAAAGAGAAGTGAGGGAAATGAAAACGTGCTCATTGAAATAACACCAGAGCGTTGCTGTGAAATGAAACTTCAGTGAGTGGTGTTTTCTGTGAGGCACTCTGAAGTATTGATGTCTCCTTTCTAGACGGATAAATATTGGATCGCGCTACCAGGCGGAGGTGCCAGAGCTGAGACAGCGGGCAGCTGTCGAGCTGGATCAGCATCGAGCACAGCTGGTTTGGGCTCCACTGAACGAACTAGAGGAAAAACCTGACTTTCAAGGAAAAGGTACGGCGTTCTAATTTTCCCCTCAAATCTCAGATGCCTAGATCCTGGGTTTAATTAACCTCACTCTGCACATGCTCTGCATTATATTCTGGATATTTTCCACAACCTGAGTTACATATTTTTGTTTTAGTGGAAGACCTCATGCACCTGGCCTGCTCCAGCGTTTTGTGTGGAGGAGGCACCAACCAGGAGTTAGCCCTGCATTGTCTATATGAGTGTAAAGGGGACATAATGGTGAGTCCCACAGAACAGTCCATTCTGAAAGACTGCAGTGAAAGGAATTCCCACACATAACAGAAAAATGGCCAGAAGCTTTGTTCTCCAACATCAGGACTGGTTTTTGCCTGGTTTTCGTCTTTTACACTCTACAGATCCTGCACGACCTTTAGTTAAGTTGTATGGAATCTCATAAGAAATAGGGTCCAATGAGTATTTTAAATCTACTCCATTCATGCTGCTCAGCCAGAGAAATCAAAGGAATAATCTACGGCATCATCCCCATCTTTTTAGTACAATCTGCAGCTCAATGTTGCCGCTGCTCTATAATGAATCACAGAACTAACAACATGTTGATGATACCTGGAAGGCATCTATCATGTGCATTTCTTTCATCCGAGCCTTCTAAACGGTTCAGTGTAAAACGAATGGCACGTTTACTGTTCCACTTAGCCGTCATTTATTATTGAACGGAAATGACTGATCTGTAGATTTTCACTTTGCTGCGCTTTGAAACTTTGTGGTGGTCTGAGATGACGGTGATAGTAAAACTGTTTGGTTGCGTCGCCACTGACAGTTTGAGCCTGCTGCTGTGTGTTCTCAGAGTATGAACAATGACTTGATGCTCTTGATGGAAGCCCTGAGCTCACTTATACTTTTTAAAAAACATTGATTAAGCTTTCGTACATTCATTTTTATTTGACTTTAAAATCTCCAATTTTGGTTAGCATTGATCACCCAAATGTCTTTGTTTTGTAGGGGCAGTTGTCTTTGTGCTTGCCCGTCATGCACCTCGCAGTCATGCACGGTGCAGTCACCGTGCACGTGATTGGATAACCGGGTGCTCCACCCATACTGCAGCGGTGATGCACCCAGTGCCTCATACCTATTGCATCACAGTCAGACCACTAATTACATCAGAGCTTAACATAAGGGCTAGGTGAGGCTGCAGAGCAGAAATACAAGGATAGTGGCTTCCAAGCACCAATGGGATGCCACTTAGACGGTGTAAAAGTGGTATAAAACATTTTTACAATGCCCACTTAAACAAGTGAAAGCACAGCGCCCCAATCCACAAGTGCCGTTAAATTTCACATTGGGGAAAGAACAATAATCCCATGTACTTGTTGCTATGAGTCTGAATAGTGGTCGCTGTTAAATGGTGAGCGGCAACATCTCAAGTGGCTCTTTTCTAGTTGTGCCACTGTAGAGAACACAGTCACACTTAGGAATATTTATTAAGTGCCGTTTTTCAAAATATTAAACAGAACCCAGGTGGATTCTGACACACCAGAGGGACAAACAAATACATATCATGTCAGAACAGCTTTGCTTTGCTAGGAGTTCTAACCAGTTTCTCAACAGCTGATGGTTTGAGTTTTTTTTTAAATTTATTTATTATTTATTTTATTTTTTTATCTTTTAAGATAAAATCTTTGAGTTTCATAGACGTAGTCCGTTCAAGAAATTGCGTGTGCAAACCTGGATATATCTAACGATGTTACAGTGATGCACCAAAGTTTGAAAACTTTGCAAATCCTGACATAAAGATGCATAACTGCATATAAAGAAATGCTGCCTAATCAATCATGCTTTTCTCCTTTTTTGATTTATCAGCTAAATCCTTTTAGATTGGCTTAACTTTTTCATTGACGCACAGAAGATTTCATTATTCCCCCTGCACTGATGGCGGACCAGCAGGAGATGACTTGCAGCCTCATGCGGAGTCAACAGCAGAGCTTTCAGAGGGCTTTATGGTGCTGCTGGTTGAGATTTCAGGCCCTAGCGACCAGAGCTGGGCCAGTGTTGTCAGGGAAACTACGAGGGGGTGGGGTGGGGGCCGTCAAAGCGCCCACTCTCTGCAGCGGTCCGGCACAAGCTGCCCACTTCCAGCATTCATGCACACTCAGATGGTTTCTCAAAGAGCCCAAAGTCGTTTTCTTACTTCAGCATCATGCGGAATGTAAAGCCCTATATGCAGCAGGAGTGAGAAGGGTGGTTATTTGTCAGTGCTTACAAGCCGATTATTTGTTTGATTCAGTTTACTTTGCAGGCGAGGAAAGCACAACTGGATTTCCTCATCCAACAAAAAAAAAAAAAAATGCCTTTCTGGCTCAGTGTGTGTTTACTGTTGAATGTTTGGTGTGTTTCAGGCCGCTCTGTCCCAGCTCTTGCTGAGAAGTCCAATTTTCCCCAAGTCTCATCATCTGTCCAACTACCATTACTCAGGTTAGTCGTGTCTCAGACCCAGACTCTGCTTCATCAGCCCCCCTCCCCCCCTTTTCTGTCTGCCTGTGTCCTAAACAGTGGCGGACCCTCTAAGCCCGGGGCCCTGCCTCAAAGCGGGGGGCAGCTGCGGCAGTGAGAGTGTGGCGCTGATGTCCTGGATCACTGTGGAGGATTGTCAGGGTCAATGCTAAGAGGGTGGGAGGGGGGGGTTTAGAGCATGTGGCTAATCCCAGAGAGAAGACAGGAGAGCCATTGTTTATCTGATGATTTTCAGCGTGTGTGTGTGTGGTTTTAAGAATGGAGGGGTGGGATTGTCCCCACACACTCAGAATGTAGATGTGAAGCAGCGCAGAGTAGTGATGCCGTGTTTCTGACTTTTCCCCCCTCACGTCAATGGAGCACAAGCGCATCTCTCTGTCTCTGTTTTCAAACGTCTTTCTACCTGCCCCCCTCCCTCAAACAGGATCAGACAGCTGGACGGCAGCTGAGAGGCGCCAGTTCAACAAAGCCATTACCGCGTATAAGAAGGACTTCTTCATGGTGCAGAAACAGGTAGGCGCAAAGGGGAGGGGGAACCTCTGACTCTGACTGGTGGTGGAAGCACACGAAGCTTCCTCCACCGGAATCAAAAGAACTTCCACACTGAACAGAAACGTATGATGTTATCGTTTTCTCCCATTGAGTGAACTGAGGAAAGGGAAATAAGGTCACTGTGGAACAGGGTTTTCCATTTCAGTGTGGTCAGTTAACCGTCATTGTCGAGGATCACTTTTCCACATCGACACCCAGAGATCTGAATCTCTGAGAAAACGTAATGAGCATTTCTCACTAAAGAGGAAATAAACAGCAGGAAATTTAAGAGGGAAAGGAAAATAAATTTGCCAAAATATACAAAAATAAGACGTGCGTCTGCATGTGGCCTGCAGGTGACGACTAAGACGGTGGCGCAGTGTGTGGAGTTCTACTACACGTATAAGAAACACGTGAAGATGGGCCGCAATGGGACGCTGACTTATGGCGTGACGGAGCCTTCAGAGAGCAGGACCGCCCTGGAGGAGCTGGACCTCAAGGTCAGTCAGAGCCCAGTTTTAATAGCGCAGCTAACAGGCACACGTGGGCGTAAAAAAGAGCAACATGTACACCGATGCAGAAGAAGTGTTCTATTAACGGCTGCATCTTTGTAAAAGAAGAAAAATGACCTGAATAAATGCAACTGTTGGATATAAAACGACTCGAAAGGAGCAGCTGTCGTCTTACAAAAGGAGGCCTTCTGTTATATTCATATCCTTGTGTTTAGATGAGGAGGAAAAACAGCAAAATAATAACAGGTGTATGGTGAAAGGCAGCATGTATAGATTACCGTCCTAACTGTAAATAATCAGCGAGCTGGACTTTTTCTTCCAAAGAAATGCGGCTTAATCATTGTTCCCTCTGGGCCAGCAGGGCTCTCACAGACTGGAGCCACAGCAGGAGGAGGACAGCAGGAAGTGGGAAGGTTCAGCTGACAGGAAACAGGATGTCTGTCCCTCCAGGGTTGCACACGCACTGCAGTCCACCGAGAACGTGAGTGTGAAATCGTCAGGTCCGCACCGAGCGATCGCTGTGTGAAGCAGCGAGAGAACGAATGGACGATTAGCACTTTAGCTTCCAGATGCAGCGGCTAGCAGAGATTGCGCAGGTATAGATTTAATTCAGCTTGATAATCGCTGTAAGATCAGGCCGAACAGGTGCTGCAAACAGCTGACCAAGTGGGGGAATTCAAACATCAAACATTAAAGAAATGATGACCGGTGTGGACTGGGGCTCACTCTTTAATTAGCAGTGAGTGAGTACAGCATAATCGATCCAAAGTATTGATATTGTTTTTTGTCAATACTCAGAAGAAGAAAATAAGTCTAATTTTTCCTTGTCATCGTTAAACTTTTTACTTGCTTTTCTCAGTAATTCTTATACATCGGTCTACACATTATTTGTTAGCAAAAGTCAGAGCAGCAGAGGAAGGATCCCAGACCTTGTGTAGAAACCTGTTAGCCTTGATCTTAGATATTAAACAAACTCCCACCTGTTTTTGGTTTAGAAAGAAAAACTGGCTGCATCACACACTCATTTGTCCTTTTTAAACCCTGCCAGACTTCTGTGGATGGGTGCTGGATTTGCTGCCCCCCACTGGGTTTTAGAGGAAATATCTCTTGTTGAGTCCACCTCCCCCTCGTGTTGTGCATTCTGTCTGTCAGCAAACAATTGTCCCCATCTCATTTTTGCGGGCACGACTTGGTTAGTACTTCTGCTCTCTCAGGCTGCAAGAAGGCCCGATACGGCTGTAATGCTATGCTTCATAAAAGCTGCTCGTAAAGAAGCCTGGGGCTCATTAGTGGCACACAGCACCTGTCTTGAAATGATCCCAAGCCTTCATGTTAACTTTGTGCTATTTATTGGTTGCGCGCAGCCCGGGACGGTCCTGATCATGAAGGGCCGAGAGGACGGGGGCAGAGAACAGCCGCTGTCCAGGGCCATCCACCCCCCTCACCCGCCCCCTCCCGCCTCCAAGCCGCGCCACGACGGAAACGCGCGAAAGACGAGCCCGGCGACGGGCAACAAGGGCTCGGCCGGTCAGGAGGGAGAGTTCCCCTGCAAAAAGTGTGGCAGGTCAGTGGTGGGAGAGGCTAATCGTCTGCTCCGCTCGCTCAGAGCGCCAAGCAATCCCCTCGCTCGGAAGCAGAAACCAAGCAAAAATCTCACAATTCTGCAGGAAATATTTGCCCACATGAAATGTGAATTAGTCAATACAGGCGAGTGTCTCTAAGCATCTGTCTAAGAGAATTAACCGTGCTGTCATGCTCACTGGAATCACAGCTCGTCCTCTGGCAACACCGGCCCTGTTATTGCCAACTGTGTCCTAGCAACCGAAAGCACAGAGTCGATAAGGCACGTTGCTCTCGTCAGTCCAACTCGGTAGCCCAGAGACTTGACAAGAGCTGCACTCGCTCTTTTGATGCCGCTCCCGCTCAGTGTCCTCAGATTACAGATTTACCTGATTTGACACTCATGGCTCCCTTAAACTATGCTGGCCAGTAGAAATGGAGCGAGTGAGCCGTTTTAATCTTGAGTTGGGATTCCAAAATGGCAAGAAAACCAGCTGCTCTTTGCAATTTTTGGAACAGCTGTAGACAAAAGAGTTGGTGAGAATACGTGTGGGGTTTTGTTTCCCCTTTGCACGGAATTTATGCTGATCAATCGTTGTGCAACCGCACTTCAGCTCATCAGACTGAACTTTGGACAGAGTATTCTCAGTGCACGTGCTAAATTTAGATACCGTACAGAAGCAGTAAATCTTTAACAATGTCCACATTATCCAGTTTCAATTTCAAAGTCCTGATTAGCATTTCGATGTACCAATAATTAGAGGCTTTATTGATTTTTACAAAGTCAAAGCTTGGAAAACAGTTTGGTTTAAAAGAATGAAAGGTAAACGGATGAGACATCATAAGCCGACTTCTGTCAGTGCAGCATGGCGGGCTCTTGTCACGCTCCTTTTATGCAGCGATCTCATTTCCCACAATCCCACAGGATCTTCTACAAGGTGAAGAGCCGCAGCGCCCACATGAAGAGCCACGCCGAGCAGGAGAAGAAGGCGGCGGCGCTGAGGCAGAAGGAGGCGGAGGAGCGGGCGGCGGCCGAGGCGGCGGCCATACTGGCCGCCCGGCAGCAGAACGGGACGCGGCAGGTGGGCGGGGACAGCACCAACGAGGACTCGTCGGACGGGCAGGACGAGGAGGACGAGGACTGGCAGTAAGAGGGACTCCGCTCGGAGCAGCTGTTTCTCCGGGATGAGCGACGGGATTTAAAAAAAAAAAAAAAACCTTTCGAAGTGCGACGGTCAGCGTTCTGTACATCTGTACAGACCACAGCTGGCGGGGCACATTCAGGGTCGGGTAAAGCTCCGTCTGTCTGCTGGTCCCAGCCGTTAATGCTCCGACTGTTGGGAGGACAAAGTGCTTTCCAGGACTCACCTTCTCCCCTTTACTCCGCTGGTAAAGCTCCTCAAGAGTTGCCTCTCTCGCTCACAGGGCTCGGTCAAATCAAAAGCCATGCCGCTCCTCCCGGCGCTGTCCTGCCCTGCCTCCCCGCCGCGCCCTTCCTCAGCACTTTGAGTCTCGCATCGCTTTGTCCTGAAAAGGCGTGTTGGGCTCCCTCGTGATTTTTGTTTCGTTTTTTTTTCTCTCTCGCAATGAGCCACGGCAAAGCGCGGCCGTCGTCCTATCAGAGGCGATGCCACGGCGGCCAAAGCGGGACGTCCACGGCGGCCTGGACCGAACCGGGCAGCGGCGCTGGTACTTTCTCCGCTCTGAGGGCGGCCGCCTCGGCGGTCAGCGCTCCTCTGGACTCGCAGCCGCCAAAAGCTTTATCCAGACGCATGAAATGGGTTCTCTGTGTTTATTTCGGCTTCAGTTCTGTGAATTACCCCCCATGAGCCCTCATCACCTTTTTATAGCCGCAGTTCGTTGCTCACTGTTGATGCCTTGGATGTTCTGATGGTTTTTATCTCGAAATGACAATCAATTTTACACTGTTTTTTGTGGGTTTTTCTTTTTTTTCTTCTCTTTTTTTAAATGGTAAACATTACTTTTCTGTGTAGCTATGTATTGTTATTGTTTCTGTGAATATACCTGTTGGTGATTAATATTATTATTACATATAGGTTTTGCCTGCAATTTTATTAAGCGCTTTTTTTTTCTGTTCTGTCCATTGGGGGGGGAAAAAAATTTTTTTCTTTTTTTTTTTTTTTTATTTAAACAAAAAAAAAAATAATGTTACTTGCTGCCTGTTTGTAACTGTGATATTTTTTTCTTTTTCTTTTTAATTTTTTTTAATTTTTGGAAAACCAGAAATGAAGAAAAAGGGCAGACGTGTATGTGCAATAGAACAAGTGGACCCCCTGTTACCTGAACCCCCCCCCCCCCCCCCCCCCCCCCCGTCGCCCCTCTCCATCATGCTCCCAGCCAGCTGCCCCGGATGCCTCCGTCAGCCCTGTAACCGCTGGGAGGCCCTGACTCTCTGTCCTAAAAGCAGGTCTCTACAGATACACACAGCAAACCGCCCAATCCCACCTCGGACACTTTTCAGTGTCAACGGGATGGAATGTTAGTTTTTAGTTTTAGTCGGTGCTGATGCAAACTGCTGTTAGCAGTTAACGGCACGTTCCGAACCACAAACCATCCCGTTCAGACTTTACAGCTTGAAATTGAGCACATTTCGGCCACCTGGGTCCAGACTCTTGGCAGTCCTGTCAGGTCCCGTCAGTAAATGAACCACCAGGCAGATAGAGAAGCAGAAACGTCTCAACTTTAAAAAAACTCAGTCGCGATTTTGCCGGTTTGAACCTGATTTTTAGGCGCAGACTATGTTTTTATCTTGTTTTTCGAACAAAGGGTCGGCTCCTGTCGCTTCCGTTCTACCTCAGCTGTTCAGCCGTCACGTTTTCCCCACAGACTGTTATCCTCTTTCTTTTTTTTTTTTTAAATGCCAACCGACGTGAAAAGCGGGAATCCTTCTTTACTGCTAAATCTCACATAGTCCAGATTCCGCGACACATCGTGGGACTTTAAAGGTGGGGGTGAGGTGAGGTGAGGTGATCCTCTTCTGTTAACAGAGGATCCACAGTTTACATCCTGCTGATGAGGGGGAATAAGTTACTGGAGGGAACCGACAGACGGACCTAAAGACAGCCGGAAAAATGATTCCGACTGGATATTTGCCCTCAAGAAATAGTATCTGTATCAGGATCGCCGTGCGGGCTCAGAGCTTGGAAATAGCAGCGCCACATAGAGTGCATGCGCCACAAAGTAAATGATTGAAGCAGTCGGGGCAGTTTTGGAGTGGCGCTGTGAGACTGGACAGGGGGCCGGCGTGTATCTGGGCTTCCCGTTGACCTCGCCGCTGACGCCAGGCGCTGAGTTTGGAGCACAGAAGCGGCCGATTTGTCCCCCCCCATTGCATAGCCTTCTTCTTAAGCCCGGAGCCAGTTTCTGTTGCCGTAGCAACACGTGGGTTGAAGGGTTATTTTCCTTGTAAAGGACAAACCACAGTGGGGAGCTGGGGAAGCGGAGAGAAATGGCTCCAGTTACTCCACAAGTTTTAAAGCCGGGTCTATGCACAGACTGTTGACTGTGTGTGTGTGTGTGTGTGTGTGTGCGTGCGTGTGTGTGTGTGACTGCTTTGAAGTCAAATGTTTAGCTGTATGTCAGTCAATGGGGGACAAAAAAAAAAGATCTGTAGACTGTTAACATGTTTAGGATGTTTAATTTATATTTCCTTTTTATTTGAGCTTGTCTTAAGGTTCCTGTTGGTGTGGGGGGGGGGGTTTGTTGTCAAAATGTTTCAAAGCTGAATTACGGATGAAATTTCAGGCCACAAACACTTAGCTGTAAAACCTTTCTCATTTCATCCATTCGGTTAAGGGAATTTTAAGGGGACAAAAGGTTTATTTAGCTAAAGATTAGAGATATATATGAATGGAATTCTATGTTTGCATACTTTCTATGCTATTTTCATATAGGGTTCACACTAATGATGAAAAACGGAAAGGAATCTCAAGTGCTTTTTACTACGGTGTAACTTATTTGTTTCGATTTGATTTTTACCACCTGTGTTTTAGTAATGATTTATGAAGCACTGTATATTAAAGGTTTAAAACAACCAGCGGGTTTCTTAGTGTGCTTGTCTGCTCTATATGGGGGGGGGGGGGCAGTGGCACCACAGTGTGGTGACCGTGTGAGGCACCAGGGGGCAGCATCGTAGCGGCCCTTCACACCCAAACGGATGAGGATAGAGCAGGGTACCAAGACTAGGAGCCAAGCTCTCCGTTCACACCGGCTGCAGAGTGCACACACACACACCGTTTGTTTGTTTGGGGGTGTTTAGCTGCAGGTTTGATTGATTAAAGATGTCTGCTCAGGTCAAAACTTCCAGTTATAGGAGCATAACTGATTTTTGTTCCATTAATAGGATGTTCGTGTGTTTCGTGTTTCATATTTACAAAATCAGTGTTATCATTACACTTGCATCCAAAATCTGTTTTGGCTCCGTCTGACCATACAGTTCTCACAAGTTGTTTTTTTTGTCACAGTAGACAACAGAGAAAAAAATCCCGCTTCTCTTTTTATATATCCGGTGAAAATCATCTTCCAGTTTCATTCTATTGAGTCTTGTTCAATGTGTGATATCTGGGAATGTGATATGTTAGAAATCCACCTTTCTTTTGCACATTGCTCAAAGTTTTCAAGGACTATTTCCGTTAATTAAGCCTTTCCTGTGGTGGTTGTTGGGTTCATATTTATAGCTTCTAATTTCAGGTTATTCTGTTCTAACCGATGAATGCATAATTTATACGCCTCTCCTCTTATTGTATATTGATGGTTTTTTCCATTACAAATCGTAACCCAATGAACTCATTTCTATGCATGTCTTTTTTTTCACAATCCATCCATCATCTTTGCATTTCCATCTGCGGGAATGTAAATTAGCTTGTTTTTTGGCATTCGTCACCAGAAATCGTTTTTATCTCAAAAGTAGATGGGAAATGTGTCATTTGTAATATAAAAATGTATAAATAAGTGAAAGGAAAAGTGTGTTGATATTGTTTTTTTTCCTCACTCAAAAAGGAGATTTTTAACTTCAAAAGTTAATCCAAAACACACCCTGGAATCATACCCCTCCCCATGTGAATATCAGTCAGTTTTTCTTTATGTCATGGAACATATTTCTTTTGATCAAAGGTCAAGATGAGATGCCATCCCGCATATTTGATTTGATTCAGATTTGTTCATCTCAGTATGAAGCTAAAGTTCAACATTTCATCTTTTCCTTTCAGTCTATTGCTTCTGCTCTATTGTCATTAAGATCTGGTAACATTTTGTCCTCCCTCATGCAGACTTTATAGTACGCACAATTTCAAATCGGGGCCTTCTTTAAAAGCTGAATGTATGTGACGGTTACGTGTGGGACGGTTGGGAGACGACTGCAGGGCAGCAGGATCTCACAGTGCAGAGATTATGATGAGGGCTAACGGCCCACTCCTACAAACCACCCTTGTAAGCAGCAGGGAAATCTGGGAAAGGCAAACAAGAACAGCATGCGGCTCAGATGTGTCCTCGCCTTCTCTTTTTGCCTGTTCCAAGCCGTGGGAGGAGGAGGAGGAGGCTGCGAAGGAGAAGGAAGACAAATAGAAGGAGAGGAGAGGAGAGGCATGCTGGCACGAGAACGTTATCAGGCGATCTTGCAGCTGGTCAAAATTAGAGATGAGAGCAAGGTTCTTGGAAGCTCTCCGATGGGAAATCCACAGTTTGAAAAGTGCTCTTCGGTTCAGTCGTCTGGTCTTTTTTTATTTGTTCTTTTATGCATTTATCTTTTACATTTAAAGCAAACCTCTGCGAAGTTTCCAGAGATTTACGAGGACTCGTATCTGTGCAGGTATTGCAGCACATCCATCATGAAGCCGCAGAGAGAGGCTTCAGGATCTGTTTCATAACAGTCCTCATAGCTCAGATCCTCCTGGGGCTCAGACAACATGTGTCGAGAGAAACCTGACAAGTGTGGCCAGGTGCCCCCCACCCCCCCCAATAATGTGTGAACAAGAGGGTGTAGCCGAGTTCAGAGAAAGGAAATGACTGTGGGGACTTTTTCCCCTCTGAAGCCTGATATGAAATGTGTGAGCTTGGCCATCAAAGCTGAGCCCAACAGGGGGTGCTGTGTGTGTGCATACTCAGCAACATGTGCCGATTCTGCCAAACACTGCGTGGATCGGGGCTGGGGGGGGGGTGGGCTTTGTGCCTATCCTAGCTGTATCTGGGCGAGATGGGGGGGGTACATCCTGGATGGGTTGCCCTGATGTCTTTTAGTAACATCTGAATGCATGGTTGAGCAATCAAAGAAATCCCATGCTGTTTATTGGGCTAAACTATAAGCAAACTGGACAGGTGTTCAGGATTTCTAAAAATAATGTAAAAAGTAAACTTGTGTCAGACCTACAAACAGCTTTCTCTGTATCCGTATTCTTGCATTTTGCTGATACACTTTTTCTCTCTGTCTTTGTATGGCAAACCTTCAACTTGCATTGTGTATCTGCAAATTCTTGTATCGCTCAGTGATATGACGGTAAATGATGTGCTATTTAT